GCACAATTTTAGCAACAATTGAACTATGAGATAGGGTTTGTTTTTTAAAAAAAGTACAGTGGTGCCTCGCAAGACGAAATTAATCCGTTCCGCAAGTCTCTTCGTCTAGCGGTTTTTTCGTCTTGCGAAGCAACCCTATTAGCAGCTTAGCGGATTAGCGCTATTAGCGGTTTAGCGGCTATTAAAGGCTTAGCGGCTTAGCGGCTTAGCGGCTAAAGGCTATTAGCGGCAGCGGCTTAGAAAGGGGGAGTGAAAAAAATCTCAAGACTCGCAAGACATTTTCGTCTTGCAAAGCAAGCCCATAGGGAAATTTGTCATGCGAAGCGCATCGAAAAACGGAAAACCCTTTCTTCTAGCGGGTTTTTCGTCTTGCGAGGCATTCGTCTTGCGGGGCACCACTGTACTGTCTTCTGTAACTGGGGCAACTGAATACTTATTTCATTCTCTTCTGAAAGGCTGCGGTGATTGCCTGTGTGCTTCTTTATATCTGGTGTCTTGAGAACGGCACCACAAAATAGAATGGTGCTGTGCAATAGCAGGGACAAACAATAAGGGATTGGCTAGCCCATCATTGTCCTGCAATGCATTTGACTGGCTGCTGGAGGCACAAGAATGCTGGTATATATGGGACCTTGCTCTGCTTCATCAAGGCAGTTCTCACTGTATTACTAGGAGCTAATTTCCAGAAGGGTAGCCGTGTTGGTCCATTGTAGCAAAACCAACAAAGAGTCGTCTCGTGGCACCTCAGAGATGAGCAGATGTATTGTGGATCACAGTTCTCTTTATCTGGCACGTGAAGTGTAATCCAGAATCGGCAAACACATATAACATGTGGTGAAGGAGAAGGAGCTCTGATCTCTGCATCCTCTCCATAGGGAAAGAAATACTGAATTGATTTCTTTCAGCCTTGGAAGACGTAAAGGTACAGCAGAAAGGGTTTGTGGGGATGTGACAGACCTAACTCCTTGTTAAATTGAACTTAGTCTCTCCCCCCTCCAGTAGCCTCCCATTGTGACTGACTGAATAGATAATATTTGGGGCTAGCCAGACCAGTGGCTGTTGGAGGTGTCTCTCAGGCCTTTCCGACAAATGCTGGTATGTGGATTTCAAAGCATTTTGATGCAGGAACAAGGTTTGAAGACTGACGCTCTGCGTGCTGCTGACAGATGGGTTTTAAACGTAGCACAAGCTTGTTTATATGAAAACAGCTGCTTTTATTAGGCTAGCTGCAAAGAAATTTGTGGAGAGATTTCAGGAGTTGTGAGTTTTGTTTTGTTTTACCAGAAGCAATTGGTTTGAGACCTTGAGACGAAACGTCTGTTTCCCAGGAGTTCTAAGCCCTCTGAGTAGGCGCTGGGTCATTCCTGTTCAGTGGAATTCCTGCCAGCATCTATAAAGGGGTGTCATTAAAATCTGATACAGTGAGAGCTGTCAGTTTGCAAACTCAGTTCAGAAGAGAGGCATGGCAGGTAGAGACAATGGTACTGAGTCAAAAGTACTTCCTATAACAGCAGCCATTAGCTGCAGACAAATTTTTTATCACAAGAACCAGGTTCACCCTAGCTCAGGCAGACCCGAAGATTTCTCTTCTGATCTCCTGTACTCCCATAAGATTAGAATTATGGAGTTGTTGTTGTTTAGTCGTTTAGTCGTGTCCGACTCTTTGTGACCCCATGGACCAGAGCACGCCAGGCACTCCTGTCTTCCACTGCCTCCCGCAGTTTGGTCAGACTCATGGAGTACCAGACATTATGGTACTCCATTATGGAGTGCCAGACATTAAATTAAAAAACAAACAAACGAAACATTATGTGCAGGCTTATAATGCCAACATTTACTTGCTGGAGGAACATGGTGGGCTATGTCCAAATTTTCTCAATTTGGACACAGCCCACCATTCATGTGGAAAGGAAAACCTCATACTCAGTTTCAAGTATCAGTGACATGTGAGCAACGATGCAGACAAATTCACTCTTTAAAATGTTTCATAAGATAAGTTATAACCAGGCCAGACTGCCCTATGCTACTTTGGTCCAGTATCCCTGACAACATCCCTCTCACCCCAGTTTCTGGTATTCTTTTCTGTTCTGCTCGGATGTTCATCAGAACATACTGATAACACATGTGCACTCTTAACTCCGCAGAGTTGATAACCATCTATTTGTGTTCTTCTGTTGCCCTCCAGTGGCCATACGAACACTGAGGATCAGCTGTGCTTTTGACTCCAAGCTTCCAAAGGGATTTTGAGGCTTTCCGGAGCAATGATAAATGCAGCGTTGTTCCCCATTTTTTTGCAGGAGATCCAGAGCTCCATGCTACATTTTTCTTGCAGAGATTCCTCAGCTTTCCACACTCATACCAGTGTTGCGTGAAATATGATTGCATGAACAAGCACTTATTGGACACTGCTATGATGCCAGCATTGATGAGTGACACAACCCTCTCCATACCAATGTCATGCCATTTGTGACTTTAAAAAAGTTATAATTATGGCAGCACTCCCTTGTGCTACTGAAGCCTGGGAGAGTTCATGTTTGAGTATTTTCCTCTTTCATTATGTTTTATATAAACATGTTTATCCCACATTTGAATACTTTCAAGGCAGCTCACAACTTAGGTTTAGAATCAACCATTACCAAATAAAACAGCAGAGTTTTCCAGCAGCCATAAACTCATCAAGATCAATTACTCAATAAATAAAATTCATCTACACACACCCCCCCCCGCGCGAAAAACATAGTCACTTTTACCTGCTGCCGAAATGTCAGCGTCAGGTGAAGTGGTAAGGAGAAGAAACTCCATACAACAGGTGTGGTGCCATCATGTGTTCTTGTCTCTGATGTCCACTCACCTCAGAAGTAAAGGTGCCCTGAGTTGGGTCTCCGGGAAGGTGCTCAATAACCAGACTGGTTCGTATTGGGAGAAGGTGGTCCTTCAAATATGTGCATTCCTATACATGTCTATTCAGGTGTAAGTTCCATTGATTTCAGTAAGAGATCTGAGGGTGTGTAACAGGAATGGGTGGGACGCAGGTGGTGCTGTGGGTTAAACCACAGGGCCTAGGACTTGCCGATCAGAAGGTCAGCGGTTCAAATCCCCGCGACGGGGTGAGCTCCCGTTGCTCGGTCCCTGCTCCTGCCAACCTAGCAGTTCGAAAGCACGTCAAAGTGCAAGTAGATAAATAGGTACCGCTCCAGCGGGAAGGTAAACAGCATTTCCGTGTGCTGCTCTGGTTCACCAGAAGTGGCTTAGTCATGCTGGCCACATGACCTGGAAGCTGTACGCCGGCTCCCTTGGCCAATAAAGCGAGATGAGCGCTGCAACCCCAGAGTCGGTCACGACTGGACCTAATGGTTAGGGGTCTCTTTACCTTTACCTAACAGGAATGGAGAACGTTTTAGCCCCCAAGGGCCGCATAGATAAGTGGGTGACTGATTGGGCTGCAGTCCTGTTTACCACAGGATTGGGAGACTGCAATCCTATGTACTGTGTTCAGCCATCAAGGGTTTTCATTGAAGCCTGTGCAGGTACCCAAACTGCACACACCCACACCTGCAAAATTTCCAACCGCTGCTGAATGTTGCTGCCCTCCCTGCACTGGGCCAGTGTGATTTATAAGGGAAGGACAGTGCATGGGGGATGAACGTCCTTTGAGGACTAAAATGCTGTTCATCCCTGTACCTAGAAGTAAACCTCAGCTCCCTTACTCATATCAGTGGAACTAACTTCCAAGTAGACATGTGTAGGATTGCATAGTTGAGGTGCAATCCTGTACACACTTACCTGAGAGCAAGTGCTGTTGAACATAGCATCATTTGTTTCGGAGTAAACAGGGACGCGGGTGGCGCTGTGGGTAAAACCTCAGCGCCTAGGACTTGCCGATCGTATGGTCGGCGGTTCGAATCCCCGCGGCGGGGTGAGCTCCTGTCGTTCGGTCCCAGCTCCTGCCCACCTAGCAGTTCGAAAGCACTCTTAAGTGCAAGTAGATAAATAGGTACCGCTTTATAGCGGGAAGGTAAACGGCGTTTCCGTGTGCTGCGCTGGTGCAGGCTCGCCAGAGCAGCTTCGTCACGCTGGCCATGTGACCCGGAAGTGTCTCCGGACAGCGCTGGCCCCCGGCCTCTTAAGCGAGATGGGCGCGCAACCCCAGAGTCGGTCACAACTGGCCCGTACGGGCAGGGGTACCTTTACCTTTACCTTTAAACATGCAAAGGCTCACGGCATTCGGGCCTCGGAGATAAAAAATTAACACTTTCATGCCTAGAAATGAACTGGCAGCAAATTAAGCTCTGTTAGCACTGATCAGAAAAGTTCATTTCTAGCTGCACCAGGAAGCAGGCAGCTGAAGTTTCCAAACAGTCTTTAAAGGCAGTGCTACACAAAATGCATTCCAGTAATGTAATCTGTATGTTATCAGAAGATGGAAGGGTTTTTCCAGGAAGATTGCAGCTGGTGCACCGGACAAGATGATTGAAGGCACTTTCTGCAACCGAGGTCATTGTTTTATGCATCCATTCATTGAGCCAGATCTAATAGCATCTCCAAGTTGTGGACCTGATCCTTTAGGAAAGTACAGCCCCATCCAGAAACAGGACAAGTATCTATTTCATGGTCATAGTTATCCTTGGTGCAGGAGTTTGTTTATTTATTTATAAAATATTTGCATATTGCTATATCATAAAAAATAACGAAGCAGTTTACAGGAATAACACCATAAAAAGGTTAAAAACAGACATCCATTAACCATTATGGATAGTTAATTAGATCATCTAGTATTCCATCCATGTGTGCAAAAAACAAATGAGAGATGTGCATGCAAAATCTCGCATGAGAGGGGACTCTGCTATCTATATCTGTCCCTCTAAAGAAAAATAATGGTGATACATCTTAAGTTCAGCCTCTGTTGCCTGTGATTCACTTACACTTCCTCCCAAATGCTAAATGGGATCTCTTCTTCCTGGTTGTGTTCCAGTTCTGTTCTGTGTGGCTTAGGCAAGGTGATGGATGGACGAGCAGAGATGGAAGTGATAAGAAGCACAAAAGGCAACGCGACAGGGGAAGTCAGTGTCCATTTGGTTGCCAATGAGAATACTGTGCAAAATGCCCACCTACCAGCAACCGCCTTCATCATACCAGGTAGGTACTTGGAACTTGAAGCATCTCGCTGTATTTTCAGAGTCTCCTGCTGCCATTGCTTCCATTCTTCCTGCTCCAAAAGGCAACAACTTATGTTTATGGCCCAAAAGGCAAAGCTAATACCCACCTGCTCTGTCCACTGGGTTCTGTGTGTTTGGTCATTCAGTTTGCAGTTGAATGTATTTTCAGGGTACGTTATTCAAAGCTGGCCTGTGTGCAGTGGTGAATGAGGACCCACCCCCGCCCACAGACCCCTGCCAAGTACTCAGGCATACCTCTGAAGCTTGTGAGCAAAGTAGAGGGCAGCATCCAGCTAACACGTCCCATCTACAGTGGTACCTTGGTTCTCAAACCCCTTGGTTCTCAAACGCCTAAAACCCAGAAGTAAGTGTTCCGGTTTTCGAACGTTTTTCGGAATCCGAACGTCTGATGCAGCTGTCTGCTATTGTTTCCAGGGGCCCTGCACCAATCAGAAGCTGCACTTTGGTTTTCAAACATTTCGGAAGTCAAATAGGCGCTTTTGTTTTTGCTATTTGTTTTGCGTTTTTGTTTTTAGGCTTTTTTGGTTAATTTGTTTTTGTGACTGTGTGGAACCCAGTACAGCTACTCATTGATTGATTGATTGATTGTGTGACTGCGGAAATGGATAAAAGCTCCCCATCCAAACAATGACTATCATCAGTGCAGGTAAGAAAAAAAATAATTTTAATTTTTATCATCTACAATACTGTCTTATTTATTTTCTAGTACAGTACATTGATTATTGCTTTCATTTTATGGATCAGTGGTCTCTATAGATAGTAAAGTTCATGTTAAATTTCTGAGAACCAAGGTACCACTGTATGCATGGATTTCCATTTGTGCAACATGATTTCCCCCTCTCTCTCCTCCAGCCATACACACCCTGCACTATCAAATCTCTGGAGGGTTGGGGGAACCCCCAGAACAAATAGAGGGCGGGAGCAGGGGGAAGTCTCATTATGCAAGCAGAAATCCTTGCGCTGATGCTTCTGTGGATACAGCCCATTCATTTAAAACTCGGATCAGGTATGAGAGCAGATAAAGTTGTAGAAACACCTAATGGCGTAGATAAGTGCTGTAAGAAAAGCAACAAGAACCAAGATGTAATGATCTAACTTGCAGTAGACATGTGCCTTTAGGACTTGGATTTGCTCTGCATCTATTGATCACGGCGTTCTTGGGGTAGGAAAGGAAGAAGCAACTTTCCCTTCATGCATCCAGACTGTAACATGTTGAGACTAAGGAGAGCAATATAAGCTTGTGGGCTTAACTATCAAGTTTGTCTTTGTTTTGCCGGGACCTAAAGCTGTTCTCACCAAATAATGGTAATGTGGAACTATGCAAAGTGAGTGGGAAGCCTTGGCAAGCTTCATAGACTCACAGGGTGGTACGGTTGGAAGGGACCCCAAGGGCAATCTAATCCAACCTAATCCAAGGGCAATCTAATCCAATGCAGGAGTCTTTTGCCCGACGTGGAGCTCAAACCCATGCCCCTGAGATTAAGAGTCTGATTCTCTACCAACTGAGCTATCCCTCTGGAAGTCATTCATCTTACATCACCTACACGTATAGCAGGGATGAGAACTCTGCAGCCCCCAGATGTTGCTGCTGCACTACATCTCCCTTCATCCCTGACCCAGCTTACTAGAGTTGGACTCCAGCAACATCTGGAGGGCCACAGGTCCCCCACCCACCTCTGCCTTATAGTAAAGGATTTGGGCATATCCCCCCTACCCATGTTCTCTTCCAGCCCTCTACTCTGCCCAGACTGTCATGCTGTGTTCCTCCTTTGTGTCAAAACCTTCTGACTGTCTCTGCTGTGGGAGATGTTTTTCACGTGCATGCGCCAGGAGGTGATGGTGACACACTGCTTTCCTTCCCCTCTTCACAAGCAAACACAACCACTGTAAACCTTCCAACAAGCACCTTAGAAATCCAGCGATTCCCTCGGGAACCCCAGAAAAGTGTGGGGTCCGAGAGGCAAAGAGAGAGCCTGGGAAGCGAGCCGATCACAGCGACAGTCATCCCCCAGATCAGCGGAGTTCAGACCTGCAACACCATCCGGGTTCTGGAATGGAAGGATGGAGTGGCCACTCTCCCTGGAAGCAACCTGAGGGTAAGCAGAAGAAAGTCTCCTTGCTGTTCCTAAATCCCTTTCTCCTCAGCTTTCTAAGGGAGCGTTGGGTTTATTTATTGCTTCGTTTCAAATTCATAAATCGCTTTAGAAGCAAACGCTGGTCAAACAGTGTACAAAAAAATAAAGGGGAAAAATAGGAAAAGACACTACAAACTCTTTAAAAACAAGAAAAGTATTGTACAGTTTATTATTCCATAAAATGACTGGGTCACACTTTCAGGAACGCCTTCTTGAACAAAAATATCTTTAATAGATGCTGAAATAGTAAGGCACTGGGTGCTTGTCTAATTTTAGTAGTTGGTAACTGATTCCAGAGGGATGGAGCTGCAACACTAAAAGCAGTAATGGTAGCAACAGAGGCTTCTTAACATTACACAAAGGGTTATGCATAGTGGAAGGCTAGGTCCTTGCATTCTGAGCTTTTTTTTTTGATGGAATGTGGCACTTTAAACTTCCCCTTTGCAATCTTCAGTGACAGCACGAAACTCACTGCTTGCTCTTCAGCTATTTTTCCAATCTACCCTACTTTACAGGATTGTTGTGAGGACGAAACAGAGTGGTCCCACATTCATTTTCCCTAATCTCCTTGGGGCAAAGGCAGGATACAGGTGTATTGATGATACCGCCTTGATTTCATTCCAGAGCAATACAGCCATTGTGCCTAGATTTCTCTTGTTTTTCCCCCTCCCATAACTTGTTAACTTTCCCTCTCTTATTGATGTAGTTTCGGATAAATGAATATGGGACGCTGAAAGTGGTCAGTGCGGACAAGCTTTTGCCAACAGAGCCCCTAAAGGAGTGCCACTCAGAAAGAGAGGGAGAGGATGAGGCAGCAGCACCTCTCAGCAAGGATAATCCCACCGTCACTCAAGGTGAGGATTGCTCCTCAGCAAGGGTTCAAAACTTTGCATGTAATTTCACTTGTAGAAGCCCCTGCTGGGCCATGGTGATAATGAAAATGCTGGGGTGATATTTCTACCTCTTAATTACAGGTTCCTCAGATGTTTTTTTCTGTTGGAAGCTTGCGTTCACACCACACATTTAAAGCACTATGATACCACTTTAAACCAGCATGTCTTCCTCCAAGGAATCCTGGGAAACGTCATTTGTTAAGGATGCAGGGAGTTGGTAGTATAGCTGTCAACTTTTCCCTTTTTTAAAGAGAAATTCCTTATTCTGAATAGGATTCCTCACAAGAAAAGGGAAAAGTTGACAGCTATGGTTGTTAGCAGACCCCTATTCCTTTCACAAAGTTACTTTTCCAAAAGTTCCTTGTGAAGAGAGATTCACTGTTATACTACTCTGTGTGTTGTAGTTCTGTAAGGGGAACAGGGGGTCTTTCAATAACTCTTAGCAAGCAAACTACGGCTCCCAGAATTCTTTGGGGTAAGCCATAATGGTTTAAGGGACGCGGGTGGCGCTGTGGATAAAACCTCAGCGCCTAGGACTTGCCGATCGCATGGTCGGCGGTTCGAATCCCTGCGGCGGGGTCCCAGCTCCTGCCCACCTAGCAGTTCGAAAGCACCCTTAAGTGCAAGTAGATAAATAGGTACCGCTTTATAGCGGGAAGGTAAACGGCGTTTCCATGTGCTGCTCTGGTGCCGGTTCGTCAGAGCAGCTTCGTCACGCTGGCCACGTGACCCGGAAGTGTCTGCAGACAGCGCTGGCTCCCGGCCTCTAGAGTGAGATGAGCGCACAACCGTAGAGTCTGTCAAGACTGGCCCGTATGGGCAGGGGTACCTTTACCTTTATAATGGTTTAAAGTGCTTTAAAGGTATGGTGTGAATTTGGTCTAACTGTTGTTCGAGAGCACTGGGTGTCTGTGTCAAATCACACAATCGGCAGTGTGTGTATGAAAAATCATTGACTGATTTATTTTAAAACAATTTTAAAATTGCTTAATGGTTAAAATCTCTCAGCAGGGCACAAACACTAAGCCAGCAACAAAAAAACTGAGGTGAAAGGATCCAATCTTATGGGTTGGGGAAAACCTGGATAAATATATATGCCTTCACATGATGTCTGAAATAAAATGTGGCAGATCACGCATGGCAGAGGGAAAGGCAGGGGCAATGTGAAAAAATGCCCATTTTGGACTGACTGCCCTGTGCCTCCAATAGAGTACAAAACCAATGCATAAGAAATAACACAAGCAATAAAAATATAAATATAAATGATACTTGTAGCACGGTACATTACAGGAGCTGCAAGAGGCGGAAAAATCATTCAGTTGTTCACCCCTAGCAATGTTCAGGTGGTCCATGTGGGGGTGAAAAAGTTTGGGAACCACTAATCTATGCTATCTTAGTTATTCGGGTTACCTGAGTTTATTTTCTATCTAGTCTCTGAGCGCTTTGTTACAAGGCAAAATTTTGAGCTTGTGTGTCACTGTGCAGACAAGCTAAAGCTGGTTCTTAGCATTGTGCTTCTGACATGAGTGCTCAGACAACCACTTTTGCTACGCCAGAATCTGGGCCAGCTGGCCGGCCTGCTGCTGTTGAGTTCGCTTGTGACCAACGTGGCCCATTTGAGTTTTTGCTTCCCTTTCAGTTTCCCTAGACTCGGATGTCCCAGAGGCTCCCAAGCTGCCAACCGTGGAAAGCCTGTGCCATTGCAGCACCTGCGGCCGAAGAAACGTTTCAGGGTCAGCCCAGGAAGGAAGAGGGTTTTGCAGTGAGAACTGCCACCGGCAATTCAAAGAAAGGTAAAAAAAAAAAAAGGGGGGGGGGGAGATGCTTGCATGATAGGCAGGAGGAAGGGAGGAATTTTACAGCTCTGTATATTCCTAATTCTTCTGATTTGGAGAGAGAAGAAATGGAGAGAAAGAAATGCTGCTGTGTATCTGCCAGGACTGGAAGCTCTCTTTCCTTTGGGTGGGTTATATTAAACCTGCTCCTGTGCTGAAATGTGCCCCCCTGCCCCAGTTTCTGAAGAAGAAGAGACATCCATTTTTATTGCCTCAGTCACAAGAAACTTTAGAATTCAGGGGGATTTTGAACTCACAAATGGGCCAAGGGTAGTGTGCATGTTTCTTCTTTCCATTAAACATTTCTCCAGCACTCTGCCACCTCCATGACCGTCTGCACTTCCTCATCGGAAAAAGGCCCCATGGGACAAGTTACCTCATGATGTCTTCCCCTTGGCTTTTAGCTGAAGTGTCGGCATTTGAGAAGGTGGGCAGAGCGCAGACTGCTGGCGACTTGATTTGTAGGATGAAAGAGAGGCCACACATCTAGAAGGGTTTTAAGAGCGATATTTATAGCATTTGTGTCTCACCATGCTTCCAGGGAGTCCAGAGTGACTTACGTGAGGGGTAATAATAATAATAATAATTTATTATTTATACCCTGCCCATCTGGCTGGGTTTCCTCAGCCACTCTGGGCAGCTTCCAACAGAACACTAAAATACAATAACCTATTAAACATTAAAAGCTTCCCTAAACAGGGCTGCCTGTTAGGGCCAGGGCTGGGGTATCACATTTTATCCTTAAAATAGGCCAGTGAGGTAGGCCAGCATCAGCTGACATACTATGGGCTTCCCTGTCAGCTTCACAGCTGTGCAGGGACTTGAACCTCTTCTTAGCTCAACACAATATTATCTGGTTGGTACAAATAGGTCTTGCTTCCCTAAGAAGTCAGTCCCCTCCAAAGTGAGGCTTTGCCTCCTCCATTCAGTTTCTACAGCGATCACAATATTGTTGCAGGAGCCGATTCTAGTGCTCAAGGCCAAGCGGTTCCCATTGCTTGGAAAACATGGTTGGCGGTAGAAGTCCTGAGTCTGCAAAGGTTTGCTTTGCTTTGTAGGTCTGTCATCGTGGAGAATTCTGCTGGCAGCACCAACTCCACTGAAATCCTCAAGCCAGTGAAGAAGCGGAAGAGGAAAGATTACCAAAGCCCCTCCGAGGAGGAAGAGGAAGAATCAGAGCAAATGGTACAGCTGGGGTGTTCTTCCATATATGTGCAAGAGTCCCAAAGCTCTCTCCTGTCCTAGTGCAACAAATCTACTCTTGACAATAGCTGGGTTTTTTGCAGTTTGGAAAGTGATGGGGAAACGCACTGAAAAGTGTGGGGAGAATGAATGCTGAATAGAAGGCATATAAATGCCCCACAAGCAAATCAGGAGGAATGCTCAATAAAAACCAGACATAGTCTAAGCTCTGCATAAGCTCAGTGCAAACAAATCAGGATGAATGGTCAATAAACAAGGTGTCTAGAGAAGCCCACAGATAGCATAAAAACAATGCAGAATTTCGGTATTGTTTCATCATGGGGAAACTGATCTTACAGCAACTACCCTAGGACTTCCTTTCACGTGGATAAATAGGGGAGTCTGAAGTTAGCAGCAAATTAATTCAGAGTAGGAAGGTTTGATTTTTGTTTGTGTGATGTAGGAAGTGAAGCAAGAGGAGACCAATGGCTCTGGAGGAGAACTTCCTGCTGGCAGCATGGGGCATGAAGAATGGAACACAAGTCAGCCTGGTAAGCTCATGGCATAGATCTCTTGCTCAAGCCATTCAGATTTTCTGTTTACTAAGATGATTCCTTGCCTAAATAAAGTGTGGCACTCCTTATTTACTCCTGTTCTCTGGAAGGTGGAGGCTAAACTGTATTGGGATGGAGTGGGTTTGGTTTAAAAGTTCCTGTTAGGCTAGTCAGTCAAGAGTTCTTCTAGAGTCTTATGATCCAGTGGTGCATTTCAGAACGCTGCAGAGATTACAAAACACAGAGAAACACCTGAAACCATAAAATAGATATTATTAGAAGTAGTCATTGTTCTTATTTCCTACATTTATATCTAGCAGTTAAACCATTCAAGCAAGTGCATGTATCTGTCTACACAACTTGGATTTTTTGCTTCATATAGTATTTTTGTATGGCAGTCCCTGCCATTAGCTTACAACTGGAGGCGGGAGGCATTTAGCTAGAAAGCATTAGTAGTTTGGGTGCACAGGAGAGATGGTGGTGATGCTGTTGGAGGCTATTGTAAGTCAATGTAAAAGAGCAAAAATGAAATACTTAAGTCTATTACATTTAAAGTTATTTAATCGATTGAATCGTTTCAATAAAGCAACAGTGTAATGCAGTTACATTGTTAGTGCTGAGTCTCCTAAGTCGTCCCTTTGCATTGATTGACCAGCACACTGGGAGGCAGGAAGAGGTTTACTTCATACTGCGCAAGTGGGGAGAATAAGGCCTGCTTGCTTTTGCTGATGCTTCAGTAGAGAGAGGACCAAAGTCTTAATTAACACAATGAAAACTAAACGTTCTAGGAGGGGTCCACCCATCTGCCCTCTGTCTGCCGCCTTGGGCAAAAGGGGAAGCTCAATATAGGAAGTGCTTTCCTTATATACTGCATCAGAAATGCAATCCACTCATGATTATAAAGGATTGGCCAACATCCCATTAACTGAGTTGTCACATGATGGAGTAACATTATGCATAATGTGGAGGAAAATTAGATAGAAGTCTCCCTCCCCCCAATCTCTCCTAATGCTAGAATCCTGGTGTCATCCAGTGAAGATAGATGCTGGGATATTCAAGGCAGAGAAAAGGAAGGGGTTTTTATTATTATTACACACAGTGCATGGTTAAATTATGCACTGTTAATGTTTGATGTTTTATTATTTTTCTGTATATGCTGGAAGCTGCCCAGAGTGGTGTGGGCAGGTGGGGTACAAACAATAAAATTATGATTATTAATTATGAAATTTGCTACCACAAGATGTTGTGATAGTCACCAGGCTGGACAGCTTTAAAAGGGGACTAGACAAATTCATGAAGGTTAAGGCTATCAATGGCCACTTGTATGCCTCTGAATAACAGCTATTGGTAAACATGGGGGGGGGGGGGAGAACATTACAGTTCACCTGCCCTGCTTGTGGGCTTCCTATGGTAAGAACGACGCTGGACTAGATGGGGCTTTGGTCTAATCCAGAACGAATTAAGTTCTTAACCCGAGGTACCACTGTATGTGTGGCAGGAGGGCAGCACCAAGAGAGGACAGGACAGGGGAACTCATTTTCCTGTTTTCTGAACCTTGCCCCCAAAATGTCTAAATGCCAATGAAACTACTATTGCTTTGACCATTTAAATTTGGTCTGAGTCTTGCTGTTCTCAGTTTCCAGCGAGGAGAAGACAGAAGGTTGGACCTGGGCATCTTACCTTGAAGAACAGAAAGCCATTGCTGCCCCTCTAAATCTGTTCCAGGAAGTGAGTTAACAGTGTCCCTGTTTCTGTCATCTGTGGGTGTACCTAATCCCAGCAAATTCTAGGAACTGTAGTTCCATGAGAGGGATTTCTGTCAAAGAATTCTTAGCACCATCTACTGACCACAGTTTGCAGGACCCTTTGTGAGAGACTGAAATAAAAATTGGGTAAATTAGGAATGTAAATATGGCCAAGTGTGAGGAAACCTCTTATTCCGTTAGGAGTCAGTCTCTATCTTCTGCAGCCTTCCACCTGTGTGTCCTTGTTTCCAACTCAACAATTTCATCATGGATTCTGCTTTATTTTCCTTAAAAGTCTAATCATGCTTTTATGTGATTCTTCTCACTTCCATTTATTTTCAGTTGTTGTTTTTTTGCTTTTCTGTCAGTGGAAAATCACATGGGAGAGTAATTCTAAAAAGTTGTTGAGGGAATAAAATGAATCTACAGTGTATTCTTTTGAAAGTATTACATTTTTTAAGTGATCCATAGTAGTTTAACATATCCATTGGAAGCACTCTGTTTGAGATTAACTTGATTTGACCATGTAGGCAGTATTTTTGGATTAGTGAGGAGGCTGCATCACTTACCCCCCATTTTCATACACGTTTTCCCCATCCTGCTGGGTGTTCTAGATAAACCAGTTTTCCACATTTTCAGCACACTTCATGCTAAGCCTGAGAGAATCTGATTCCTCTTCCCAGATGGAGAACAAAAGCTGTGTGTATGGCTGCTGCAGGGGTCTATTGACTAGTACCTGTGACATCACTCAAGGCATACACCTCTCTGGAGCTGCTTTGCACATGTTTTAATAAAGGCTGTGTTCATACGTAAAGCATGGAGCATTAGGCAAATAGTGTGTGCTTGGTTTGGGCCTTCTTATTCCTGCAGGGGGAAAACTAACTATGATCCTTGACTTAGTGCTGTGTCCAAACCCAGGGTTCATGCTTTGTTTCACTCCAACAAACCATGATTGGCAAGCCAATTCTTTATTATGCATATGCCAGTTTTGGTTTCTCTCGGTTCCTCATTTTTTTTTCCAATCTTAAGTTCAGTTCTCCACATGTCCTCATCAGTTTGTTGTTTTTAAGTTCTCATGAAAACCAACAGCATTTTAATGATAAGTTCTCCTAATATACACATTTTTGTATGCCATTTCCCCCAGTACACACATTTTTTTGCAAACCATTCCCCCCCTAATATAATGCAGAATTCCATTGGGTGAGCGGTGTAAAAGACAAGCAGCCCAGCAATAGCAATAATTTTTTTTTCACCTTTTCCTGTGGTTCGTTCCTTTTAGCACCAGTCGACCCCCCAGCACAAGAATGGTTTCAAGGTGGGGATGAAACTGGAGGGGATCGATCCTCAGCACCCTTCTATGTACTTCATTCTGACGGTGGCCGAGGTGAGATGGGCCTGTCCATTTGCGTTCTCTTGCATCTGAACTGCTGAAGGCCATGCACTGAGTAATGCGTCCCACCGGCACATGGATTTCCACTTGTGTAATGGGACTTCCCTCCCATCTCCTTCCCCTGCATATGCCCTAAATTTCTTCTAGGAGGACCTGCATATTTGGGGGGGGGCAGGGGCCAGGGGGCATGCTGAAATCCTTGTGCTGACAGGACATGTTAGTAGGACACCACACATTGCCTCCCTCTGGGTTTCTGGCTATTCTGGCTATTCTAAATACAGCTAGAGCACAGCACCATCAGATCTGTTTTATGAGTGTTTCCTGAAGTACAAGGCTTAAATAAGTCACAGATCTCCCTGAAATGGAGTTATCAGATCCTTGCAAAGGGTCTTGTAGAATCTCACTTCATGGAGCACTCCAAGGCTCTGGGTTCAAGCCAAACTTGCAGAGCAATCCAGAACCCCACACTGCTGTACTGTAAGGGGTTAGGATGAGGCAGAGGTGCCCTGTGTCAAACTCTGCTGGGCTGGGATCTGCTGGTTGGGGCTTTGGCCACTGTGGATCTCCCAAGAGCACCTACCACAGGTAGGCAGAAGCTACTGCCAGTGGTATTCTGGCTGCTGGCGTTTGGAATATATCCTTGAAACAGGCTCAAGCTGGGCTAGCCAAGGATCCACTGTATTCTGAGCTGGGCCAGCTACCAGAAGGTTGATACAACAGGTCTGATCCTGACCTCTGCTGCACCTGCCTGGAGCTGGCATAGCAAAAAATACTGGAGTTTAATTCCCACCTGCCAACTGTAGCTGGCAGGGCTCTGAATGTGACAATAGCTCTTCTGCTCTGTTTTTTTTATTTTGACATATCTATTTTTATTGATGCTTATACAAAAGTTCATGCCCAATACAAAGTATCTTTGTATAATACACCAAAATAAAAAACCACGTTTAAAATCAAATCTAAAAAGAAGAAGAAGAAGAAAGCAGGAGCAAAAAGAAGGAAAAAGGAAAAAGAAAAGAAAAAAGAGAGAGAAAATAAAATGGAAAATAAAATATTTTTTCAATCTGCAAATTCAGATATTACAAGTTCATTTTCTCTTTTCCTCAAAAAGTCCATGAAAAGTTTCCAGGCTTTAATAAATGTTAGTAATGATTTGTCTCTAAACACGTTAACTTTGCCATCTTGGCTAAGTCCAATAATGCTATCAACCATTCCACCGTAGTAGGTAAGGCTGTATCTTTCCATCTTTGTGCATATAGCAGTCTTGCTGCTGTAATCATATATTGGAATGCTTTTCTCTGTTAAGCCCCATTGCTGCCTGCCAGGGGTTAGACTAGACCCACTGAACTTCGGATCCATCCCTGTGTTTGCAGAACCCATTTCATTAGACATTGTTATTTTGAGATAGAAAGCAGATATGAACCAGTTAGAAATCAAATGTAAATGCTCACACTATTGTAGATTTTACGCGCAGACTGGGAAATGTATGAACTATGATGTAAGCATCATTTACATGTGCCAGATTCCTACCTCTCCGGAGGTAGAAAAATAACTGGTTGCTGGACCCAGCATGTCAGAATTTTGATGCACCAGCCCAGTAAGAGATGGGAACATCCAGTAAGTTTGGCTTATCCTATCCAGAAAGAGTTGCAGAATTAAAACCCATTCATTGAGATGGCATGTCCCTTTCTGTTGCTTTTCCTGCATACAGGTATGTGGATATAGGATGCGCCTTCATTTTGATGGCTACTCTGAATGCCATGATTTCTGGCTGAACGCTGACTCCCCCAACATTCATCCTCCTGGCTGGTTTGAAAAAACAGGACACAAACTCCAGCCCCCAAAAGGTGAGTGAATTAGGGTGGTGCATCTGCAGGCACAGCTTCCATCCTTGCTGCAGGAGAAATCTTAGCATTTCCCCAAGTGTGGAGATAGCCAAGCAAGAGTGGCTGCCGGCATGTGGGAACCTGAATCACAGCCCTATTTGCATAACTGAGTTGTGTAAATTGCACCATAGGTAAATTGGTTTGAGAGAGGGGCCTCAGTAGCTTTCAAGGTGTGGGTGGGGAAAACGTGGCTTTCCAAATGCTTTGGTGGTTGCTCTTTCTATCCAGTCTTTTTCCCTGATAGGGATTCAAGGTGGCTTAAAGCTAAAATAGGAACAGCTGGAAACATAGAGGGAAAAAACCCAGTTAAACATTAATTGTGCTGGCTGGGCCTGATGTGGATTAGAGTCCATTAATGTGTGTGGGGCACAGGTTCCCCATCTAAAGCACCATGGTAGCAGTTTAAACAGGCATGGCTCCCCCTAAAAAATCCTGGGAACTATAGTTTGTTAAGGGTGCTGTTTCCCTTACAGAGCTACAATTCGCAGAATGAAAAGGGATTGATTGTTAAACTGCTCTGGGAATTGTAGCTCTGGGAGGTGACGTGGAGTCTCCCAACAACCCTTGGCACCCTCAATAAACTACAGCTCACATAATTTTTAGGGGTGGGGGGTGGGAATCATGACTGCTTAAAGTGGTACCACAGCGCTTTAAATGTATGGTGTGAATGTGGCCTTAAAGTATCTCAGTACCATCCCAAAAGAAGCTGACATTTGAGGAAGCTGAGAAGCACCACCTCTGTTCACTAGTTTCCGCAGGTCAAAGAGGGAGGTGTGGCTGCCCACTGAAATGCTTCCTTTCCCCTCTTTTTTATTTTAGGGTGTCTAGGTTACAAGGAAGAAGATTTCAACTGGGCCAACTATCTGAGGATAACCAAAGCTCAGGCTGCTCCAAAGCACCTCTTTTTCACTCCAGACAGTGTGAGTAGCTGTGATGGCTTGTGAATGCTCTTCACATTCGTACCTCTGCTCACTCAGAGAGATATATATGTTGTTGTTTAGTCGTTTAGTCGCGTCCGACTCTTCGTGACTCCATGGACCAGAGCACGCCAGGCACTCCTGTCTTCCACTGCCTCCCGCAGTTTGGTCAAACTCATGCTGGTAGCTTCGAGAACACTGTCCAACCATCTCGTCCTCTGTCATCCCCTTCTCCTTGTGCCCTCAATCTTTCCCAACATCAGGGTTTTTTCCAGGGGAGATACATATATACAGTCTTTATTTTACATATGTACAAGCAGCGCATTACAATAATGTATCTGAATCCTCCAGCTCAGATTCTGGGAGTGGCTTACACCGGCTTCTTCTCCAACAGAAAAAGCAGGGAAGTTTCACGTGATGCCTCTCCCCCCTCCTCTTTAACTGTCTCCTTTCCCTGGCAGGCGGAATAGGCATTGTCTCACTGTCTGTGCCAGAACTTCCTGTGCGGTGCTGAGGCTCTGTTCAACATCTGAGAGCCGTCTCGCCTCCTGGCTCTCCCCTCCTTCCTCAATCGCCACTTCCTGCCCACCTCCCTCTGCCTGTTCCTGCTCCTCCCTTGCATTCTCTGGCAATACCATGACAGTAGCAGACCCGTTTGCCTACAAACTAGCCCCATTCTCTGTGCTCTGGAAATTATGGCAAGAGAAATATTTCTGCATACAACGACACACAAAAGAACCTAGCCTGCACCATTAGTGTGGCCCCAGGATTAGAAAGGTTCAGAGGAGTAAGTATAGTATTGATGCACATGCAGGATCCTGTCAGTATTTCCGGCATACTGGAAATTAAGGTTTCTGCAGTTGAAGTGGATTAAGGTCCTATTGCAGCAAGTCTCTCCCTCCTTTTAAAACAACAACACTTGGAAAGTGACTGGGATATGCCTTGAACAGTATGGAATGCAGGAATGAGTAACAGGAAGACGTGTCAACACTCCTCAAGCAGATCAGGATGAATGGAGGACAAATGCTCACCATCATTATAAGCATCCCACAAACAAATCAGAGCAAATGCTCAATAAACACTAGATATCATCTGATCTCCACAAAAGTTTTGTGTAAGGAAACCAGAAGAACTGCTCAGTAAACAGGTTGTCTGGAGGAGCCCATAGTAAAAATAAGGCTGTCAACGGAATAAAGAATTGAATTGGATTAATACTGTGGCCTTCCACAGATTGATTACTTGATGGAATTTAAATTACTAATACTGCATTATAGCTGTTTGTTGTTTTTGTAGTTGATGCCCCGAAGGAAGTGCAAGATAGGTGCACCATCAGCTCCACCTACATGTTCGTGCGATTCACACATCACTGCTACACCTCAGGATTGCAGCACATGGGTGCATGTATGAAAAGGGCCCGTTTTTTTCTTTCTTCTGTTTCCTCAGAATGCTGCTCCTACAGGGTTCGAAGTGGGTATGAAGCTTGAAGCAGTGGACCGCATGAATCCTTCTTTGATATGCGTTGCCACAGTGACGGATGTGGTGGACAATCGCTTTTTGGTGCACTTTGACAACTGGGATGACACATATGACTACTGGTAGGTGAGAGAGGAGTAGAAAGATTGCACAGAAAGAGCAGTCTTAGACTGAGCTGTAGGTGTATCTTGCTTGAGAAAAGCCTTTCGAAATTCAAAGAACGTTAACATGAAATTGTCATGAGAGTTACAATTACACACCTCTCATTGAGCCACTCTCTCTGTTCCATCAAGTCTACTGTCTTGGAGCATCATTTTGTATTTTGCTGGAATCTTGGTTGTAACAGTTCAGAAATGGAACCAAGTTTATTAGTATTATTATTTACAAAGATTAGTCACATTTTTCCTCACTCAACTGTTACATGGTAACTTGTACAAAGTTACTGTTTGCAGGCCTTTTTGTACTTACTCAATTTCTGTGCAACTTCCCTGTCCCAAACATTGATCCTGTGTTAGGGTATTTGGGCATTAGTTAGTTGATTAAGGAGAGGGGGAGCCATTAAATATGATTTGGAAGCATCTGATGAACTCTTTTAAAAGAGGTGGTCTGTTGTTGTTTAATCGTTCAGTCGTGTCCGACTCTTCGTGACCCCATGGACCAGAGCACGCCAGGCACTCCTATCTTCCACTGCCTCCTGCAGTTTGGTCAAATTCATGCGACCTGGGTTGTGGGGCAGAGACATGGAGCTACCCCTCTGCCCCCAGCTTTCCTGTAGATTTGGTGGATAGAGGTGAGGTCAGGGTGGCATGGATGCACCTGCATAGCCCAAATCTCACTGCCACCCTGCCTAAGCCCAATCCAGGTAAGTGTAGTAACACCAGTAGGGAGCGAGTGGCGCTGTGGTCTAAACCACTGAACCTCTTGGGTTTGCCAATTTGAAGGTCGGCGGTTTGAATCTGCCCAGCAGGATGAGCTCCCTTTGCTCTGTCCCAGCTTCTGCCAACCTAGCAGTTCAAAAGCATATCAGTGCAAGTAGATAAATAGGTACTGCTGTGACGGGAAGGTAAACGGTGTTTCTGTGTACTCTGGCGCTCGTCACGGTGTCCCATTGCACCAGAAGCAGTTTAGTCATGCTGGCCACATGACCTGGAAAGCTGTCTGCAGACAAACACCGGCTCCTTTGGTCTGAAGTGAAATGAGCGCTGTACCAGTGTTGGTAGGGCAGATCTGTGATTCCACCCCGCCACATAGCCAATGACTAGAAAGTATAATAAAATATATATTAAAGGTTATAAAGAGTGAAAGTTAAATCAACATCAGCAAATAAACCTCCTTTAACATATACCCTTTTTACTTGCTTTGTTCCAGGTGGTGAGGGAGTGGGCTTTTAAAACGTTCCACTTTTGGGTCAACATTTTGGGCCTCTTTTTTAACAGCTGCCATCTTTCCAAATATATTGCCATGCTAGCAAGTGCGTGTTGTGCTCATGCTACATAACTAATCTTATTTGCATTTTTGGATGGATGGATATGTCATTCTCAGCTTTCTCGTTTTCTCCTTTTTCCCACCATTTCTCCGTATTTCTGTATCAATTTGCAATTTTTTAAAAAAGACAATGAAAATTCCCTGCCATTTCAGTGAGATTTCTCTGAATCGACTCTTTTCTGTATTTTGCCTAACATGTGTAATTTTGCAAAGCAATTTCCCCAGTATAATGTGTTTTTGTATCTTATTGTCACCAATATAGGCATTTATATGCACGCTTTACCCTTAGTAGATGTATTTTTGTACACACTACTTGGCTTGAGAGCTGCATATCAAAATTTGGAAGAGTGTGCATTTTGAAGGATGACTGTGTTTCAGTTTGCATATACTTTTGGAAAGTGTACATTTGGTAGCTTTGCCTTTAAATGCAGATTTAATCAAATTTCTCCCCTGCCACTATTTGTATTGCAGGTGTGACCCCAGCAGTCCCTACATCCACCCGGTTGGTTGGTGTCAGGAACATGGGAAGCCCCTCACTCCTCCACAAGGTGAATACACAATTGTTGTCTGTTCTGCTTCTTACTGCAGCTGCTTCCACACCACACAAGACAGGCCCATTGGGCCATATTGCTTGGTACTGTTATCAATTGCAAGTTTTTAGTTTTTTTACCACCTAGAAACTCACAGTAGCATTCACACAAACTACACATCCATGTGGACATGATCTCCACATCAGAAAAAGTGAAGCAGCTGAAAGTCTTTGTTGAAATGGATGTCAGTGCAGGATTTGCTGGAGCAGAGTCAGAATAATATCTCAAAAATCCTATGATTATTCAGTTCATGGCAGATTTTGAAGCAGGTGCCTTTGGGCTGGTGCCTGCATTCCCATCAGTGTATTGCTTATTTCTTAAATTTCATTTAGAAATAGAGCAGAACATCCGTAAATCAGTTGTAAAGCCTACCTTCGTATAGCATGGGTTGAAGGTCACAGGGTGACAAACATTGCAGGGGAATCCACTATATAGGCCAGTGATTTGCACATAGCTGATACTGACCATCTTGAGTTCCTGAGAGCTTATTGCAACTAGTGAAGGATTCTCTCTAGCAAAAGCCTGTCATCTGGCAGACCCTTTCATTTCCAGACTACCCTGATCCTGAGAACTTCAGCTGGGAAAAATACTTGGCGGAAACAGGTGCTTCTGCGGTGCCAACTTGGGCCTTTAAGGTGGTGAGTAGTCTCTACCATATATAAGCAAACATTTCTAGGAAGGGTTGTTGCAATGGCGGTGAAATGGGTACAGGCGAGGAATCTGACCTTGATGCATGTCCCGTGCAAATGCTCACAATGCAACTTTACATGAAGGATAGGTTATCAGTGGCTATGACTCATGATGGGTCTGTTACCTCCAGTATTGGAAGCAGTATGCCTCTCAATATCAGTTGCTAAGGATCCCAAGCAGGAGAGTGCTATTGGGCTCATGTCTTGCCTATGAGTTTCCAATAAGCATTTGATTGGCTAGTGTGGGAGTCTAATCCAGCTAGGTTGAATTCAGGTTGAATTTTAGCAATCTGCAAGGCTTCACACTCTTGCCAAACTAGTAAACTCTCCAAGTCCATCACTCTTCAGATATGGATGGATAGATAACTGTTCCAACCACTCCATTCTCTCCCCACTCCAGAGGCAGCCCCACGGCTTCCTGATCAACATGAGGTTGGAGGCAGTGGACCGAAGAACTCCCTCCCTGATCCGAGCAGCCTGTGTGGAGGATGTAGAAGACTACAGGGTAAAGGTGGGTTTCTTCCTTGCTCAGTACTTATACCTTATTGGTGAATCACTGAAATATAGGCCAGTTGTTAATAGGGGTGGTTGGACTACATTGGAAGCAAGAGCAAATCTTCTGATATAACATTGAAGAAGCAGCCCTGGATACATGCGTGTCTCAGAACATGCTTGTTGCTTTCCTCCATGCTGGTTTAATGTTCAGGAGATGGATTTCTAAGTCTAATGGCAACCTGTTGATTTGTGCCCTACAGATCCATTTTGATGGCTGGAGCCATATCTACGATTTCTGGATAGACTCGGACCACCCAGACATTCACCCAGTGGGGTGGTGCTCAAAAACAGGGCATCCACTGCAGCCTCCTCTGAGTAAGGACAAATATTGTGCATGGTGCAAGTGTTCGCTGCAGCTCTGTTTAGCATATAGCAGCAGTAGCAAACTCAGGTCCCCAAGGCCTGGTTCACACATCAATTTTAAACCACAGTTTAAAGTGTGTTGGTCACACTGTTAAAAACAGTGGGCACTTCTCCTCTGGTCTCACTGCTGCCACAACACTGGGAGTTAAGCCATGGTTTGGCTTAGTGTTACATCCAAAGGCAGACTTTTGGTTTGTTTCTCCCCAAAAAGTTATGAGTGGTAAGCCGATAACAAACCATGGTTATAACTCTTGGTTTGGAGAGAAGCAAAACATGCACCCAATTTTGAACATACAGTGGTACCTCTAGATACGAACGGGATCTGTTCTGGAGCCCCGTTCGCATCTAGAGGTAAACGTAACTAGCAATGGCACGTCTGCGCATGCGTGCGCCGCTTTGCGCCGCTTCTGCGCATGCGCAAGTGGTGAAACCCGGAAGTAACACACTCTGCTACTTCCGGGTTGCCACGGAGCGCAACTCGAACACGCTCAACTTGAAGCATATTTAACCCGAGGTATGACTGTAATGCTAAACCAATGGCTTAGCTCTAGCAGTGGGTCAGGAGCAGGTAAAGTGGGAGGTAATTTTCGAACTGCACATTTCCTCTTTCATGCAATCCATAGCATGCATTCACCTTTAAGCCACAGTTGAGCTATGGTTTAAAGTGGTGTTTGAAGGATGCCTATGACCGTCTTGGTGGTTGTCCAGGGTTTCAGACAGGGGGCATTCCTAATCCTATGTGGAGATGTTGTGGATTGAACCAGTGACCTTTCTGAATGCAAAGCACATGTCCTTCCCCTAGAAATCTTAATCTGGATCATTTTCCTCCCTTTCTTGTGCAGGGCCAAAGGAACCTGTCTCTTCTGCCAATGGGAGCTGCCCAACTTTGGCCTGTAAGACCCTGCCCACCACCAAGAGTTCCAAATACAGCTTTCACAGGTGAGCTGTTGCTATAAGGTACAGAGGGAACTCGCTGCTGTAGGCTGCATTCCCCCAGGTTCCCACTACCCATAGCCAAGGAAGCAAGTACTGTGGTGGCCCATGCAGCTTACCTGGAGTATGGGTTGTCAATGTAAGTTAATTGTGCTGTACCTGCACAACTTGTGGCTCACCAAGACTGTATCCACCAGCCATGTGTGGATCAACAAACTTCTGTCGTTGCTGGGCTGTCACAGATTGGAAAAGCATGTGGGGCTATCAAGCCCTGGCAAGATACAGTACATGGTTGTTGGGTTGCATTTGGCTTGATAGATCAGAGGTTGGACGCCTTATGTGGCATCTGCCCCTATATGTGACAGGTGTCAGTCATAATCAGAACTAAGCACTCCTTTCTGCTTCTCCTGTTCTCCAGGAAGTGTCCAACCCCCGGTTGCGATGGCTCAGGTCATGTGACCGGGAGATTTACAGCACATTACTGCATCTCAGGGTGCCCCCTGGCAGAGAAGAACCAGGGAAGAATGAAGGCAGATCTCTCAGACACAGAAAACTCCGTCCGAAAGAGGAATTTGATTGGCTTCTCTCAGCGGAAGAAATCACGGCACCATGGAAGGTAAGAAGGCAGCTGGCCCTGGTGATACACTTGGACTTCCACACTGAGATTAGTATATTATCACACCCAAGTGAAACGTTTTTTGAAGTGAAGGACATGAGGCAGGAGTTGATAATGCAGGTGAGCTGCGCACAGGTGAGCTTCAAGCAAGCTGCCGGCCAGCTCTGTGGAGCCTCCTTTTATTGACACAAATATGCAAACCCAGGCAGATACATTTTGGGCTGTGACCTTTACACATCTTCCAGTCCCGAGATCGTGGGGTGGTACAAAGTTATTTTGGCACCTGTTTCCACCGCGTCATTTTCCCCTTGCACAGTGTATGACGAAGGAGACAAAAGGTCTCGAGAGACAAAGGTTACAGACAGGGCACCGCAGACTACTTAGACCGCAAAAGGGTAGACAGAGGGCACGATGTTCAGACAGCTGTGGCTTTGTCTGTGAGGGGGAGTGTGCCCCGCACCCCAAGGTCACGCAGGCAGGCAGGCTGAGGCTGCCTGCGGGTGGGGAGTGTGCTCCGGACCCAGCAATCATTCCTACAGTTTTTCTCTTCTTTGCTCTGTGGATGCTCCATAGAGCTTAGACATTTTATATTACCCCTCCATATCTATAGCAAGTTTGGGGAACCTCTGGTGCACCAACCGAAGGCAAGCCCCCACTCCATACTTCTCTGTCTGGACCATGTTGTTCCCCAGGCCATGCCCCCTACTAGCCCTGTTTTACACCCTCCTTGTCATCCCCACCCCCCACCCCAGGTAGGATATGTCCTTGAACTCTTATAACGCCTCTTGCTTGCTTGCTGAGAGGCTAGAGATGGGTGTGCATTTGTGTGTAGAAACTAACCTACTGCCCTGCTTCAGGGTGGAACTCAACATAGTGCTAAAAGGCTTGTTCCCATCAGCACAAGATTTCTGCCCACCCCCATGCTGTTCTGCGGGTTCTTTCAATCCTTCAGAGTGGATTTGGGGGAGGTGTTGGGGAGGAAAGATTGGGAGGAGCCCCACTGCACTAGCTTCTGCTAATGGAACTGAATCCAGCCCTATTTCTGCAGCAAGACGCACTGTCCTTGCATGTTGAAGGAGCAAGTTTGCCCCCATTCCCCTCCATTACCGTGGTAATCCTCAATGTGAACCAGATGCGTTACGGAAATGCCTGGACCAGGCTTAGGCAAACTCGGCCCTCCAGATGTTTTGGGACTACAGTTCCCATAATCTCTGCTCACTGTCCCTGTTAGCTAGGGAACATGGGAGTTGTAGTCCCAAAACATCTGGAGGGCCGAGTTTGCCTATGCCTGGCCTGGACATACGGAGACCTGGTTCAGACAATTCTCCCCTGACCTTAAAAAGATGTGTGAACCAGGCTTCAGTAAATGGGATTTACCATAATTTGCCATCTTTCAATCCATGCACTGTGGAATTTGAAGATGAAGCTTGTTTTATTTCTCTAGGGGACGACCTCCGAAATACCGGAAAATCCAGCAGGAAGACTTCCAAAGTAAGGGCTTATTATCTCTGACTGTGTTTCTCTAGCAAGCAAAGAAAGACTCCTATAAGTGTGTGTTAAAAGGTGGACAGACAATACAACAGGGGCTCTTTTTATATCCTTAACAAATGGACAAAGCACACTTTTTAGTAAAAAATATATAAAAATTGCAGTTTAAATTAGAAACAACACACTTAAGACATACATTTTAAATATGATTTTTATTTTATATTTTGAGCAGTATCTTTGCTAAGATATGGACTGATGCTTCCTGCATAAATGCATGTTTATGCTGTTTAGATTACCGTGCGTATCACCAGTGACTAAAATCTTCCTAAAATGGAATGTGAGAAGGGTTAAGATGCTATTGAGATGCTTCTTGGACTTCTGTAAGCCAGAAGCTTGCACCCACATGTCTGCAAGCCACCTCTCCCTGAGCTCTTTGCACAGCATCCTTTTCAGCGCTAAAAGCTGTGAGTCTGGGCAGTTTCCAGGAAAGCTTCTCCCAACAGCCAGCTGGTGATTCCTGATAGGTTCATTAAGTCCTACGATTGTCTATGCCGGGGTTGGGGAACTTGTGGCCCTCCAGATGATGGCGGATGACTTCCCTCATCCTTGCCCATTAGCTGAGCTGGCTGGGGATTATGGGAGCAAAAGTTAAACCATTTCTAGCCAGCCACATGCACATTTAGGTTGCAGTTTAAATAAGTGCCTATGCACATCCCTAACGGCTTGCAAATCGGCAGAACCAGGAGGAGGAGGAGAAGAAAAAGCCCAGCTGGGGTGCAGTGATTCTGTGACACAGAGCACAGGCACTGGAAGGATTTAGCTTCACTCATGTACCGCTTCCATGGATTTATTTTGCAGCAAGCCTAGCTTTTAACACATGGGTTTGCTGCAGTGCTGTTAGGTTCTGCTTGGCCCTGAATCTATTCCAGGCTTCACAAATCATTCATACGTTATTACCATAAGCTCTAGGAGGAGAAGAAAAGGGGCCTCTTTCTTTGCACGTTAGCCTGACTTGATGCTTTGAATGTCATTGCCAGCTATTTCTTCAGACAATATGCACCAGTCTCTCTTTATGTCAGCCTTGTCAGCGCACCCAGACCGTTCCCTCTCCCTCTGCTGGGAACAGCACTGTAAGCTCCTGCCTGGAGTGGCTGGGATCACAGCATCTACTGTAGCCAAGTGGACCATTGATGAGGTGAGCCATTCCTCTTGTCTTTATCATTACTGTTGATTGATTTGAACCCTGCTTTGTAAACAAAACATACACAAGATGCCTTAGTTCACATCAGTATATAGTACAAAGCAAAGTGAAAAATGCAGGTGCACCCCCCAAAAAAAAGACAAAACGGAACAGGAATTTTAAGCAGCACCAGAACACACAATAACATGAATTTTATACAAAGGCCAGATTAAATAAAACGATCTGGAATATTGGGGAGTTTGGGTTTGCTGTTGGTTAGGTTGTTTTGGATTGCCCTGGGCAAAGAACAGTGACTAAAAAATTCAATAAATGGTAATAATAATACATAGGTTTTCTCTGAAAGGCAGTGGGGGCAGAGAGATGGAGAAATGGAAGTGCTTGTTTCCATTCCCTCAGTTATTTCCTGTTGTGTCTTTTCTGCAAAGGTCTTCAGCTTCGTACAGACACTGACAGGTTGTGAGGACCAAGCAAAACTCTTCAAGGACGAGGTAAATTCCATTGGTATTTGGAGAACGATGCAGTAGTAGAACCATCAATTGCAGGCTGGTCCTAGAAGCCCATCTTGGCAATACCGCATCCTGTTTGGTATATAGTTTCCCCTCTGTTCTATTTCTTCAGAGACAAAACCAAAAGAGATGGGATTGATTCAGTGTGGCTAACATTTTAAATATCTGATGTCTGTGAAGTGAATTCCATATTTTCATGTGCAAACATATATAATAGCACCATGAAGATCACACTCGGGAGTTGTACAAACAGGCAAAACCACCAGGAGCCTTTTTCTGTTGGTCTGGCTGAGAGTTACATGGCAACCACCTTCCTGGAGACAAGGCCGCTCTCCTACCTTTTGTATCAAACATGATTTAGTTTTGGCCCACAGCAAGCAGGAGAGGAGAGCTGGTCCAGAGAGAGGATAGCAGGAGGCCCAGTGGCTCCTTCCACTATACAGTAATACCTCCGCGAACATCCGCCTTGTCTAGTGTCCATTCCGGTGAACGTCCGCGGCAAACCCGGAAGTACCAGAATGGGTTACTTCCAGGTTTGCAAACCGCTACATGCGTGCACAGACGCGGCGTTTTGCCCTGCGTCCTTTTCGGCTAGTGATTGGGGCTCCGGAATGTATCCTAGTCGCAAAACAAGGTACAACTGTATAGCTACAAAGCAATGAGTTTTATGAATTTAATTCTTATTGATCTTACTGATCTTCATAAATTTACAACAAACTAAACAGAAATGACTGCAGTATCCTTGGCCTTTTAGAACTAGAGAGCAAAAGATGCTGCATGCAAGAAAATGTGGCCAAGTGATCGCCTCATTTCTGACTGCAAGGGGTTAACTTATTTATAAAAGTATTTTTACATGATCCAGAGTACAGTGGTACCTCGGGTTACAGATGCTTCAGGTTATGCGTTTTCAGGTTGCGTACCGCGGGAAACCCGGAAGTACCAGAAAGGGTTACTTCCGGGTTTCACTACTTGCGCATGCGCAGAAGTGCCAAATTGTGTCATGCGCGTGCGCAGACGTGTGCTGCAGGTTACGAATGCTGCGGGTTGCGGACATGCCTTCATCACGGATTATGTCCGCAACCCGAGATTCCACTGTATCATTATACATTGTACAACTAGCTGAGTGGGAAAAAGAGGTTGAATGGCAATGGAATTGGGGCTCAGCTTTCAAAAAGAGTGGTACCATCATTGGCTTGACACCTGGCAAAAACCCAGCAAGAGGGGCTCATTATTGGGGATCAGCAGTTGCTTAGCCACATTATGCATAGGTCTGCAAAGTCACGTTTTCAAATGCTGAAAGGCCATCAATAGGGATGGGTGAATTTGTCAGCTTCATTTTCTCATTTTTTCTAATCTTTCATTACACATTCCCACATCAGTTCACAATATTTTTCTTTTAAAAAAGGCAGCTTCATGAAAATCCACTGTCCGCAGTTCCAGTCTCATGTACAAATTTTTGCAAAGCACTTTCCCTGAATATCATGCATTTTTATGTTATTTTCACGAACATACGCATTTTTGTGCACACTCTACCCTAGTATATGTGTTTCTGTTCATGTTACGTGGCTGGAGAACTACATTGCAAAATTTGGAGAGGTGCAGATTTTGAAGGGCATCTGCGTTTCAGTTTGTGTATTGTATTGGCAAGCGCAGATTAGGTGGATCTGCCTTAAATGTGAGCTGGAAAAAATTATTCCCCATTCCAGGTCATTGACAATATTTTCAAATGTACCCATTGAATTTAGCTCAGTGTTGGTGCTTCAAAAGTATTCACTGACTCCTGGGGCACATCTGCTCTTTTTTTGGGAACTCCAGCATGCAAACATAGACTGGCCAGTTCTTGGAAAAGCAGATAATACTTTGCCCACAATATTCCCTTCTCAAGTTTTGGAAGCCAGCCATAACTATCACACAGCTGAGGCATGTCCTTGGAGTCATTAGCTGTATCCATGGCCTGGTGGATCAGATTGGGATGAAGCTTCCTGGCGCTGGTCAGATGCTGGGATGTGATGCGCTGTTACGAAAACTGCATTTTATTCCAGAGGAAGCATTGAGTGCAGATAGCTTGCAATCTCAATCTCAAACCTTTTATTGGCATATTGACAGAATTCTGAAAGGTTCAATACAATAAAATCACTCAACAAAATCCAGTAATGAAAACACTGTTGCATAACATTTTTGCTTTGTGTGCATGAGAGAGAAACAGGCACCTTCAACCATCTCTCTTTTCCTCCCCAGATGATTGATGGTGAGGCATTCCTTCTGCTGACTCAGACTGACATCGTGAAGATCATGAGCGTCAAACTTGGACCAGCGCTTAAAATCTACAACGCCATCCTCATGTTCAAGAACGCTGATGATACCTTGAAGTGAACCACCCTTTGACTTTTCTCCCATGTGGGAGCTGCCAAACTCTCTGTCTCGGCAGAGTAGAGACCTTCCCGGCTGCTGCAGCTGTAAAATCCTGCCAACTTGCTCTCTCTTTTGAGTCTTCGTCTTTGTTTACATGCCAAATCCATTACCTGTCTGTCTTCCTCCAGCAAGCCTTTCCAAATACTGCCCTGATTCCTGTCTAGCAGTGGAGCTCCAGCACTGACCTGCCCAATCTCACAGACCCTATTCTCCTGATGGTTTTAAAGGCACACGCAACAGGAATTTGGAGATGTGGTTTGCTATCAGATTTAACCTGCCTTGAATTTAACTTACTCAGCTGCCCAGGTTCTTACATTATAAAGCGTGCCTGGATTCACATGATGCAGAAGAGGAAAATATTTACAAATGGACCACCGGCGTGATCACCAAATGGCAGCACGCACTGGGAAGCACCTCTGATGTTTCAGGGCAAAAGTCAGTCTCTTTAATAATCAGGGATTCGATCGTGAACTTCACAAGGGGCAGAGTATCTACAATATATCCAGGGACTGGCAGAAGCACTAAGTAAGTGTTGGTCCTTCCAAGACAGGCTACAGGACTAAGTACATTATTGATGAAGGAATCCATCCTAACAATTCTGCAGTCATTTCTGCTGTTGCAAAAAAAAATTGGTGCTCAGAATTTATAGACTTGTAATATTGCCATGCTACTTGTAGAGGATGAGAGAAACAAAGAAGATCATGTAATAATGTTCCTTGGTTTAACTTCTGTTCCTTCTGCAAAGCGCACTTCAAGCATTTTTTCTTTTTAATATAAAAAAAATGTGTGGGAGCAGAGTGTCACAGAAAACAAGCAAACTAGCAACATTTGTACTTTAAGCAAAAGCATTCTTCTGATCCATGGGAGGAGTGACTGCTCTTAGGGATAGCCACCTAACGTCGTTCTGGCCTGGCAGGTGCTTGTATTGTATGAGAAAAAGAAAACAGATTCTGTACAATGCAGCAATTCTTAATTTCTTTGTTCTGGACGCATCAGTTGTGCCCCATCAAACCATATTTAGTTCAGTGTGTGCCAAATGTTTACATTTAGCTGCTTGACACTGTCCCTTTAAAACGAGAAGCTGGCTTTTAAAAAAAAGAAGTTTTTTACCATATGGATACAATGTGAGCCTAAGCTTTCAAGCTTTTGAAAATAATTCTGCTGTTGACTACATGGGGTTTTTCTTGTGTCCGTTGATGTTGACTAATGAAGCAATGACAGAGGCTGTTCTGATGAGCTACTTTCCCTATAGTGTAGCCATGTGACTAAAAGGCTCAGGTTGCAACATCAGTTCTAGCCTTAGATAGTGAGGAACTGGCCTCAGGCGGCAGATTTCTGAATGCCGTTAAAGGACAACAACTATCCTGTTAATGTATTATTGTTTGTTTGATAGAAGTTGGAATGCCATATGAATTTTCCACTTCCAGTGCCAAAATATCTTGGAACGGTCCTATAGAGTTGGGGAATCCCTTCTAATTTCAGCAGTCCTAGATTTAATTCTGGACGTTTTCCACTCCATTCTCCATCAGTCATCTCGCTTGACGGTGGCCCCATGTAATAAATTATGATTGAAGGCTTCCATACACAAGCAGTGATTTGGATCTAGGTTTCTTAGACCCAAATCCAACCCATTTGCTACAAAGCATTCTAAGTGTATTTCTTAGCGTATGAACCTCCTTAAAACCAACTTAAAGTTGTTGTTTTTTGTCCCCCTTAAGTCTGTGAAGGAAAGTCTAAAGTTTCTTAACCATACATAACACCAGCAACATGGCTCATAGCAGTGTGGTCTGCGAAGTCTACTTTCTAATGTTTGGGTCAAATTCATGCTAAGCTTCCCATGGAAATGCGGCATTTTGACTCTGATATTATTGAATACTTGGTCACTATTTAGATCTCTTTTTTAACTGCTGGCTGCTTACTGTTCCAAGATCAATTTATATATTGATTTCTCTCTCTCATGGTCATGGCAAGCATTTCTTTTTTTAGCAAGTTTCCTGCTGATTGTGAAATATTGACTCCCCCTTCTGCTTACTTGTTAGGAGGCAGATTACTGGGAAGAAGGACATTTTTCATTTTTGAATCAAATCCTTCTAACAGATGCTGCTGGATGGTGCCAAACTATCCCCATATCCAAAGAGATGCTCTTTTTAGTCAACCAGGAAAGATGAAGAAGGAAAGAACCACTTGACATGCCCAGGTGATTCTTGGCGGGTTTTAAGAGGAAAACTTCCCCCTTTTTTAAAAAAAAATGTCCAGTTTGCTGTTTTAGCTGCTTATATAAAGATCAGTCAGCATATTTGTAGGAAACAAATCCTACAAAGCAAGATTTTGTTTCATTAACATTCTTATTATGAATGTTCTTATTAATATTAATTTTAAGTCTCCAATTATGTATACATTCTTCTTGTATTTGAGACAGGGACTTTGCCAACTCAATGGATGGATTGCTGGGAGTTGCAAGGCATTTGTCTCTGAATTTGAAACTGGATGAGAAGGAATATGGCTGGTTCGGGACATACTCTGCTAAGCAGAGGAGTTTGGGTGCTGTTAAGACCACTTGAAAGAAACAGGAAGTGTTTAATGGTGTTGAGGCCATCTTTGCTATTGTCCTACTGAAACTATAGCCATGAAGAAAATGGCTTCCTTTGTGCCATTTTGAGACAGTTATGGGCCAGTTTGCCTCTCTGCCTCTTCAAAGGTTTGAGCCTCTGTTGTTTGGCTCAGGTGAAATGTAATTTTCTGATGGGTCTTGTATGCTGAACTGCAACAGGTGGCCCCTTGAGGTCCTCGGTGCCAAATTGATTATTCATGTAGGCTTTTGGATTTGGGCACATAATCTGTCCTAGATTTCACACTGAATCCCTCTTCCCCACTCTGTCATGCTGGCCACTGAGCAAGCTGAACTCGATTTGCACCAGGAATGGAGTCTAGATAGTGCACTGCTCCTATTGACCCCAAGTTCCTCCAGAGAAGACAATTATCCTTAATTGGAAGTGTGTAAAATGCGTGATCTAATATTGTGTGCTTGTGTTTTTGTGTATGTATGTGTGGGAGACAGAAACAATTATTTTAGTTGTTAGGAATATGCACACTTTTAAGTAACTCCAGCCCTCACCACCCATTCCCATTCATCTACTGCCGTAGGTGTGCAACCTCATACTTCTTGTCCTTCTGAGGCAATTGCACAGATGGCTAAGGCATATTTCCTTCTATAATATGGTTGGAACCTTATATTTGGTGTAAAGCAGGGGTAGCCAATATGATGCCCTCCAGATGTTTTAGACTCAAACTCCCATCAGTCCTAGACAGCATGGCCAAACATCAGGGAAGATGGGAGCTGGAGCCCAGAACATCTGGAGGACATCATATTGGCTACCCCTGGTATAAAAAAATGAAAGTTAAACCTCAATCTTATATGTGTGCATGTATGTGTAAAGGTAAAGGTACCCCTGCCCGTACGGGCCAGTCGTGTCCAACTCTGGGGTTGCGCGCCCATCTCGCTTAAGAGGCCGGGGGCCAGTGCTGTCTGAAGACACTTCCGGGTCATGTGGCCAGTGTGACAAGCTGCATCTGGCGAGCCAGCGCAGCACACGGAAACGCCAGTTACCTTCCCGCTAGTAAGCGGTCCCTATTTATCTACTTGCACCCGGGGGTGCTTTCAAACTGCTAGGTTGGCAGGCGCTGGGACCGAGCGACGGGAGCGCACCCCGCCGCGGGGATTCGAACCGCCGACCTGACAAGCGGCAAGTCCTAGGCGCTGAGGTTTTACCCACAGCGCCACCCGCGTCCCCGTGCATGTATGTGAGGGAGGGTTAAAATGAAACTACCTTTCCTGTGTTTGCTCATTGCTATTTCTGTGCATGTTGCTGCCAAACATTTGCTCAGAAAGGCAGCGAGTGTCAGAGAGGAGGCAGCCTGGGCCTTGCCAGATTCTGTCTTGAAACCTTTGGCACCTCCAAGTGGCAGGGCTGCTGAAGACCTTGGCCAGAGGCCCTAGAGAGCTTCTGCCAATGGCAGAACCCTAGATGGATCTTGCAATATATAAGGCAGCCCATTTTATACTGCTTGTATGTCCAGTTCCATTTACCACTGTCGTTTTCCTTATGTTTAGGAATACTGGAGAACTAAGAGAAGCACCAGACTGGTTCTCAGAACCTCACCTCAGTAGGTCATTTCCCGCTCTGGCACTACTGTTGTCAGTAGAATTATGTATTAGCTGAAACACCATTGGAGTTATTTTGTCTCAAGCATCTAAATAATAGCTCCTTTTTGCGGGGAGCTAATGGCAGCTAAAATGCCTCCTGAGCAGAATACTCCCATCAGTCCTCAGGTTCTGTACTTGTATCCTAGTCAATTCCTCCTTAGTAGGCTTGAGGTCATTTCTTCTAAGACCAAGCGAGACAATCAGCCAGGCACCAATCCCAGGGGCCGAGGAGCACTCCCCCCCCCCCCAGATTTGCTAATGGCAATATACTGAGTGATGCTTATACAGAGTAAAGGTTACAATGACTTCACAAGGGTGCTGCACAGAGAGCTCTTCTAATTATTCTTTGCATTGTTGTTGCTGGAATGATTTATGTAGCCCATTAAGAGATTTAGATCCCTGTTCTTGTTAAGAACTGATGGGAATCAGTAAAACCCTGACACTAATTCTGGAGTCACTCTGTGATACGGAACATCAGATTTCATAAAAAATCAAGCCAGAAAATCTGGGAGAAAGACATTAGAATTACTTGTTTGCAGAGGGATCCTTGTGTTGAGGACACTAGCTTCTTAACCCATGAAAATCCATGGGTTGAAGCACACCTAATCTTACACTGAATCATGGCTGAGTTGTACCGTAGAGGGGTATAGAGCAGGGACCGCATAACCTCTAAAGGTTTTTCATTTTTATTTTTGTTAAAAACACATTACATTATAAAGAATCAGTTCACAATATGGTGAAGGCTAGTGTGTATGGCAGGAGGGGTGTGTGAGAGTTGTTACTCATCTGTAATTAAGATGCAAGCTATCCCCAGTCTCAAGCAGTATCATTGCTCACAATTGCCACAATCCAGTCATGTATATATGCAGCAAACAGTTATCTATTGTTGGACTACAACTCCCATCACCCCAGACAGCATTGCCCAATGATAAGGGATGATGTGAGTTGTAGTGCAGGATTTGACAGGTGCCATGTTTACTGCCCCAAGCTGGTTGGTGCTATAGTTCAGTTACTGATTGGGTTTATTCATGAGTAGCCCTCACTGCAGTATCAGGCTAGCAAGCAAAAAAAAGCAAGAGAACTTTTGCTTGCACAGTTCCTTGTGCAGCTGCACATGAATTTCTCCCTAAGTGGATCAGGACCTCTAGCAGTGAGTGTATTATCTGGGGGGGGGGGATGCATTTTCTTCTTCGCTACAAAATAGTTTGGTTTGATTGCTCAGAAAATGTCATTGTGTTAGCTTGAAATCTGGGTAGGCTGTGTGGAACAAATGTGAATTTACTGCCTAGAAAACTCTTCACTTTAAAAGGCCTTCTTAACTGCTAGCCCAAGACTCATACTCCTTTAGGAACTCTTTATCAGGAGATCCGGTACTCATTGCAGATGTGTGGGCCAGCTAAGGATCCCTTTCACGCTGCAGAAATGACATAATGTTGCTCAAAGATGGATGTTCCTGTTGCTGAGTCGCAGCCAGAACAGGAATGTGCATTCCTTCCTCTGCACCCTTGATTACCCTTGATTATTCCCACCCCAGAAATCCAGTTTCGACATCAACTTCAAGCACTTTTGAAATGCAAAAGTCCAAATCAAAATGATAAGGCAGGTTTACTGTTTAGGGCTTATTTGGGGCTTGAGTGCAATGGAAGACAGGAAGTCTTCAAAAACCCTTGATCAATCTCCATCTTTTCTTCTTCCTTTCCCCATGGTCCCTGGGACTGTTGGGTTCACCCTAAATGGGAAGGGAGGGAAAAGTCAGGTAGGTGTGACAAATCCTGCCCAAATGCCCTTTGTTTTAGGGACCAGCTTTCGCAGAGGGCAGAGGCGGAGTTTTCAGAAGAAGCATTTTCATGGAACCGAAGCTTTTTTGCACTTTCATTCATTTGCACTTGTTTAATTTGTCTTTTGATATTTGCACCTTTGTGTTTTCATGATGGAAATACTATAATTGTATCCAGTGCAGCTATTCTGGAACTTTGTGTCCTGAGTATACAGAAGGTTAATATTAAAAAAAAAGCAAGATGTGATATGTTTCGTCAGTGTTTTACAATAACAATAAATGTGAATTATGGAATTATACAAATGATATCGAGTTGATGTTTTTGTTGTTTTCAGGGATTTTATTATGAATCATTTAATAATGGTTATGATGATGTATGTAAAATAAAGTTGAAATGAATATTCAAAGTAAACAAAACCTGGAATTCATTGCGTTTTTAAAGGCGTGTGTGAGAGTGCACATCATGGGGGAATGGCACATTGAATGGGGGAATATGCCCACCATGAGCCCAAACTGCTGACAACATACACCTGAGTGTAGTAACTCTGTTGAGACTTTGTCACATGGTACACTCACTTCCTTCAAGTAATACAGGCCAGAACCTCAACAAAATACAAGCGTAATAGCCTGTTCTTAATTATGTCCACCATGCCTTTCTCCATGTTGGGGTCTTCACCAGAGGCATATTTCCAATTAGCGATAAGTAGCCCCCCCCATCAGTGCAAGGATTTACCCTCATGCAACAAAACTTTCCCCCCTTTCTTAACCCTAAATCTGTTCTGGGGATTTACCTCTCCAGAGAAGATTTGGGGGAGGGTGTTAGGCACACGTGGAGAGGGAGAAGGGGGGAATTCCTGTTGCACAAGTGTAAATCCCTGCACGGGTGAGACAGGTACTTGGTGCTACATTGGCCATAAGCCTTACAATTCAGTCTGATCTCAGTGTGCTGGGCTGGTTGATAACAGGGTCTCCCCAGCTTCTATGGCAACCCAGTAACCCCTTTCTCAAGGCTATGGGGCTAGGAAAGTAACATGTCCAGTGGTTCTGCTACTTCTTCCTCCTTAGGACAATCTAGGGTCGTAACCAGTGGGCCAGTCCTTTGAGTGTTGTGGTGGTAAGGGAAGCTTTGGGGGCCCCCTCTACCTTCCAGCTGGCAGGGAAAGAAGCGGTAACAGTCATAAGTTGGCAGTCCCTCAGTTTCCCCACAGAGTCTCAGGAGACATCTCAATAAGCATTCTTTTTAGCTAACTGCAAGTTGGAGCACTTCCCCATGAGTAAAACTAATGCAAGTGGGAGGCATCCCAGCCTGATATTTGTCCCTTGTGTTTTTTTATCCTTTATTATTCTTTGCAATGTTTGGTTGGTGGGAATGTTTTAAACATACAGCTACAAACATAAACACCATCGAATCACCATAATTCACACAAGTGGCCTTGTGTGAGCAATGTAACATCTGCAATAGAGGCACTTGGAAGATTGCATGGGTTACACCTAGGGATGGACATATTGTGAGATGAACTTTAACTGCCAAAGCAGCTGTGGTAATCTTCTCTGTTTCTCCTTTTGTAATGGATCCCCAAACACACACACGCACGAAATCTTTGAAAATGCTTCTGCGCCTGCTCTTAGAAACATTTGGAGGTGTCAATATATTCTGTCAGCTTATGATTGCACTATACTTGACCACTCATTTCTATGCTATAGAGTGTGACTACTATGCTTTCCTCTAAGTATAAATAGACGTAAGCAAGAACCAAGAGGCAATTGCTGCCTACTGTTAGTGCAATCCAGGCATAGGCAAACTCGGCCCTCCAGCTGTTTTGGGACTACAATTCCCACCATCCCTGACCACTTGTCCTGTTAGCTAGGGATGATGGGAGTTGTAGTCCCAAAACATCTGGAGGGCCGAGTTTGCCTATGCCTGGTGTAATCTTTTTACAAGCAGAAATACCCTCTGAAATAGATAGTGGATGCACACAACCTGGATATTTTCCCTGTGCACACCTTGCGTTCATCATTTTCTTCTGTAAAAGTACCTAACTTCTTCAGATCTCCACCAAGTTCACACGACTCCTTTGTCCCTCTTTCCAGTTCCTTGCACATCCTCCCCAGTCATCTGTAAAGGTAAAGGGACCCCTGACCATTAGGTCCAGTCGTGGCCGACTCTGGGGTTGCGGCACTCATCTCGCTTTATTGGCTGAGGGAGCCGGTGTACAGATTCCAGGTCATGTGTCCAGCATGACTAAGCAACTTTTGGCGAACCAGAGCAGCACACAGAAATGCCGTTTACCTTCCCGCCAGAGTGGTACCTATTTATCTACTTGCACTTTGACATGCTTTGGAACTGCTAGGTTGGCAGGAGCAGGGACCGAGCAACGGGAGCTCACCCCGTCGCGGGGATTTGAATCGCCGACCTTCTGATCGGCAAGCCCTAGGCTCTGTGGTTTAACCCACAGCGCCACCCGCGTCCCTCCAGTCATCTGTAGCTAGCTGTTAAAAAAAGAGCATGAAATGCTTGCATCAGTATGCTGAACTCAGTTTACTGACCCAGAATTCTAGTCACTAATGTTCTAGAGCCAATGTAGTATGGCACCTTAGACTTCAACCAGATTCAGAGCTTTGCTCAAACACGAACTTCTCTTGGGTCCCCCACCATCTCTCTGCCAAATCTACCTCACAGGGGGGTTGCAAGAATAATGGAGGTGCCGAGGGATAAATGGACACCACCACAAGCTTCTTGGAAGGAAGTCGGTATACCGATGTAATTATAGTAATTAAGCTGTGATGATGGTTCTGCTCATAACAGCTGATACCTCTTGCTGTTGTCCTAAAGACAAAACCATGTTTTCACACGCCAGTTGTGTGAGACATAGCCTGCTCTGGCTAGTCTTGAGAAAACCTCCCTTCTCTTTGTTTCTGATATTAAGAACTGTTTATGTGAACTTGTAGCAGCTCTGAGAAAAAGGGCAGTCTCTGTTTTCACTAAGGCAAGACAACAGAGCAAGATAATAAAAGATTCCACTTGTTAACCCTTGCTTGTATCTGTGGCTAGTGACTGATCTGGGTTGCTTAACAATATATGCAAGGACACAAGCCGCCATTATGGAACTGCTTGTGCCCATGGCTACAGGCAATGGCCAGGTATGCTGTTTTTTTATTGAAAAAAGTGAGCTGGATTTGATGGCTAGATGTGTGTTCTTGTGGTGAATGTTCTCTGCTGTTCTTTAACTGGCCTTTCCATACATTTTTTTTTAAAAAACTGCTTTCATTATTTAAATTAGTCCAATAATTGCATTGATGGCAATCTGGTGTCAGTCATGTGATGTCCTGCCACACATAAAAGAAGGGAAGATGTACCTATGAAAAATATATTTTTTAAAAGAACATCAGGAGATAATGAGCTCTTTACATCCTGAAATAGGAAATGCATAGTGTCCAAAGAAATTGAAGAAAGGTCGGTTTATGAGACAAGGCTGGGGAGGAGGAAGTAAATGGTGCTGATGTTGGCCATTTTTTTAAACACCAGACTTTAAAAAAGTAAAGTTATAAATTAAAACACAACTTTAGGACGTACTCCCAGGAAAGTGTGGTGAGGATTGCAGCCTTTCTGCTGAGTCAACATACTCAGACTTGTCTGGTAAGACAGGCAGGCTTACAGTTAGCCACTTACAGAAAACAAAAACAATGGCAATTCCTTCTGGACAAGAGGCTTGCCATAATCCACAGCTCAGGCTCCCAAATGATACGGGGACTGGGTTTGTGCGACAGGCTTATAATATTTTGTTGGTAGACCAATCCTTCCTTCTTTTAAGCATCAAGGAAATTAGGCAATGGAGGATTGAGATTCTGAGAGGCTTAGGCTGCAATTCTAAATACCCTTGCTACAAAGGGATTTACGTGAAGACAGTGGGGCTTACTTCCAAGTAAATAGGCACAGTTTAATGGCATTGGAAAGGCAAGACTGGCTAAATGGGATGAATGAGACACTGAGCAAGTTTCTAAGGATATTTCCTGATGGGTGTTCATTGTGGGATAATTGTTGTTGTTGTTTAGTCATTTAGTCGTGTCCGACTCTTCGTGACCCCATGGACCAGAGCACGCCAGGCACTTCTGTCTTCCACTGCCTCCCGCAGTTTGGTCAAACTCATGCTGGTAGCTTTGAGAACACTATCCAACCATCTCGTCCTCTGTCGTCCCCTTCTCCTTGTGCCCTCCATCTTTCCCAACATCAGGGTCTTTTCCAGGGAGTCTTCTCTTTTCATGAGGTGGCCAAAGTATTGGAGCCTCAGCTACACGATCTGTCCTTCCAGTGAGCACTCAGGGCTGATTTCCTTCAGAATGGAGAGGTTTGATGTTCTTGCAGTCCATAGGACTCTCAAGAGTCTCCTCCAGCATCATAATGCAAAAGCATCAATTCCTCGCCGATCAGCCTTCTTTATCGTCCAGCTTTCACTTCCATACATCACTACTGGGATAATTATTTTTTGCTAAATCCACATGATGTCATAGATCAGATAAATCAACAAGCAGTTTGATCAAACTGCTTGTTGATTTATCTGATCTATGACTGTCAGTATTTTGCAGGAAAGATACAAGCATATACCAGTGGATGGAAGTGCTCTATGGCAGTTTTAAAAAAGAAATTAACTTCTTGTTGTTAGGAAAGTTACAAGGAAGTGCTCTGAAAAGCGTGGCATATCAGGAGGACTGTTCATTGTTGTATAACCTCTCTGCAAACACATTAAAATGAATGCTCAAATAAAGATCAGAAATATTATAACCTCTGGGTCAGCGTTGTGTAAGCAGGTCAGGATGAATGCTCAATGAGGAGGCTGTCTGGAGGAGGCCAGATAACCAAACACACATATGGGAAGGTTGAAGTCAAAGAGCATTAATAGCAGCTAAACTGTGAGGATTGTGGTAGCCCAGTTTCTGCAGAATACCTGTTATATGATGCTCACAGAGGATGTACATTTAGCGAGAGTGGTGCTCGTACATTACGTTCAACAAATGCACAGTCTGTGTACTTGTGCACACAATAGTTCAGCTGCACACTCATACAGTTATTTGTGCTTGAAGTTCAACAAGTGCACAGTCAGTATATACAATAGCTGAGCTGCGCAAATCAACAAGTGCTCATTCCTTCACCCAAACGCTTGTACATGGCGCAGAAATGGCTTGTCCCTGTGTTCAGTGTAATGTGAAAAACAAGCCTGAGGAAATGGAAGCATCAGGAGGTGACCAAAAAGAGAGCTGTACGGTGCATGGAACACAAAGAGGAGCCACACTACATAAAAATCTGGTCGGGTTATGGTGAGTGGCTGATGGTGGAACTCCTGAGATCATAGACATGGCTGGCACAGTCAAAGGTATTCAAGGTGAAGTAGCACTCACAGTTCCCAAACTGTCACTGCTGCCGGCATTTAAAAAGCAACTGCAAGCTTTAATTACCTCCGTTTGGCCCCAGCATGTGACTCGCTTCCAGACAACGGTGCACTTTGTTTAAGCAGTTTTCATTTTCATCTGAGGGGCTCAGCTGGCCTCTAATCTTCCGGTGAGGAAAGCTGCTCTCCTCCACCAACACCACCAGCAGCATTTCCACCCCTCCAAGCCAATAGCAGGGTAATAATTTACTTCCTGGCATAAGCCACTCCTCGAAAATATACTTGTGACCTTCATGCTAATTCATAAAAACGAAAACAACAGTCAGAGCCGGGGAGAGGGAGTCTTGCAAGCAGGACTACTGTAGTTACAGGTTGGCATTCTTCAGCTTCCTGAGACACCTTGAGACCCCTGCTTTCTCGAATTCCATCCCCGAATAAGCAAACTTTGGATCTGCACACTTACTCAGGTATTTCTGAAGACTCACCAAGGAAGTGCTTCGGGAATAAACTGACCCTAAAACCATGCAGAATATAGGTGGCAGTGGGCAGTGGGACAGTTAGGTAATTTTAAACTCCAGCTGTCATGGTCTGGGGCGCTTGTCTTTAGATGCTAACCAGTATATGATTTAATTTGCAATGGCTCTGCTGTGTTTGGGGCTCTGCTGCTCATTCTGTTGAGCTGAAGCCCTGAACTTCTGCCCCAAAGACCTGGGCTTGTATCCAACATTGTGTTAAGTAACTGTCCCATCAGTGCAAGGATTTACAATTCTGGAACAGGCCTCTCCCCTCTTCTTCCCGCTTGTACATGTCCTGTGTCCTCCCCAGATCTGCTCAGGGGGATTGCGGGGGGGGGGGGGGGAGGATGACCCATAACAGATTTAGGAGGAATGAGGGGAGGAGAAGGGAGACAGGTTCCATCGTGCAAGCATAAATCCTGGCTCAAAAAGAGTGCTATGCCTTAATAGGCAGTTGAAGTAGGACAATTGCATTCTTCCACACTGGGTTTGAGGTTTTGTGGGCAACAGGCTTCTCCATTTTATGCTCCTGAAAGCTCTTGCTTGGGTATTACAGATGAAGGGTGCAACTTCTCTCTGTGTGTGGTTGTGTGGTTGTGTACAGGAGGAGTTGCAGGATCATTAGGAAGAACAGACCCCATGGTTTCAGGTAGGCAGTGATATAGGCAGACCATGCAAAAGCAAAGCAGGGCTTCCAGACTGTAATTTAGACAAATGATCGCTGTGCTGACTGGGGCTGATGTAGTCCAAAACACCTGAACATCACTAGGTGGGCAAAGGCTTCCTTAGTAGCATGTTTGAGAACATCTGGGGCATGAGAACTGAGGAAATCTCTCTTCACTTATTGTTATTTCTCTGGGAACTAGACTGTGGAAAGGAAGAGATTGCTTCTCTGGAGTGGGCCACATAGTAAAACTGTCAGTAAGAAAAAGGAGGAAACTGTTGATTTCATAATAATTTTTAAAATTACTCAGAAAATGAAAATGAAAAATGTTTAGCCTCTGTAGAGTCTCCTTCAGTTATTCTTCCATTAATTTGAGGTACATTCTGTTGCCCAAACATTAGGTTAGATGATGTCAGCTGTTCAGTGAGCATTCATTCTGATTTGTTTGTGGAAGTTTTGAAGATGTTGGGTCAAGCAAATGCTATCCCACACTTTTCAGTGCACTTCCCACCCCTTTTCCTAAAGTCCCATTTGGGGCAGGAAGCAGGTTTGTTGCACGAGAGCTCCAAATTAGCTTTAACTGCACAAACTTGAGTTTTCTGCTTTGTGACTGAATCCTACCTGGGTGTGTCTCGTGTAGGGCTGTGAGGACCCTTTTGCGGAGGGGCTGGGGAACAACGACCCTGCTTCCCCATAACAGGCACCCCTTGTGAGCCGACAGTTCATGTTTACGGGTTGTGTAGCTGGCGAATTCTGGCCCAGGGCTGCTGCTGGGCCATCCCCTCCACACCCAGTCCAGGACCCGGGAGATGACCCTATCTTTCTTGGAATGGTGTGCAACTTCTTGTGCCTGAATGGGGCGGTCGGGAAGCAGCTCCAGGCTCATAACCTCTTGTGCAGGTGCTGGGTCGGGGCCTGTTTCTGGTAGTGGTAGCCTGCTGAGGGCGTCCGCATGGCCCATTGCCTTCCCTGGGCGGTGAATCAGTGCATACTGGTAGCTGGCGAGGAAAATTTACCACCTGAGGACGCGAGGAGACAGAACTTGGGGGGTCTGCTTTTCGGGGGCAAACAAGCCAAGCAACGGCTTGTGGTCAGTCACCACGGTGAATCATGGAATTTTTTTACGCCCTTCACGATTGCCAGACCCTCCTTGTCGATTTGCGAGTAGTTCCGCTCGGTTGCGTTGAGTGTCTGGGAAAAGTATGCCACCGGTACCTCTCTTCCATCCGGGAGTTGGTGTCCCAGGACAGCGCCAATGCCATAGGGCGAGGCGTCGCATGCTAGCACCACCGGCAGCCTCTCGTCGAAGTGTGCCAAGACCGAGTTTGAGACAAGCAAGTCCTTGACTGCCTGGAATGCGGCCTCCTGGCGCTGGCCCCACACCCAAGGGGCCCGCTTGTCCAGGAGTCTGTGTAGGGGCTCCGCTACCGCCGCCTTGTGGGGAAGGAAGGGATGGTAAAAGTTCAATAGTCCCAAGAAGGCCTGAAGTTCAGTCTTGCTCTTGGGCGCTGGGGCATCACAAATGGCCCGTACCTTGTCCCCAGTCGGGTGGACCCCTTCTGCGTCCACCATAAATCCCAGAAAGTCCACCTGAGGCACTCCTAGTAGACATTTTTCCCGCTTCACCTTGAGACCCGCCGTCTGGAAACGGTGCAGAACGGTGCGGAGGCGATCCTCAAACTCCTCTGGTGTGAGCCTGGCAATCAACACATCATCGAAGAAGGGGGTGACGCCAGGAATCCCTTTAAGGAGCGAGTCCATTAGATTCTGGAATATGCCTGGTGCCACACTGACACCGAATTGCAGCCGCTTTACCCTGAACGCTCCTCTGTGCGTCACAATCGTCTGTGCCTCTGCTGTGGCCTCATCTACTGGCAGCTGTTGATATGCTTGGGCCAAGTCCAGCTTGCCAAAAATTTTCGACCCAGCCAGGGTGGCAAGGACATGGCTGACCACTGGGTATACATGGGCCGTGAGGGCCTTGTTAATGGTACATTTGTAGTCTGCGCAGATGCGGACCGAACCATTAGGTTTGACGGGTGTGACGATTGGGGTTTCCCAGGGGGCATTAGGCACCGGCTGCAGCACTCTTTGCTCCACGAGCCGGTCCAATTCCTCGTCTATACGGGGTTTCAGGGCGAACGGGACCCGGCGGGCCTTGAGCCTGACCGGTCGTACTGCGGGGTCAAGCTGTAGAGCAATGGGGGGGCCCGTATACTGTCCCAATTTCCCATCGAAAACCCCTGGAAATTCCTTGCATATGGCGTCCACGTCCACTTGTAAGCTAGTGTGGTTCACCCCGGTGACGGCTAGTCCCAGTGGTCCAAACCATGCCAATCCTAGTAAGCTAATGTAGGGGCCCTTGACCACAAGCAAGTCCAGTTGCCGTGTCCACCCTCGGTATTGCACCCTGAAGGTCCCCACCCCCATTGTGAGGACCTTACGTTTCTGGAAGTCCCGGAGGGTGAATGGGGCCGGCCTGAGTTTGGGACCCCCAGTTTCCTTAAGGTCCTTGCCGAGATTATGGATAGAGTTGAACCCGTGTCAAGCTCCATGCGGCATGGGGCCCCCTCTATCTGTAGCTCTACATAAATTTTCTCTACGTTCGGGTGGGGCAACTGGTATACCTGGAAGTCCGTGAGCTCCATCAAGTTGCCTTGGTGCGTTGGGGCCCGGGACCTGGGGCTCTTGGATTGGTCATCTGATGCCTGGCGTCGGGTGGGCCAAGCTCAACACACCTGGGCGATGTGTCCCGATTTTCTGCACTGCCTGCACTCTGCGTTGTGGAAACGGCAGGTCCTCCTCTCGTGACTTTCCCCGCAGCTTGCGCAGTTCCCTGCTTCTCGTCGAGGCAGCTGTGGTATGTGGGCTGCTTGAGTGCGCTGCTGTACTCGGTGCACCTCCTCCCTGTCAGATCCTGAGTCGTCGGTGAGGTCTTCGTGGTGGACCCTCGGTTGGGATGGCAGGCTCGGCCGTGCCTCTTGCGTCGACCTCTCGGCAGCTTCCGTTGCCAGGGCCTCCTCCAGAGCGACCTGGAACGTTAGGTCCTTCTTAGCGTAGAGGCGTCGTTGCAGCTTCTCATCCTTCAGGCCACCGACGAGGCGGTCACGAAGCATGTTCTCCAGCTCTGAGAAGTTGCAGAACCGGGCGGCTTGGCGGAGAGAGGTCACAAACCCAGTTATGGTTTCCCCAGGGGCTTGCCGCTTTGCGTAGAAGGCATTTTGACGAGCCACCACTGAGGGCTGCGGCGAAAAGTGCCGCTTCAGCTGTCCCATTATTGTTTTGTATGGAACAGTAGCGACGTCTTCAGGCGCAAGGAGAGCCCGGGCGATTTCAAACGTCTCCTCTCCGCAGACGCTGAAGAATATCGCCCTCTTCTTGGCATCTTCTTCATCGGTGACCCCTTTGGCTTCTAGGAGGAAGGTGAAATGGGAGGCGTACGCTTCCTAGTCTCCAGATGCTGGGTTGAACGGCGAGAAGCTGCTGTCGGTTGCCATTCTGAGTTCCTTGGGTCCCGGAGCTGAAGCCTGGATACACGGTGCGAGGCAGCGGTGCGGCAGGTGGCGGTGCTGCGGTGCTGTGTGTGGCAGTCAGCTCAGCGGGATCCCATCCTCGTCGCCAGTGAAATATACTCAGAGTCGCAAAGTGATTTCATGCTCTTTATTCAGCTCATAGTGGTGAGGAGGAATGAATGAAAGTCCCCTCAAAGTATCTGCTTTATATACATTATTTACACAATGGGCTGCACATGATTGGCTAATTCTGGAATTCTACTGTAAGCCAATCAGGTTGTGGATTCACTTATATCTGGAGCATGATTGGGTGGTTCCTGCCAACCAATCATACTGCTGCATTGTTCTAGGACCAATCAGACTGCTGCATTCTGAATCCTATTGTTCTAGGACCAATCAGACTGCTGCATTTTGGATCCTATTCAACTCAGTACATAACAGACAGTCTGGAAGCAACACTTGATAACAAAGTAAGCTGATGATGGAGAACTGCGTGGTGTTTTGTACATCCTTCCCTGATGCTGACCCCTATTGCTCATTGCATGTTCAAAAAAAGCAAACATGAGGGCAATAGATAATCATGACGACTGCAAAGAAGATCATTGCATTGAGGTTAGGGATGAAGGTGAAATTCAATTTAGCTTGCATTTAAAGGGGAACCTACCTAATTCATACTTTCTGAAACAATACACCAACTTAAACACAGCCGTCCACTGAAATTCTCTGAATTTTGCAATGCAGTTCTCCAGCCAAGTCATTTGTATGAAAATGCATATATTAGTGGAAATAGCATGCAGAAATCCATTATATAAGGGGAAATTGCATTGCAAAAATGCATATACTAGGCAAAATTTCTTTCAGAGATGTGGGGTTTTTTTAGAGAAATGCACTCTAAAATGCTGCTGAATTTTCACGATTTGTTTTGTTTTTAAATTGCAAACTGAGGTGGAAGTGAGGAGAATGGAACTTTAAGAGCAGACAAATAAGCAACTTGAGAGAAAGTGCCATTGACACATCTACCCATCCTTAACAGAGGCGGGCACAGGAGGCAGCATCCAGTATCTCCAAACTGCAAGGAACCCAAATATATTAATCCATGCACGGCAATTCATTTTTAGTGCTAACAGCTTGTGCATTTCTATTCAGGGGCACGTGAGAGTCCATGTGTTACCCTTTGTGTAGAAGTATGCACCAGTGGCCTATGTGCATGGTTTAAGCTGTGGGCCTTGTTTGGATGTGGCTGATTTGGACCTCCAGGCTAAGCATCTGACCCTGATTACAAAGTAAGTTGATGGTGCAGATGATGTATGAGGTTCCCCCACCCTGCTGCTGACCTGTGTTGCTTATTGCATGCCACCATTTGATCTCCCCGCCTTTCATGTACAAAAAGAGAGAGTAAACATGATGACAGTAGATAACAGTGCTGGCAGCAGCCAAGGGCACTGAAAGGAAGCATTCTCCAAACCACTGGACCCAGCCCAAATTTATTCATCCATTCTCAGCAATACACATCTAGGGGTGTTGTCCAGTCAAAATATATTCAATGCTGGTAAGTGATACATAGATAGAGCATGGCACCCACAGGGTTCTCACCCCTAATGCTAATGTGGTACAATGGCTAGAGCATTGGACTAGGGCCTGAGAGACCAGGGTTCAAATCCTTACTTAGACATGAAGCTTACTGGGTGACCTTGAGCCAGTCACTGCCTCTCAACCTAGCCTACCTCACAGGGTTGTTGTGGGGATGAAATGAGGAACCTTGAGCTCCTCGAAGGATCTAAAAACAATAAAATAAAAATGTGTGAGCAGGCCTTAGATCAGTTGTGAGGGTGGGCCAAATTATATTAGGCATACAAAGCTGTAATTTTGGCCTTTTGTTCTCTGGAGTTCCGTCAGCATTGAAATGATCTTGGCTGCTTAATATTTAATTTCTGCGTTTAATTATTAAGCAGCCTAGTTCTTCTTTTGACTTGAAGTTGGTCTCAAGAGGGAAGAAGGCATGGCAAGTGGGGACTCCCACAGTTGCTGCCACGTCTCATGCGCGGTGGTTTATCAGCACAGAGGATAAAATGTGCAGGTAGGATAATTTACAGCTTGCGCCTGTTGATTAAGCATTTTACTACCCTGAGAACTGTCTTGATACCAGAATAACAAATGGGAGCTGTCTGGGCAGAGAGTGTGCCAAACCTAGTCTCTCTCTCCATCAACTGCCCAGACTCCATCCTTGTAATTATTTTAGAAATATAATGTAGTGTGTGTGCTCTACTTATGGTTCTTTATCTCTGAACTGAACTGGGAACAGATGGCGCTTCAAATAGATGACTGTCCTTGGTAAAGCAGGGCTTAATAGGCTTGTTCACAAGTTCCACTGAATGTAGGTACAAGCTGTCTCTGCACGTGTCCAACTGTTTATGAAATAATGTGCATTTGCTGATTTGCACAGCTCAGCTATTGTGTTTGTGGGTTGTACACTTGTTGAATACCTCAATAGCCACACTGGGTCCCTATGCCTGTAGCATAAAATCATAGGATTGTAGAGTTGTAAAGTAGCCTAAGGGTCATCTAGTCCAACCCCCAGCAATGCAGGAACCATAGCTAAAGAATCCCTGACATATGGCCACCCAACCTCTATTTGAAAATCTCCAATGAAAGAGAGTCCAGCACCTTCTAAGGCAGTCCATTCCACTGCCAAACAGCATGCTAAATAGAGAAACAAAAACTGACCCAAGTCACCTTTCAGATTCATGGCTGAGTTAGGATTTGAACACAGCTCTTTCTCCCACCACCACTGCCTCAAGCCTGTTATTACTCACCAGTCATAAACTTTTATTACGCTAACAAGAGCCATGGCATTGGTGTCCCTCTGCCAAAGGAAGGAAAAGAAAGAAAGAAAGAAAAATCACCGTGCTACACCATACCCTTTGGTTGACACATGTTTGTCCTCCTGTTCCCTCCTGCCCCTCTTTCCTCCTCCATTCTGCCATTTCTGGGGGGGGGGGGGAGGTAGGCTGGTGAAACAGTGACCCATTTCTGTTGAGCTTCCTACAGCCTCCTAGTTGCTAGGATTCCTGGAAACAATGTTGGACTAGAAGGATCAACCATAGTCTAATTCAGCAAGACACATCTTGTGTTCTTACACAAGAGCAAATGCTCAAGGTCACTTAGCACATTTAGTTACGCCTCAGCTGCTAAGGGATCCTGAAGGCGCACCCTTACTTTGCACATTTAAGACATATCAGTGGACCACAGGGATTCTTAGTAAAAGGAGAAGAAGAAAACAGTGCATACAAGGCTGACATTTGTCCAAACATAAGACGGCAATTAGCTGAAGATTTCTGATGCTTCAGTTCCCACAGCAGCAGCAGCTCTTAGCTATGAACTGCTCACAGTACTGTACACTCGGACAAAACGAGACCACAACAAGATTTCAAGGTTGAACATCCAAGGCATGCATAAATACTGCTCTTGCTATGCTTGTCAACCAATCCTTTTAAAGCAGGAATAGGGAACAGATGTTGCTGCACCACAACTACCATCATTCTTGACCGTTGGTCCTGCTGGCTGAGGCTGATGGGAACTGGAGTCCAGACAGACCTGGAGGGCCACAGGTTTCCCATTCTCTGTTAATCAATTCATTCATTGTTTCAAGGCCAAATGCTATGGGTGGCAAAGAAGAGCAGCACCAGTTCTGTTTATACTTAGCCGCTTATGTGTATCCTTCTGGAATAAATCCAGGGAATGGTGACTTCATGTGACGCACAACAGCAACCACATGTGATAAGCAGAAGCTCTGCTACTGGATATGCTCCTTTGCTTAGTCAGAGTTAATAACACAGCACGATAATACAGTAACACTTTACTTGAGTACAGGACTTTGCTCCTGACATGCGAGCACCTCCAAGCGTGGAAAACTTTCCACAGTGCACCATATGATTGCAGTTCTTAAACTATTGCAAAAAAAAATTGGTTTTGGTATATAATATCATAGCTACTTGAGACCTATGCTGGCAGAAGATGGGGTAGATTCCATGTAATGTTTTGGTTAAGTTTGTATCTTTTAAAAGCTTCCTTTTTGGACTACATACACTCAGGGTTCAGGACCCTTCACAAAACTTATGTTCAAGCATTGGTGGTTGGGGGGATGGATTAATGGGTTGGGTCTAATGCTGTGCAAGCAAAGTCCCCCAATCTTCTGGAACAGATTCTGAGGGTGCATAGGGAAGTTGCCGGGGAGAAGAGAGCAAGCAGACATCCACTGCACAAGCAGAACAGTAGTGTTGGACACAACCAAGTATCACTATGCACCTCTCTAGGACTTTGGCTTATCTGAAATGCATTTGTCTCTCCCATCTCTCTTTGGATTTCAAACGACTTCACCATCCCAGGCAGGAATAGCAGAGAGGCACTGTGGGTCAAGAGAAATTCTGAATAGCTCATGCTCCAGTTGGGTTGCATTTCTTGTGTATTATATTGAACTGTACCATTTTTCTGTTTTTATATATAAAAAAATTAGTTGTCTCAAAGGATGCTTTATAGATTCCCCAATGAGCTGTCAAAGACATTTTCAGCCGTCTTCTTGGAACAGCTGTTACTGAAACTACCGAAACTAGCCTAAGGGTCAACAGCATCTTGGGAATTGTTCCAAGCCATGGTGCATCCAGACCAGCACTCTTGTCACATTTCATTTGATTTCATTTTACTTTGTGTTCCTTGCTGCCCTGGTTCTGATCTTTCAGCATTTAAAATACTGCTGAATTTGTATGGTAGTGCCTAAGTAAGTTAGATGGGTGGAGTGCCAAAAAGTTTGGGTTCATCACCACTGCTGCCCTGCCAAAGGGGGAGAAGCACCTATTGAGGTCATAATGGTGCTGTGTTCTGAGACTTTGAGATCTCTTCCAGAAAAAAAATTAAGAGAAGAACTGAGCAGCCCAACCTCTTCCCCCTTCTTCTTGGCTGGGGAGGCATTGGATTCAGTAGTGTCCCTCTGCCACAGGGGCAGTGAATCCTGTTCTGCTGCCGAAGGTGAAATGGGAATAATCATGAATGCCTAGAGTTCCCTGTGAAGAGGAATGGATTCTTAAGTGAATCTGGAAACTGTAGCTATGCAAGGGAAATAGGAGTTTCCTAACAACTCTTAGCACCCTTAACAAACTACAGAGAGCCAGTGTGGTGTAGTGGTTAAAAGCAGTGGACTCATAATCTGGTGAACCGTGTTCGCGGCCCTGCTCCTCCACATGCAGCTGCTGGGTGACCTTGGGCTAGTCACACTTCTCTGAAGTCTCTCAGCCCCACTCACCTCACAGAGTGTTTGTTGTGGGGGAGGAAGGGAAAGGAGAATGTTAGCTGCTTTGAGACTCCTTCGGGTAGTGATAAAGCGGGATATCAAATCCAAACCCTTCTTCTTCTTCTTCTTCTTCTTCTTCTTCTTCTTCTTCTTCAGCACCCATAATTCTTTGTGGGAAAGCTATGACTATTTAAAATGGTATCATACCGCTTTAAATGTATGGTGTGAATGTGGCCTTAGCATGATAATGAGTTTCCACCTGTGTTCAGGCTCAATTGCTGGCATCCAGCCAATGCATAATCACGTCTTGCTTTTTACTTCCTACCTGTAGGAGAGCTGACCTTAACGTTTGCAGGAGAAGGACATAAGATCAGAGACCTTCAAATTACCTCTCTGTATTCCTTGCTGCCTAGACTGCTTGGATAAGGTCAATTGGACAAGAAAGCTGACCCAGAATTTCTCAAAAAAAACCCCAGCATATACATTTCCAGGCTGACTTGATGCACCCACCTGGGACAGAGACCGTCTTTGAAACACTGGGAAAGGCAAAAGGTAAAGTCCAGCTTATTCCACACCTGTCAAAAAAGACGAAGGAGCTGATCTCTAATGTCAGGTAAACTCTTGGACTCTAAGACTGATAGCATGTACTCTTAATAGAACTAGCATGGAATGCTTGCCTTTTAACATCCTTTAAATAACATTGCACTGGCCCAGTATGGTTTCAAAGTGGTAAAAAAAAATATAGATTCCTTCCCACCAATTCCAGCTCATTTTTATGGGGGAAATGGAGCCACAATAAACATTTAGGGGTTTGAGTGGTAATTATCATTGCATGCAAATCATGTTGTTTGTGTGTGGCATCTGCAAGGTTGCCAACTGACTAAAAGAAATCCAGTCTGGCCAGCTCTTTTGCCTTTAGCAGCATTAAGGAAATCAGTTGGAGAAGGTTTTTATGGCATGGAGATGGGCATTATCACCTGCTGATGTTTTCAGATCGTGCTGCTGTTAAAAATGTTAGCAGCCCTAAACCAGCCTCTCTGCCACACCCCTTTTCATTTGAAAAATATCTGTCTACTCTGTGCGTTTTTAGGGCTTGTTTGGTTTTTTTGCAGTCTATTTTAATACCCTCATTGCACCTGTTACAATCAGCTTAATTGTATTTTTATTGCTGGATTCTCTTGAATGTTTTTTTTTTAATTGCTTGGGTAACTCTCTGTAACTCTCTAGTGAATGCTGTCATCATAGTAGTGTTAGTTGTTCTGGTATAATAGTTAGGAACTGAGTATTGTATTCATCTGTGGTTGTTGGCTTTGACGATTCATGTAACAAATTTAATTGTTTTATTGTGTCTGATGCAAGGCCACTCTGAGTACAGTAATTTCAGATAACAGGTTAATAATAATTATTATTATTTGTACCCCGCCCATTTGGCTGGGTTTCCCCAACCACTCTGGGTGGCTCCCAACAGATTAAGAACAGAATAAAACATCAGACATAAAAAACTTCCCTAAACAGGGCTGCCTTCAGATGTCTTCTAAAAGTCAGATAGTTGTTTATTTCCTTGACATCTGATGAGAGGGTGTTCCACAGGGCGGGTGCCACTACCAAGAAGGCCCTCTGCCTGGTTTCCTAATCTCACATCTCGCAGGGAGGGAACCACCAGAAGGCCCTTGGGGCTGGACCTCAGTGTCCACTCTTGACTTGAGTGGGAGGGGGTGACTGGTGCTATAATGTGCAATACCTCTTTAAGTGGCAAGCAGCTCTTAAAATATATGAAAGGAGGCACATAAGGTAGGTCCAGACAAGCAATTTTCCTCATATTCATGCAAAGAGGGAGCAATTTGCACAGCGTCCCTCACTCTGTAACTTTCTCAGTTTGTTACACAAAAATATTGTATAATTGACCTAGTTTGAGGTGTCCCATCTTCCTGCTACTTAGTGGTGGAGCCTTGTTTCCCACCCCCATGAATTTCTTGCATTGTATAGGAGTGCCCATTTCCCCAAATACCTTACTAATTTTGTCTATTATCAGAAGAAGTCACAAATCAGTTCCTACTCTACCACTTCTGACACAGCTCAGCTTTGTCATTATTATAATGTGTGTGGGTTCATAGGTAGCCTTTCAGATATTTGGGACCTAAGTTGTTCAGGGCTTCAACTCCTAATGCGAGTACCTTGAATTGGGCCCAGAAGCAAGCTGGCAACCAGTGCAGTTGCTTTTTAACTGGTTTTATGTACCACTCACACATGGAGGGAGCCAATGATTTCACAATGGTGGGAATACTTATTTTTTATTATTAATTTTTTTATTAAATTTGTATACTGCCCTTCATCTGAAGATCACAGGGTGGGTCATAACATAAAAATACAAAATGAGAATCTTATTTTTACCAATTTCTCATAACCATAATATTCTTACATAATTCTTTAAACATTTTTGCTAAAGCCAAATAATTTCGTTCCAACATTTTTCTAACACTCATCAATTTTATAAAACAATCCTAATAAAAAAGTAACAAAAAAGAAACAATCCAATCTTCATCCAGCGTCTCTTCCTCCTGGTCCCGGGTTTTGTCAGTCCTTTCTATCTCATCAATCTAGCGCATTAACCTGGCAATCTTATGTCCGAGGCCCTTAAGTCCCTTCCATGTCCCTTCCGCAGCTCTTCTTCATATTTATAGCTGTATTTTCCTTTATCTCCTGCTCCTTTCACTCTTGGGAACTCCAGCTTGACAATGCTTTTGACCCATCTCGACAAATCAGCCCCTTTTCCATAGTCCAGACTAAGCTCCATGTGGTATTTAAGAACATGTTTCAAAGTCCCTCCAAAATTAAGAGCCCCCACAACCCCAAACATCTCACGGCCCTTGGCCGACTTGAAAAGTCCAAACCTCCCTGCATAGGGGAGTGTATCCAACCCCCCATTTCCAAACCAAACCAAACTTTATCTTTCCAAATCTGGCTTTTACCAAGTTCATTTGTCAAATCCAAGAATTCGTGTTCCTGCTGGGCCACAGCTCCCTCCATCTCTGGCGCCCAAGATTCAGAAACATCCTCTTCCTTCATCTGTTCTGTCAGGGCACACTCCTGATCTGATTCCTGGGTGGGCTCTATATAATTTCCCACTGCCTGTCCAAAATTTCTGATCGCATCAGTCATAAAATCCGTCTTCTCATGTAGCTGTTCCAGTAGGGCACTTGTTTTACAGAAAACACACAACAGAGCTTCTGAATACATTGTCCTGCAAGGTCAGAAGTCTATTCCTACGATCGTAATCTGTGACAGCTGCAAGCTCCCCGATTCAGAATTGGTTACAGTTTCACAGGCTCCCTCTAGGGGAAGAACGTCTGTTTGTTCTTTTCTTTTAAAAACAGATCTAACAACAAAGTTTCCTTTTTCAGATATTTTGTCAATATTTGTTCCTTTAAGATGCGAAGGGGAACAATGGAGTCACTATGTTTCTCTTCTTTTAGCTATCTGTCAGAAACGTTTGTCTCTGGTCAATGAGCTTCAAAAAACGTCAGTCCTGACACCCCGCTCCAGGATCAAGACGGTGGAAAGTTACTTTGCTTTACACTCACTTCTGCAGGTTTAAACAGTCCGAAAAAAATCCCCCCCTCTTCTCCTGCTTCCGAAGGGGGTTCAACAATTTAAAATGATGAAAGTTGATCCTTTACAAGCGATTTTCAGAACTCTAGTTTGCCATGTCTTTGCTTTAATCTATCTACAAAGAAACGGAAGGCTGACTTCCTGTTTAGACCTTCCCGTTTCAGTGCCAAATTAAAATAAACTTTTAAGTCCAATTTTCCTTTCAGCTCACAAATCCTTATTTAAAGTCCAATTGTCCGAAATTTAAGTACTCACGGGTGATTGTTTTAAAAGCCAAATTGTCCCAGGAAAAAGGCAGCGCTCTCCGGCAACGGCTGTGCGGCTTCACTCCACGGAAGAAGCAGTTGACTCTCAGCACCGCGCCACTTCCCCCTCTTCGCTCCGGAGCCTGTTAGTGGGTTCCTTTGCGGGTTGGGGGGGCGCTAAAGGTGCCCGCCGAGTCCCATGGTCACAGGCTTCATCCGCCTGTGATTTTTGAATGGGTCCCCGCTTCGCCGTAGCGGAAAAGACCCGTTTCCCGTGGAGCTGGTCCCTCCAGATCAGAGTGAGTCTGCCATTACCGATGGCGCCACCCTGGAAGTCCCTATTATTAATTTTTTTAATTAAATTTGTATACTGCCCTTCATCTGAAGATCACAGGGTGGGTCATAACATAAAAATACAAAATGAGAAGACAAAATACGTAATAAAAACAAGAACAGAAACAAATTTTAAAAAACCATCCCTTCCTCTAGCATACCACACCCATCAACTGCCCCAGAAAAATTGGGACATCCCATTTTTCCCACAAGAGCACAGCGACCATTTTGGAAAAGCGCTTTTTCCAGGTCCACAATCTCATGCAGGTCACATGACTTGTGCAGGATTTCAAACCCGGGAGATGGTGTCCTGGATTTGGGCATCGTCATGTTAGATGGTTTGGCATACACCTCTGCCTCAACACAGCAGCATCACAACAGCATCACCCCCCCTCTCAATTACCTATTTGCATACAAATCCCCTTTGAAAGAAAAGACACTGTGATTTATTTATTTTACCTTGCATATATTAAAATTTTAATGTGCAACCGTGCAGGAGCAGTTACACATATCCAGTTTAGCGCCTACTAAATGGAAGAGGAAATGCAACAAGCACTGTGTGTATTTTGCACATAACAGAAAACACTTTCTTTTGTGGAAATCTTGAAATTTAGCCGCCTTCCATTATTATTTAGAGGCCCTTCATAATCCGAATAAGCCGTAGCTTACTTAGCTTGCGTGCAAATCTGGCAATGAGAAAATCTTTTTCTGCCCTCTCCCAGTAGTTTCAAGGAGCATGTATTGGATTTATATCCCATACTGTGCAGAACATGGACACAACTGTGCTGAACAGTGTGGTGGGACTAGAGAGGATGTGAGTGCTGAGTTCTACACCTGGGGCTACAGGAAGCAGTTGTTAATCAGGTTCTGCCACTCACCCCACCCCAGGCCATGACCTCGAGCTGTGCAGAACAACACAGGCTGCAAGTTTCTCTGAGCATGCTGAGGCCCAGGCAGAATTCCAGTGAGGCAAAATGGAAATTAATATTTGCATTGGATTTTACTTCATCAAAGCGAATATTCAACATATCTCACACCCTTGTGGCTAAGGAGAAAAGCTTGAAAGAAAAACTTCCAGAGGATAAAACACATCAAAGTGAAGTGAAATAATCCCCTTGTTTATTATTTCATAGAACTGTAGTGTTGGGAAAGCACCTGAGGGTCATCAAGTCCAGTCCCTTGCAATGCAGGAATCTCAACTGGTGGCTTTAGAAAAGCTGCTTTGGGTAGCATGACAGAGAATGGCTTGCAGGTTACTTGAAAGCAGCTAGCAACTTGCTTGTTTTCTTTACTCAACCAGGATGTTCACTCACCTGACAGAAGCTGTGACAGGTTGACAGGTGTGTGCTTATTTCTCTGTTCCTTACTCTTACATTTAATTTACAATTTGGCAAAGTTGCCATCTGCACAGATTTAATTCCATTTATTTCCATAATTCAGACAGGAGGGTCCACAGGACTGTGATGTAGGAAAGCATTGAGATGTGGGAGATATTACATGCAAGATTTACACGCAAGCTAAGTAAGCTTGCTTAATTCTGTGGTGAGGATAAGTAGTGCTTATGAACTACTTCAAGTGGCAAAGGAACCTCGACAAGTGGAACAAGGCATGGCACTGAAATTGTGATAGGAAATATGCCACTGCTGGATTTCTAACTGTATCCCAGTTTGCTCAAGATAAGGCGAATAGTGAGTCAAATGTTGGAGTGTAGAAACAGACGGTTCATGATTTTCTGCAGGGGTGTATAACTGTCTTTAGCCCCACTTTGTGCATTTGCCGGTGTGGTTTAAATTTGAACCATATCTGCAAAGGGACAACTTCAAAGGTGCTCACTGTCAGCTCTGTCAGAAAACCCTGCTCCTCAAAAACCAATCTAGGGCATACGTTAAGCTTCCAGTTGTTTCTTTACAGCTGACTGTACCTGCCCCAGATCTCATATTCTATATGACATCAGGTGTTGAGCAGGTTGGTGCGGTTGCAGAGTTAAGAGTTGGCCGTGATGTGGCTTAGAGGTAGAAGAGGTTGCAGGCTGGTAACGATAGCAAGCTGCAGAGAGGATCAAAGCACAATGGTTAACTTCTGTTGAATCTAGGACTATAGCTATAGGAGAAACAAGACCCTGGGGTTTCAGGCGCTTACCAGCGTGGTGTAGTGGTTAAGAGCGGTGGACTCGTAATCTGGTGAACCAGGTTTGATTCCCCGCTCCTCCACATGCAGCTGCTGGGTGACCTTGGGCTAGTCACACTTCTCTGAAGTCTCTCAGCCCCACTCACCTCACAGAGTGTTTGTTGTGGGGGAGGAAGGGAAAGGAGAATGTTAGCCGCTTTGAGACTCCTTAGGGTAGTGATAAAGCGGGATATCAAATCCAAACTCTTCTTCTTACCTAGGGTCTGTGTTTTCTTTTGGAAATGAGGCACAGTGATATATGATATATAGTTTATTTACACTTATATACAACCTGAGCCTACGATGGAGGTGTTCACATGGATTCAAAACATCAGCCATTGTGTTCTGACCCTTTTTTCAGCTTGCTGCCTTTACCAGAGTGTAACCTTTTCCCTCCAGGTCATATCACAGCGAACTCTAAAACTCTCTTTCCAACTCTGCTTTGTCTTCAACACTACATCTGAGCCAAGGTCTCACCTGCTTGCCATCTGGCTCTCCTAACAGCTCATTACCTTTGTCTTCCTAATGTCCCATCACCAACTGTCTTGGCTTCTATTTTAAATTTCGGCTTGATTAAATTCTAACCAACTACTGGACCCAGGAATTTAGGGTGTCTGGCACCCACAAACACATTACATTGTGTTGCAGTAGATTTTAAGTGCTTTGGGAGCCCATGGCTAGGAAAAAAGTGTGATAATTCTAGTACTGGCTTGCCTTGGTCTGCTTGTCTTCTCGTTTTGTATTTTTCTGTTGTGAACCACTCATCTTTGGATGAAGGGTGATATACAAATTTAATAACAATTCTTTCCAACACCTGCTGCTGCTTCCTCCTCCTCCTGACTAATGCAAAGGTAAGTAGTAAGGAAGCAGGCAGAGGGCCTTCTCAGTAGTGGAGCCCACCCTGTGGAACGCCTTCCCATCAGATGTCAAGGAAATAAACAACTATCTGACTTTTAGAAGACATCTGAAGGCATCCCTGTTTAGGGAAGTTTTTAATGTTTAATGTTTTATCATGTTTTTAATATTCTGTTGGGAGCTGCCCCTAGTGGCTGTGGAAACCCAGCCAGTTGGGTAGGGTATAAATAAAAATAAAAATAAAAATAATAAAAATAAAAATAAAAATAGGGACCAGGCAGTTCTGACTCACTTAAGCTGCAGGCTTGTACAGTATTAGTTTATGTGAAGACAAAGACCAGGGTGAAATTGGGCTACATATGTGCCTAGAAGTTATGAAGGTGACCTTGGTGTAAAAAAAGGAAAATCTGCTGTGAATCCTCCTGCTGAAAACTGGGCAACAGCACTAGCAATATCATTGGTTGTGTGCATCTAGGTGCCAGTGGGCAACCCCTTAATATTTAAAAATGCCTTTCCAAGAACATGAGCTTTGGACATAATAGTTAACTCTGTCTTTTAAATATATTAATGCCCACACTTGCGAGACCCTTTTGCATGTGCTGTAACAGACTAGGCACGGCTCTCCCTCTGGAGTAGCAGTAGAAAATAGCTCAGTGCTTGTCATCTTGAAGTGAAAGTTAGTGCTTCTTGGGTAAGCTGCAGATGAGATCTGTGTTTGAAGTTTACAATCTAGGTTAGATGATGCAGTAAGGCGGATGATAATCGGGCAAGAGAGGGGTGGGGGTTCGGGGAAGCTTGCAGAATGAGACTTTGAGGCTGCCTTTTTCTTGTAAGGTAGGAATTGTATTGCAAACCGATTCTTTTTTCAATTGATTTATTATAAGCTTGGAATCAATGGGCTGCTTTTAAGTGTGGTTTGAGAAAACACTGGCTGTTAAAATGGGATCTCTGTATGTTGATATACAAAAATTAAGCTGTATCTTGATCCTTGGAGAGATTTCTTCCCTTTTTTTCAGTCAATGAAAAGGGCAGCACAATGGCATGGGCGTTTGAACTGCAAAGTGATGCTTATTGGGACCAATGTTTCCAACTTTAGGTATACACTGATAGGATCTGAACTGTAACTGCTTGGGAAATTGCTGTTGGGGTCATCATGTTGGTTAGTAAGGAAATGTCAAGAAGGTGTTTGGCAGCAAAGGAAAGATACATTCCATGCTAGGGATGAGTAAGGAGGGGAATGAAAATTAAACAGCCAGTATTGTAATGTCTGCAGAAAAATATCTGGTGGCTGCATTTGGCTGTAGAATTGAAAAAGACAAACAACATCAAGAGGTGGGAGCACTTTCCGTATGATGAAAAGCTAAAATGTTGGGGCACTTTAGCTGACTTACAGGGAGGCTCAGGGATTTGGGGGTAGAAAATTTTCCCCAAATGGAATCTACCCCCCCAGTGTTTATTTAATATGATTCTATGAAGTTTGTGTTTCATAATTTTATTAACAATTTTATTGTTGTGGGGGAGGAAGGGAAAGGAGAATGTTAGCCGCTTTGAGACTCCTTCAGATAGTGATAAAGCGTGATATCAAATCCAAACTCCTCTTCTTAGGAACAATGAACGGATGCCATTTGCAAATGCAATACAGTGCTACCTCGGGTTAAGAACTTAATTCGTTCTGGAGGTCTGTTCTTAACCTGAAACTGTTCTTAACCTGAAGCACCTCTTTAGCTAATTGGGCCTCCTGCTGCCACCGGAGCACAATTTCTGTTCTCACCCTGAAACAAAATTCTTAACCCGAGGTACTATTTGTGGGTTAGCGGAGTCTGTAACCTGACGTGTCTGTAACCTGAAGCGTCTGTAACCCAAGGTACCACTGTATTAGGCAAGCTTGGCAATTTCAAAGTTGTCAGTTTGGTTTACTGAATGCACGTGAAACAAACCTGCAACATTAGACCACTCAGTAAATTTTCCCGTGGAGATTACTATAATTTGCATAGGAAGATTTTCCAATTGAAAATGTTTGGGGGACCCCACGTGATCACTAAGGCGGGGCTCTGTGGTTCAGGGTAGAGCACATGTGTCGCTTGCAAATGAACACAGGTTTGATTCCCAGAATCTCCAGGTAGGACTCTCAAACCACGGTGAGAGCCAGTGGGGAACAGGGGTGGGGAGATTTGAACCCAGGGGCTAAATACATCCCTCTAGTGCACTTTTGCCCTGGAGACTCACCCTTGGCTACTCTTCTTTCTCACTCCTCACTCACTCCCACTCTCCCCAAATCACAGCTCTCACACGGGCCCTGAGATGCACCCTCCTTGAGTGGTTTTTTTCCTAACTGGAATGTATCCTTGAACTCTGATAATGCCTCCAGATTGCCTGGATAAAGGATACAGCAAGGTGGTCGCATCTTACAAAATTGCAATAAGCGCAATAAAAACATCAGTAAATATTGGTTGGTGAAAAGAAATTCTCATTGCAGAGTCCTGTCTGAATGACAGTATTTTTTTGGAGATGTCTAAAACAATGAAAGAATGATTCCTGCCTATCGCTTACTCCCCTGAGGTTCTTTCCACCAATATTAAGAGTGGGGAACTGCAAGTAGTGCCCCATCAGAGGATCTCGGTGATCAAGATGGAAAAGTATGCATTAATATTCATGAAAATGTGTTTATTAGGGGAGATTCACAGTAAAAAAAAGTTGACATTCTTGTCATTTTCTTTTAACCGTGGCAAATTTCTGTGGAAATGTACATAACTCAGTTTAAGATTAGAGAAATGAGATGTTGAGAGAAACTGAAATTGACTAATTTGCCTGTCCCTGGGCTAGATCACAGCTACATTGTAGGAGGACAGTTGGTGATGAACGTGAAGTTTATCCAAGTCAGGATGGAATCCTAATAAAGATGGGTGTGGACCAGAGCAGTCTGGGAAAGTGAGGCTTTAGTGGACTCCATGTGAAATTTTTCACCGTAAAGTTGCAGCTGGAGTGAAACTTAAGAGATTGACGCAGCTTTGGGTCAAGCTGTCCTCTTCACCTCCAAAACATCTCATCCTGATTCTCTAAACAATCTCTCTGCACTTGACCCAGCACTTCCTTGCAGAGGAGGAGGCTCATTATTTACAGCACGTACTCATACTCAATGGTAGAGTTAGCCTGGCCTTGAATAAATGAAGATGGATCAGCTGCTTTCTTATGTATGAGCTGTGCTTGAGATTTAGATAGAACTTCAGTTTTGCTGGTGGAAATTCAAGAGTAGATCTGTTGTGGTTGAGGCAATCCCAGGCTCCATGCCCAAAACATGAATTTTTAAGCTGAAGAGTGAAAAGCTAAAGTTACGAAAGTAACCGGTCTGATTATGTTCTGTTCCTACTGAAATACTTCCTTGCAAATAAGTAGGGATGTATGGATATGTCAGTTTTTATTTCTCTCAGCTTCTCATTTCCAATCTTAAGTTCAGATTTTCACATTTCCATGTCAGTCTGCATTAAAAAGAAGGGGGAATTGTATGCGCTTTTTTGTAAGGAATTTGATAGTGTTGGCAGTTCCCCTAGAAATCTGATGAGGGACCTTTTTTCACCCATAGGAGCCAACTCCTAGCCAACTCCTAGGAGCCGAAGTCCCTTTGAGGCCCCCAATAAAATATTTGAGGGAGCCACTCCCCCCAAGTTGATGGACATTGCCATTCAAATGGTGTGTGTGCACCATATCTTGTGATTGATTATGCATGGCAGGGCTTACCTGCCCCCCTCCCAATATTTTATTCAAGTTGGCACCCCTGTCTTCACTTATGCTCAGCCTGTACATATGGATAGAGAACATGAATACATTGTGTGCCATTTAAGTTTTCATTGATCAGAGAATTGATGCACACACAATACTAGGTTTTTAAAGGTGTCATATTTCCCTATCTCCATTTGTTGGGAGACATATCTTCAAGTTCTCGCACTTCAGGTTCAAGCTAGTTCTGTCACTGAATATGGTCAGTGACAAATGGAGCCTCCATGGTTAGCTGCAGTGTACTGATGCTGGGAGCAAATAGAGTGTGGTACTATATCATGCCTTGCCTGAGGTTCCAGGGCATGTTGCTGGTTATTGCTACAAGCAGAATGCTGGAGTAGAAGAACCCTTTTTTTAATTCTTCAAGCTCTTGAGTCAAAGTGCAATGGGTTTCTTTGTGTTTTTCCCATAGCAAAACTGTCTTCTGAATAAGTTTGTTTTCATGCTCCTTTCTCAGGGCATCAGGCCAGCAGTCTTATTTTATTGCTGTCTTTATTATGACAAAATGTGGGCAAAACAAATTCCACAGTAGGTTTCACTAGTTAAATATTCTGAGGTGCTGTTTGTCCTTTTATTGGGAGAGACAAAATAGAAGACCAGGCAAATATCACATGGGAGGACTTTATAAAATAAAGAAGGGCAGTAGCGCTCATTCACTCATTTTTCTCAGCAGCTGGAATCCAGAGGCATGCTCCTTTGATACTGGAAGAAATGACTAGTGGCCAGTAATAGTAGCTTTATTCTCCACGAATTTGTCTAATTCACTTTTAAAGTCATCCAGTTTGGTGACCATTCAGGTTCTTCATTGTCCATTGCATATTTGCACATAGGAGGGGAGGGATTTTTAAAAGCCTGCTTTTATGTTTTTCTCTCTCTCTTCCTCCTTCTGTGACATTGGCCTTGATCCAGCATTGTCAATATAACTGCAGCTATAATGGCAGGGCGGGAGGAACTGTGATTGTAGAAGAAAAGGCGAGTTTTCTTAACTAGATGGCTTCCTTTAGGTTATCCTGGTGAGGCTTCTTGATTGGACTGGAAGAAACTTCTGGTCCAGTCAATTTCACTCTTAAGGTAAATTTAACTTGCATAGGAACTTTCCTCGCTTCTGTGAATAGGTTGTGTTAATGCACTAAAACGAAACAAGCCAGCCCAGTTCTGTTCACCACTCTTTAATAGAGAACCACAACAATTGCAGCAAAATCTATACAAGTCTACTGAATGTCTCACTGATCTGGGCAAATCATTTCAGCATTCTCCTTTGAGAAAGGAGGATAGTGCTTGTGCTGTGATGCGCAATGCATGTTCGTAAAATGCTTGGAAAGCTTTGAATGAGAGGGACTGAGCTTGTGCCAAGTATGATGTATCAAAGGGGCAGCTCCTCTGCCTTGTGATCTGTGTATCACAGAAAGGCAGGACAATCCCGGGTAGTATCCTTGGAAAGGGAGGCTGTCGTTTACAGGACATCACTCGCTGGTTTCCTAATTTTGTTTCTGCACTCCTGTCCGAATAAGGTTAGAAGCTTCCTTTTGCAGCAACCGAGTCTCTTCCCTAGCTCCAATAAAGTTTGCTTATTTTGTTTTGTGGGTGGATGCATGAGAAGGGCAAGGTCACTTCAGAACAAATGTATCTCTGTGTGTATTTCTTGTGATTGCTGCCAGTGGAACAGTTTGCTAACTTTTTCCTCCTCCCTTTCCTGTAGATCTCATAAAGCACGGGCGAGAGAGGTTAGAACAGACGATCAAGACCTCCAGTTCCAGACTGTGTTCCTAGTGAGTATAAGGCTCTTTCTATTAGGGGGTCACTGTCGCTTTAAAGCTGAGCCTGATCATAGTCTCCCACAAGCAATAAGCAGTGAATTGAGCTGGCTGGCACGGGGTGTGTTGCAGAGGGAAGCATCTCTTGCACAAACTGGGACTTGTTGCCCAGTATGGCTTTGTTGCTCAACGCTGCTTCTGATGAAGGCTTTTACTCATGCAGATGTAAGTAACGCTGCTAAATGAGATGTTTCAAAATGAGATCCTTTTGAGCGGTGATGTCTATTCACGGCATGCTTTGAAATAAGGGGTTTCTGTGGAACTGTAGGACTTACAAAATAAGGGAAGGGGTTTGGGCTGCCTCGCAATCTCTTGTGGAGAGGGGTGGAGAGAGTATTAAATGTCAAAAGGTTTTGTCTTGTAACTTTCCTGCTAGGTAGAAGGGGAAGCTTGATGGTCAGGATTTCCCCTGGGGCTTTAATAGCAAGAGTGTTCTTCCTATCAGCATATCAGTAAGGGGGATGAATATTCACTTTGTTTATATTCATGTGCTACAGTTTGTGTCACCTGGTTTTGTTGGCTGATATTCCTTATTTGGGGGTGGGGGAAAAGGAATGTACAATATGAATGTCTGTCTCCCACCAACTAATAAGAGGGACTAATTGCCACTTGGAGGTAGCCTTTGATCAGCAAAATGCTACAGATGGAGAAGGGTTGGACCCTTCCCCTTGATTCAATTTTGCCAGCTCCCAGGGGCTGCTTTTAAACTTTGAAAATGACACTGGCATTGTGTGGACTTTGGCCCCTAATTAAGGCACCTACAATGGGGATATGGCATCAGAAATAGCACAGCATGCATAAACATCGCATCTACAGTACCAGCCACTGTGTGCTAAAAGCAGGAAAGAGGACAGAGAACTATTTTGCTGCTGAGGGTTTTGTTTCTTACTGTCTTGCATGGAGACAGGAGAGGGGTTAATTCTGTGTCCATCTGGTATGCCGGCTGAGACCCTACCCGCCTGCGCACTGTCTTGCCAGTCAGATGGGCGGGCTACATCATCTGTATTCAGTAATAATAAAATCTCAGTTATGGGCTTGATAGCATACACACTTAATAAACAGCTCCCTCAGGTGTTATTTTTCCACCTATGGCTGACAACTTATTCCTCTAAGTTAGAATAACATCTGCAACTTGAGGGCTCTCCCTGTTGAGGCAGAGGCTAGAGTTGCCCTGCTCTCCACATCTCCGAAACTGACTGTTTTCTTGTTTTTCACAGTGCTGAAAGGGTTGCCACCTTAATGGACCGTTCCAAAAGCCAAGATGACAGCCAGGTAAGGTCCTGGTACCTTCTTTCTTAAATGTATTTAGATGGGTTCAAATATGAACGTGGAGAATTTTAAGAAGCTCAGTTCCTTACCTGTCCAAGGGTGTCTGTGGGGAGGGGGACTGGAAAGCCTCATCCATTGCAGTAGGCTTTGCTGGTATGCATTTACTGTACCAGAAAGCTCCACCTTCTCTCACACTGTTGCTCAACCCTGGCGGTCTTAGCTAACATCAGCTCTGTACTTCTGTCATTTTTCAGCCTTCATCGCCAACGGACAACATCAACCTTGGACCTTCTGCTAACCCCAAGTAAGTGCATGCAACAGTCAACACATTTTGCAAGGTTAAGAAATGCAATGAAACTCTACTTCACTTTCCTTAATTTGCTCTTCTGGGGTGTCTGGAGCTCCTGAACACAACTTCTGTTTGCAAAAGCGAAGTGTTGGATTGTAGGCAAGCCAGGGTAGTGGTGGGAGTTTTATCGTACCGTGTTGGTGATGTCACAGACACTAGCCAGTATATGGTCAAAATACATGCAACCCCACTCCTACCAGCACTCCAGGTAGCTGTGCCACTGTTAGCTGGGGGGGGGGGGTCAAGTATTTCCAGCAATGATATATTGCGGTTTGAGAGCTGGGAAAATGCAATGTCACTAAAACAAAAGTGCTTCCTCAAATTAAGACATTTGTATTGTGTGCAACAAATCAATATTGTTCATAAAGGTTGCATAACAGCATCGAATGGGGTATAGCTATGTTGCTTGTTCTCCCTATTCTTGTCACAACCCTTATCTCAGTAGGTGCTTGGGACATACTATATGGCAGTCACACAACAGCAAGGGATGTACTAACTGTGAAGGGAAAAAATCTGTGTTTCTGTGAAGAAAATCGAACACAGTTGGTTATTGCAACGACATTCCTGCAACAAAAGCACAGCCTCAAGGGAAACATCCCCACTTATCCCAACAATTGTGTGATCTATTTATCCTCCTAAAAATGCATTTGTCCTCCTGTTGCCCACCCCCACAAGCTGTGTAACCCCAGCACATACATCTCTCAAACAATGAAATATAAAGCCTTAGCATCAAGACAAGCCAATCTTCTTTTACTGGGGAGAGACGAAGAGCTCTTACTACACTCTTGATCAGAGATTGTGGGTCAGCTTTAATACTTTGGGAAACCTGGGTTTGTGAGATCCCCAGTCACTCCTTCATTCTCTGGCTGTCAGTTGTCTCCTACGAAGGTGGGTGGGCATCAAGCTTGAGAACATCTGCTTTGCTTTTTCCCTAGAACCCCAAGATCCACTAGCTGGACCGAAGTACAAAACAGTGGCTGAGAGACAAGGAACAGAGATGCATATAGAATTGAGGAAGAGGGCACATCTGGGTGCACTTTAGGCTAGACATTTGTTTGCAGTGCTGAGCTGATGGGCCCTTCACACACATTCTGGGTATCCCCTCCAGCCTCAAATTTCTTTGTTATAGTGGACTAATTTAGGGGAAAGCTCCTATTGTTAAAAGAATTGGGAATCCAAAATATTTGGTGATCTACTATGGATCACCCAGAGATCTATATTCTGCCCATCCCTGGTGTTGTTTTGGATTTGTTTGGTAGGAAGAGCAAGATAGAAATGTTGTTGTTGTTGTTGTTGATACAGTTCTAGGAGCTCTGAAACAGATTTGCGTGGAGTAGGACAGCTTTGGAATCCATGTTACGATCCCTCATGCTCATCTACTCCTAATAATTAGCATTTCCAGCAGAGGTGGGGTAGCTGCAGCCCTTCAGCTGTTGTTTAGCTCCCAACTCCCACCAGCTGCCAGCCAGCCTGGCAAATTTTCAGGGTTGATGCGAGTTGGAGTCCAACCACATCTGGAGGGTCACAGATTCCTCAGCCCTGGTACTCAAGTTTGGAAGCAAAGAGGGCTTCAGGTTTGTGTATACAGATAATCCCTAATACAATAGCCATTAACCCAAATATCCTTTTTATCATTTCCATGTGAGAGATTATTTTACTGTGTTTGTATTTGAACCTTTTGCTCCTATTTTCTGCTTGGTTTTCCTAAATATGTACCTTAAGCCACAAAAATGCACTAGTTGAACTCTTAGCCAAGCAATCACCCAAGAGAATAGCAGGTTATCTGGTTATGAAGAGGTGAATGTCTGTAAGAACGGTAGTGGTAGTCAGCTGATGTTTACTCAGAATAGACCTATTGAAATTAATGATCATGACTAAATTGGGTCCATTAATCTCCACTCTGAATAAACCTTAGCTGACTACCATCCCGTGTCTTTATCTGCCAGGACAGAATGACAGAATTGAGGAAAGGTTGCGGTGGGGAGAATCTAGCTGACTGAAGAAAAGAGCTTTGTGTGTTTTACTTTGTTTCCTTTTTCTAACAGTGCCAAGCCAACAGATTTTGACTTCCTAAAGATAATTGGCAAAGGTAGCTTTGGAAAAGTAAGTGGCCTAGATTGCAAGAATTTTATTTATTTTCTTTTATTACTGTGTCAATGACACGTGGCAACCATCATCCCATTTCTTTTCCCACTTTGCTTTCATATGCATGGCTTCTAGTGCTTTTGAACTGGTGCCCTAAATTCTAGCATTTGTACCCACAATGTGATTCTTCCCCTCCCCATTTGTTATTGCTATTCCTGCTCTTTAGTCTGCCGCTCCCTTTTGCCATCTTAAAGTAAGGAGCTAGAATGAAATCTGGAGAACAGATCCTTCAAGGGACTCAGGGTTCTGAACCTAGTCCCCATCTTTATCTTCTCAACCATCCTGTTAAGTGACCATTATGGCTTGGCAGGCATTTGAACTAGAACTCCCTAAGTCTTAGCCTGACATGCTCTCTCACAGCATCTCAGTGGTACCTTTAAAGGGCCCATTTTAATAATGAAAGTCGTATTAAGAAGTTTCAATGCCATTCTCTTTTCAATTTTACTTTTGTGCGTAAGGTAGGGAGCAGTTACTGTGTGCAATGGAGTAATTAGTGATAAGCTGCTGCTGCTCTTGATTATTGGAAATCCAAAATATGTTCAGTTATGCATCGATTCACCCCAACACCAACACTAAATTGTTCCTAGGAATGGGGCCTGCTGATTGGCACAATGGAGGAAGCAAAGTCTCCCTGCCCTGTACATTGTGCAGCTGCCAACTTGGCATGCCACTGTAATGTGAACATAAAACACTGACCAATTAGTTAAGGACATGAAAGCTGGACACTTCTTTTACCCCCTCGGTTTTTCAATCCCGCTTCAGGTCCTTTTGGCAAAACGCAAATCTGATGGGAGGTTCTATGCTGTGAAAGTTCTGCAGAAGAAATCTATTCTCAAGAAAAAAGAGGTATCATTTCAAAGGAATCTACTTGCACTTTCAACAAATGAGTTTTATTACTCTCTCCCTATGCTCTGTATATCGCGCCCCCCTCTCTGTGTGTGCGTGAGAGATTCTATCTGTGTCTATATCTGCAGGAGCACAACTCTTAATAGCTCTTCAGGTGAATAATTTCTGGGCTTTGAAAGCTATTTTATACTTGCCATCTCCCTGGAGTCAGCTACATTCTTAAAAAAAAAAAGTGTTTAAAATGCATTATAACACTGTGACAGTAGATGGCGCTGTGGAGTTCTGTCTTTCAGCAACGTTATTTCCCATTACGAGGTTTACAACGCGTTACAATGCGTTTTCCTGAAACGTTTTTTGCTTGTGTCTAGATCCAGCCTCTATCCTAACCAAAAAACATGGTCTGCCATTGGTGAACTGCATCACATTGGTCTGAGGGCCAAACTGCACACAACACTAAATGTGTCCCTTGTAGATGAATGAATTGTTCTTCTTTCTTTCTTTTACTCTATAAATTGCACTTGTGGGGGTCTCAGGGATGGAAAAAGAATCCATTTCAAATGGGTTTATACACAGAAATTTGGCAGTCACAACCTGACTGTGCTTCATTGAGCTTCCGCTTATGTCTGAGCACCCATGCATTTATTTTTCTTTTTAAAGCCTGACTAATTATATGCAAAATTATACATACATTATACTTGTAATATGCATGAGTCAGCCCTTGTAGTATAATGAGCATTTTCATACAGTTGTATGCATTGTTGTATGTATGTATAATAATGCAAATAATATACGAGAATATTTTCATTTTTGTTGGAGCCAGCAAAACAACCCCCTCTCTTCTTGTTGAGATCAAAGAGTAAGGTGGGAATTAGAAAAATAAAATTGGTGTATAGAAGCTGAACATCAAGATTTTCAGAAAATCCCATCCATGGCTCCAATTAGGACCCCAGCTCTCGCTCGGGGGGAGGGAGGGGGTGTAACCATTTCCTCCCATGCTAGAGATCCATTTAAAATTCCTCCTTCCCTTGAAGTTGCTGTTAGGCTTTGCTAAAGACATTTATGTATATGTGTGTGACTGTAGTGAATTTAATTTTGAAACGAAACAAAACTTGATCTGTGAACTTAGCCCTTCCTTCCTCCCTCCCTCTCTTTCTCTTTCTCTCTCTCTCTGTCTCGGTTCTTCATAGCAAAATCACATAATGGCAGAACGCAATGTGCTCCTGAAGAATGTGAAACATCCTTTCCTTGTGGGGCTCCACTATTCCTTCCAGACCAAAGAGAAACTATACTTTGTACTGGACTATGTAAATGGAGGAGAGGTGAGTGAGTGTCAGTTTTTTGCATCACGCAGAGCATTGGGTTCTGTCAGTGCTATCATTCTGGGCTTTACCTTCAACGTGAATAGGTGCAATATTAAAAGTCTTCTGAGTGATTTGGCATATGTTCAGTTCTAGTTATCATAGTTAATACGCTGTACCCCTGTGGTCTTCAACTTTTTCAAACTTAGGACTACTTACTTATTCATTCAGTTAGACCATTTGTACACCACTCTTCAGCCAAAATATCTCCCAAAGCATCTTACAAACAATCAAAATAAGGCAGTCCCTGCCGGCAGGCTTACAATCTTAACAAAACATGACAGACAAGGGAAAAGGGACAGTGAGGGATGTTAGAGAATTCCAACGAAAATGGAAACAGGTGAAGAAATTGCTTGTGGTCACTTATTCATCCCGTATCAGGAATGGAAATTGGTCTACTGAATGTGATCGATATTTATTGTTGTTCTTGCAAATGATACATCACTGATTGCATTCTCCCCCCCCACATTTGCACTGAAATGAATGGTGTAGAACAACATAATGACAACATAATGTATGTAATTAATTACATAATTTATATAAGCTACGTAATTTCCCCAGCCCAGTGCATCCAGATGTCTTGTACCGCATCTCTGATGGGAAGAGTTGTGGTTCAAAACATCTGGAGGGCACCAGGTTGCTGTGTTCCTGAAATAGCCGAGGAATAGGGCATCGGGTTGAATACTGAATACTTGGTATTCCATGAGTGTGGAATAATGAAGCTGTTTTCTGAGGAAAGTGTGTCAAATCCAAAACCCTGTTATAAGCAACCTGTTAAGTCTCTTGATTCAGGCATAGAGGTACTTACGGAATAAGTTTTCTCCAGCCTCAAATTCTCCCATCTTGGTTCATAGCTCTTCTTCCATTTGCAAAGAGAACGTTGCTTCTGTGAACCTCGAGCCCGATTCTATGCAGCTGAAATGGCCAGTGCGGTGGGCTACCTCCATTCACTGAACATCATCTACCGGTACAGTATTTTTGCAATAACAGCAGGTAGCTTTAGTAAGACATATTAAGATGTTTCATAGGAAGCAATTTCAATAATGCTGCTGCTGCTGCTGCGATACATTAAGGTTGGAGTGTTTTTTTTTCCAGAATAGTGTTGCCTTTAAAGAAAATAAAATTTTAACTCTTCTTTTTTTAAAAAAAGAATAGTTTGGAATGTCAACCTCCCCACCCCGGCCGCTAAAGAGTTGATGAACTAGATTAGTAGCGGTCAAGAGGCAATCCTCCATATCACTAACCATTCCCTGTTTGTCCTAATGTGTTTCTTTCCCACCCCAGAGCCACTTAACAGGGGGGTGGGAAACCTATACCCCTCCTGTTGTTGGACTACAGCTCCCATTATTCCTGGCAACTGGCCATGTTGGCATGGGCTGATGGGAGCTGGAGTCTTACACAGCAGTGCAATTTTACATCACCTTTTTTATCGGCCCCTTCAAGGTTAGAAGAGTAGCAGGATGTCTGCACTAAAAAGTGTGGCATAATGACCAAACATTGTGCCAATGAACAGATGATCTAGAAATGCTAGAAAATAAAGCAAGTGTATAAGAGAACTGATTTCATTGGTATGTGAAAGGTAACTCTGGAGACTTTTTGGAATCTGCAAGATGTACGGTAATTCTTTTAACAGATACATCTAAGCACTTGAAGCTGGCGAGGAGGATTCCCTGAAATCCCACCAGATTTTAATCACCATATTCCCACCTCCCTTATTCTCTTTCCTCCTTTCTTTAGGGACTTGAAACCTGAAAATATTCTCTTGGATTGTCAGGTATGTATTTATGGATTCTTGCACATCACTGTGTGATCTACTTCAGTTGTTATTTGTTGGTAGGAAAAGTTTTGTAATTATACTGGGACAACCAAGTCAAATAGGAATGCAAAAGTGGCAAAATATGGAATACAGCTTCCTAAGGAGCTCAGTATTTCTCCTTTTTCTTTTAGGGCCATGTTGTACTGACTGATTTTGGACTTTGCAAAGAAGGAATGGAGCCAGAGGAAACAACATCTACTTTCTGCGGCACCCCAGAGGTATGATTATGAAAACACGTCTATGTGTTTCAATAGGTGATTTTGTCTCTGCTTTGACTTTTCCAAGGAACTGAGCACCACCACTGAGAATGGACTGTGCCAGCTGAGTAGGCTTTTTAGTCCTGTAGGCTTACACGGAGTAGCCCCTACTGATGTTGTTCTGCCATGACACACAATGCAATTCTCTAAATCTGGGATCACGAAACTAGTGGTCATGGGCATTGTGGTACTATCAGACACCCCTTGGTGCCTGCCAAAGCCCTCTGCCCCTCTCAAGTTGTGATTTATTTATTTTTTAATTGAGGTTAGGTGTTCGTTCTTTTTTTCTTTTTTAGAATAAGTGATAGTAGGATTGATGGAAAATGAAATGCAAGCAACAGCCAGATACCCATGCTCTTATGGGACCCATATGGAGATGCATTGCCTGTTTTCTGCTTGCCCATTTGTTTTGCCTGATTTTTTTGTGGGGGTGTTGCAGGATGTTTTGACTGCTTTGGTTTTTCGGGGGTTGGCTGTTTGTTGGAAGGTGCTTTTTGTTTGGGGGTTGCTGCCTGTTTTTTAAAAAATCTCTGTTTGTTTTGGAGTGTGGGTAGATGTTTTGCTTATTGTTTGCCCTTTTTCCATATGTGAAATGGGTATTCTGTGGTGCCCATGACACTTACTTACATTTCTTAATGTGCTACCTGGCCCCCAAAAGTTGAAGATGTTATGTACTGAAGTTCTCACCCTGGTCCAGCAGGGGGATACTGTAGATAGTTTTCACTCAGGTCCACATATGCAAATAAGGGATTGAAAGTGACGTTCAGTGATTGGATAGTTACAGAAAGTGGTTACTGTGTCGTTGTGGTGGAGCTCTATATAAGCAGGCTGGCTGAACCCTTCAGTTTAGTTCTATTCTGGCCTGTGAATAAACAAGAGCTGTTTGAAGAATCGCTGTGTTGTCTGATATGTTCACCCACAACTTAACAGAGGACATCTGCTCTAAATCTAAAACAAACAACAGTCAAAGTACTGAATCTGAAGCTGCAAATTGGTCCCCTTCTCTTCTCTGCCAGTTGTGTGAACTCTGTAGGGACAGTGAACAGCATGAGCTGAAGTAACTTATAATTCTGGTAGGAGGAGCTGAAAGTGTCAAAACTATGAATTAAGGCCTGAATTGGAGGTGTGAGGCTATGCTCCCATTTAAAACATGCTGGGTAATCTTTTAACAAGCCACAGCAAAAACAAAAAAGGGTTGTTCAACTTAACTTGAAACTGGATGGGTTGAATTTCTCCTATCCTTTTTCCTCCCTACCCCCTACTCCAGGAAGAATTTAGAAGCACTAATCTTTATAACAGGGGTAGGGAACTTGTGGCCCTACAAATGTTGTTGGCCTCCCATCAAACCCAGCCAGCGTGGCCAATGGACAGGGATGGTGGGAGTTGTATGTTTTAATTTGAAAACACGAGGCAACAGTCTGTCACATAAAGAAGCTTGAATCCTCCAGATGTTGCTGGGCTACCAATCAAGGATACATATGTGACGCTGTGGTCTAAACCACTGAGCCTCTTGGGCTTGCTGATCGGAAGGTCGGCGGTTCAAATCCCTGTGATGGGGTGGGCTCCCGTTGCTCTGTCCCAGCTCCTGCCAACCTAGCAGTTCAAAAGCACCTCAGTGCAAGTAGATAAATAGGTACCGCTGCGGCGGGAAGGTAAACGGCGTTTCCGTGTGCTCTGGCTTCCGTCACGGTGTCCCATTGCGACAGAAGCAGTTTAGTCCTGCTGGCCACATGACCCGGAAAGCTGTCTGTGGATAAACACTGCCTCCTTTGGTCTGAAAGCGAGATGAGCGCCGCAACCCCATAGACGCCTTTGACTCAACTTCACCATCGAGGGGTCCTCTACCTTTTTCACCTTACCTATGTGGCTTCTGGAAAGTTACTGGGATACTTCGTGGTGGTGTGCTCTGTTTTTAAATCTTCTTGTCCTTTCACAGTATTTGGCTCCAGAAGTGCTGAAGAAACAGCCCTATGACAGAACTGTAGACTGGTGGTGCCTTGGAGCTGTTCTCTACGAAATGTTGTTTGGTTTGGTGAGCTTTCAAAAACTGACCTTGCTTTTGCAGGCAACAGTTCAAGTGCTGAAAGTGGTTTGAAAGAGAATCCTAAGCTGTGGGCAAGCCGATTTAGACCACAGGCAACAGTGGGACAAACGGCTTTTACAGGTGGTTTGGAGCAACAGAAAAAGCTGTCATCCTGTTTAACTAGATGCAAAAAGCAGAGGTGTTTATACCCATTTACAATGATCCCTCATTCAAGCCACTTTCAGCTCTCCGGGAAGAAGTCCCATTCCACCCCACCCCCGGCCTCTTTAATAATGCTATAATCCAGAGACATTCAATGAAGCTGAATGTTGGGGAGACACAGGAAGCACAGAAACAACAAAGTTTGAATACGGAATTTGCTACCACAAGGTGTGGCGATGGTCACCAACTTGGACAGCTTGAAAAGGGACTTAGACAAATTCACAGGCTTCTGATGGCTACTGGTTATGGTGGCTACATTGCCTCCAGTATCAGATGCAATATGTTGTTGTTGTTTAGTTGTGTCCGACTCTTCGTGACCCCATAGGTGCAATATGCCTGCCTCTAACTACCAGTTGCTGGGAATCACACGTGAGAGAGGCTATTGCAATCATGTCATCCTTGCAAGCTTCCCTTAGGCACTTGTGGGAACAGAACACTGGACTTTGATCCAGCAGAAGTTTGCCGTATGCTAACTCACACTAGTCTTACACTATTGACACGAGCCTGGCTCCTCCTTACTCCTCTGTGCCAGTGGAATTAGCTCAATTAGCCCAGGCATAGCTATGTTCTGGGGACAAAAGTTGACCGTTCAGCAGCTGCTGACACTGCCCTGTATCTGACTGTTGATTTGTGTTTGTAGCAATCTGTTGCAAACAGTGTCACAAATTGGTGCACCATATATGAACCGTAATTATATGATTCCCAGCTGTGTTTGCTACCTTTTGCTTCAGTGTAGGTTAGACTGAGGTTGCGTTAATAAAACAGAGCAAGCTGTGGACTGCATGCTTAGTCATTGCTAAGCAACTGAGGATTTATCTGAAACATTCCACAGTAGTATATGAAACAAAAATTTAAGAAGCACTATCCCCTCCGTTTCCTAGCTGTCCTGTTGAACTGTAGAAAAAAAACAACTAGCATGAATTTGATGTCTCTGCAATATTGCAATGCATGCTTATGCAACTTGACTTTTCTCCTTCTTCTTCTTTTCCCCTCCCACTTCTCTCCTATCAGCCTCCGTTTTACAGCCGGGATGTGTCTCAGATGTATGATAATATTCTGCACAAGCCACTTCAGATTCAAGGAACCAAGACCATAGCAGCTTGCGATATTCTGCAAGGACTTCTCCATAAAGATCAGAAGAAGAGGCTGGGAGCCAAGACAGACTTTGTACGTTTAGAGCGCTAGTCACCATTACTCATTCCTTGTTTTCACTAAGAATTTCATCCTTCCCCGAGAGAGCAATATTTTAACACCTGTTGAAACACCTGCAGCCTCCCATTTTCTGTGTCAGTTATTGGCTGATCTGCACTGTCCCCTGTCATCTTTGCTGCTCTCTTGTCAGGTTGTCTCCACATCCTTCATTTTTGTCCTTCTGCCTTGCATTGATTGCAAAACCCCTAAGATGTGACCATGTCATTTCTATGTTTTAGGGGACTAGAGACTCTGCTGTGGCTGTGTAATCAATGTTTCATATTAGCAGCTAGCACTGGGTGAATCTGTCAGTCTTGGTTTCTCTCAATTTCTCATTTTCCGTCATTAAATTCAGTCTTTCACATCAGTTTACATAAAAAAAAGGCATCATGAAAATTAATTGGCATTTTAGCATGAATTTCTCCCAACACATTTGTATGGAATTTCTCCTAATATTTTTGCAAACCAAAATGCATTTTGCATCTTGTTTTCCTTAATATATGCATTTTTATGCACGCTTTGCCCTAGTATATGCATATTTTGCACACATTCTTTGACTGGAGAACTGCACTGCAAAATTTGTAGAAGTGCGAATTCTTTTTTTTTTTTTTAATGATATTTATTGAAAATTTTTAGAATTACAAAAGAGAACAAAGCAGAAAAAGAGGAAGAAAAAAGAAAGAAAAAACAAACCACATCAAACAATACAAATTCAAAAAACCAAAATACACCACAAACACTCAAAAACAAATCCATCATTCTCAAATCCTCAACTGTCATTACATTCTTTCTTTGACCTCCTCCTCCTCCCTTTTTTTGTATCCTAGTTGTTAATTGTCGCAGCAAATCCTTTCCATATTTCATAATATTCTGTCATTACATTACCTTAATCTATTTTAATCCTATCTTACTATAAAAACCTTAAAGCTTAAAACTTAAATCTTATTTTTACCAACTTCTCATAACCATAATATTCTTACATAATTCTTTAAACATTTTTGCTAAAGCCAAGTAATTTCATTCGAACATTTTTCTAACATTCATCAATTTTATAAAACAATCCTAGTAGTAAAAAAGAAATAAAAACAATCCAATCTTCATCCAGCGTCCCTTCCTCCTGGTCCCGGGTTTTGTCAGTCCGTATTATCCCATCGATCTAGCGCATTAACCTGGTAACCTTGTATCCGAGGCCCTTAAGTCTCTTCCATGTCCCTTCCGCAGCTCTTCTTCAAATTTTTAACTGTATTTTCCTTTGTCTCCTGCTCCTTTCACTCGTGGGAACTCCAGCTTAACAATGTTTTCGACCCTTCTTGACAAATCAGCCCCTTTTCCATAGTCCACACTAAACTCCATGTGGTATTTAAGAACATGTTTCAAAATCCCTCCAAAATTAAGAGCCCCCACAACCCCAAACATCTCACGGCCCATTGCCAGGTTGAAAGGTCCAAACATCCCTGCATAGGGGGGTCTATCCAACCCCCCATTTCCAAACCAAACCAAACTTTATCTTTCCAAATCTGGCTTTTTCCAAGTTCATTTGTCAAGTCCAAAAGCTCATGTTCCTGCTGGGTCACAGCTCCCTTCATCTCTGGCGCCCAAGATTCAGTAACATCCTCTTCTCTCATCTGTTCTGTCAGGGCACACTCCTGATTTAATTCCTGGGTGGGCTCCATATAATTTCCCACTGCCTGTTCAAAATTTCTGATCGCATCAGTCATCAAATCCGTCTTCTCATGTAGCTGTTCCAGTAGGGCATTTGTTTTACAGAAAGCACGCAACAGAGCTTCTGAATACATTGTCCTGCAAGGTCAGAAGTCTGTTCCCACGATTGTAATCTGTAACAGCTGCAAGCTCGCCGGAGTTGGTTACAGTTTCACAGTCTCCCTCTAGGGGGAAAACTTCTATTTGTTCTTTCTTTTAAAGACAAGTCTAACAACAAAGTTTCCTTTTTCAGATATTTTGTCAATATTTGTTCCTTTAAAATGCGAAGGGGAACAATGGAATCAATGTTTCTCTTCTTATAGCTATCTGTCAAAAACGTTTGTCTCTGGTCAATGAGCTTCAAAAAACGTCAGTCCTGACACCCTGCTCCAGGATCAGGACGGTGGAAAGTTACTTTACTTTACACTCACTTCTGCAGGTTTAAACAGTCCGAAAAAATCCCCCTCTTCTCCTGCTTCCGAAGGGGGGTTCAACAATTTTAAATGATGAAAGTTAATCTTTTACAAGCGATTTTCTGAGCTCTAGTTTGCCATGTCTTTGCTTTAATCTATCTACATAGAAACGGAAGGCTGACTTCCTGTTTAGACCTACCCGTTTCAGTGCCAAATTGAGGTAAACTTTTAAGTCCAATTTTCCTTTCTGCTCGCAAGTCCTTATTTAAAGTACAATTGTCCGAAATTTAAGTACTCACGGGTGATTATTTTAGAAGCCAAATTGTCCCAGGAAAAAGGCAGCGCTCTCCGGCAATGGCTGTGCGGCTTCGCTCCACGGAAGAAGCAGTTGACTCTCAGCACCGCGCCACTTCCCCCTCTTCGCTCCGGAGCCCGTTAGTAGGTTCTTTTGCGGGTTGGGGGGGCGCTAAAGGTGCCCGCCGAGTCCCATGGTCACAGGCTTCATCCGCCTGTGATTTTTGAAAGGGTCCCCGCTTCGCCGTAGTGGAAAAGACCCGTTTCGCGTGGAGCTAGTCCCTCCAGATCAGAGGGAGTCCGCCATTGCCGATGGCGCCACCCCGGAAGTCGAAGTGTGAATTCTTTGGGTGCATTGGAAAGGGTGAATGAAATAGGTTCACCTTTAAATGTGAACTGAACTGAAATTCTTTTCCCATTCCTTTCCCCATTCCTGTTAGCAGCAGTGATAATAACTCCAAGGATAATAACTCCTCCAGACTGGTGTTTTTTTTAAATGTGGATATATTCTGCAACATGCCATGGGCACAATAACAGTACTTTAGTGGTGGATTTATACAGACTCGTTCACATATCATTCTGCTATATTAGTTGTTTCGCAGTGTTCCTCCAATGTTACCCTATTATTGCTATCTGGAAGGGCACTATTTCACTTTGGTGCAACAAAAGTGGGACCAAAAACATGGGGACATTTTATACCACAGCAGGTATTTATGAGATATGCACTGATTGAAAATGAAGCAATGAGTGGTATTCAACTAAGTTTTACTTACAGCAGACTCACTGAAATGAGTGAACATGGCTAAGTTATGCCCAGTAATTTCAATGGGTTTACTCTGAGTAAAAACTGAAATAGCTGAATACCACCCAGTATGTACACACCAAAGCTTTTGAAAGCAGGACCACGTATAACTGCCCTGATACCATCATGAACACAAATCATCATGAATACACCATAAAAAGGATGTCTGGGGAAACCCAAGGACGAGTAGAAGCAGTATGGGGATAAGATCAGAGTAGGCAACACATTCAGTACAGAGGGCTACTGCTAACTTTCATAGTTAGCAGTATTTAATTGGCTGCTAGTGATCGCTTTCCTTGCATACTATGATACTTGAAAATATGTCGACATTTTCATATGCATTTCTTGCTTTGCCCACATTGCAGCTTGATTTTGTATGTCGGTGCTGCTGCTTTCTCTTGATTAATGTACTGTTTTTGGAAATTATATGCATGCAAATACATATTGCTGACTGTGTTTACAGAAAGTTGTGTTCACCTGAGCTCTGCAGAAGGGAAATGCTTAAGAGATCTCAGATGAGCTGAGAGATGGCCATGGTGGTGCTGGTTTTTTTTGAGGTGGGGGCGGGATGCATGGAAATTTAAACGTACAGGTTTTTGTGAGTAGATACAAGTGAATGTGCCCAACATCTAAGTTCTAAGAATTTATGGCTTACTCTGGAGTGACATTCATTTTCTTCACAGCTTGAGATAAAGAACCACGTGTTCTTCAGTCCAATAAACTGGGACGACTTGTACAGTAAGAGGATCACACCTCCATTTGACCCTAAAGTGGTAAGTGGAAAGTCTTCGTAATGATGAATAGAGACTGGGCATTATTTAATTTAAACTGTTTTATCCCACTTTTCAGGAGAAAAGGCTTCTAGAGCAGCTTATAGATAGCAAGGGGGTAAGATAGTCCTTGCCATCAAGCCTGCTGCCTAAAAAGACACAAGAGGAAAATGGATGGGGCAGGAAGGTAGCAAGTTCAGGCACTGCTTCTTATTGTAATAACCAACTGGAATGGAACAAATTAGGATAGGATGAGCTAGTATTTTCAGTGGAGCCAATGGAGAGCCCTTGTTGTCCCATCTTCCCCTTTCCTAGAGCCTGATGGAATTCCGCAGTTGGGGGAGGATCCTGATGGAACATTAAGAAATGCTTAAAGAGATCACCTGCTCCATCTTCTTTTAGGATTTCTGGGGCAGAACCTCCACCTCTCCCCAAGATCATACAATCCAAGGCACAGTAACTTGTGGTTCTTCAGATGTTGCTGGACTATAAAACCCACCCTCTTTGTCCATTGGCCATGCTCATTGGGGCCAGGGGGAGCCGGCATGCAACAACATCTGGAATGCCACAGGTTCCTCATGCCTGATATAACTGGTCAGGGAGCTTCCTGACTTCATAGGATTGTAGAGTTGGAGGGGATTCTGATGGCCATCTAGTCCAACCACTTGTGATGCAGGAATCGGAGCTAAGCTTGCAATATGCTGGCCAAGTCCAAGCATCATAGCCATGTGTTGGTCATTGGGGTTGCATAATATCATTTGCCTCTCAACCAGGGTTGGAAATAGTATCCAGTTCTGGTTTAGAAGAGCCATAGTTTGCTCAGGCTTCACATAACATAACAATTGCCCTCGTGTCCTGTCTGTGGGCTTTCAGCAGGTATCTGGTTGGCCAAAGTGGAAAATACAGTGCTGGACTTGACAGGCCTTTGGTCTGATCCAGCAGGGATCTTCCTATGTTACCATCTCCTCTCTCATTGGTAATAATAAAAAACAGTATTAGTATTGCTGTCATAAGCTGAGGCTTGCAGAATAGAGAAAAAATAACTTGCGGTTCCTTTTCAAGGCTGGTCCTGCTGATCTACGGCATTTTGACCCAGAATTTACTCAGGAAGCGGTCTCCAGCTCCATCATCCGTACCCCCGACTTTGCTACCAGTAGTTGCAGTGCAACAGATGCTTTTTTGGGATTTTCTTATGCACCAAATGATGAAGACTAAAGCAACCTATGTCAACAAGGCTTGAGAAACCCAGTTTTTGCTCTCCATTTAAACAGAGAAGAAGCCACTACCCTCTGACTAATCTTCTAACTGGAACAGAACCAAGCTTTCCTTCCATGACATATAAGACCTCATAATGTGAATGCTCCTCTAAAGGAGGAAATGCTGATTATTCTAGCTAGAATTGTTTTATTTGTACAAACTTGAACACATTTAATGATACAATCTTGTGCCAAAATTGATGTCCTCTTATGAGAATGCAGGCTAACCTCTGTTTGAATTGCCACCCAAGGTATTCTGGATAACCAGCTGTTCTGGGCTCAGTGGGTTTATAGTAGGTACACAACCTGTTCAGATATTTTGTCACCTTAGTTTGTGGTTCACCTCAATTGGGTCCATGTTCTGGCTACATACTCTTACTCTGGCTACATACTCTTAGCCAATGTAGTCCATATGTTGTTGGACTACAGTTCCCATTATCCCCAAGCTTTGGACATGTGAGCAGGGGATGATGGGAGGTGTAGTCCAACAACATTGGCTGCTACAGGGGATTCTTAGAAAAGACCTTTGGAACTATACAGAGAATCCAGGAATCCCCTCCCCAATTCCTTGTAGCTGGTCCTTTTACAGCTTTTGCACAGAACTGTGTATTTCCAAATTGATTGCCTCTGGAGCTTTCTTTCTTTCTTTTTTTCCTTTCAGTATTATGAACCACAGGTGATGCCACCTACAATTTGCATGAGTGTTTCTTTTCACAGCTGAAAGCATTGCTCTCCAGCTAAATGGCACTGATGGGAGCAGCTCTATCGCACCACACCTGTGCTAGATATAGTGATTTGTGATTTTAACTTGGAAATGTTGATAGCACACTGCTTACATTTTTAGTAATTGTATTTATTTCCCCCTTTTATCTGGAAGGTGTGTAGTGATAAGCATCTGGTCATAACTACCTCTTTACTGCATAGATAGAGAACAGCCAATGGATTTTCTTTTTATGAAGATAAAGTAAGGAAAAAATATAGGTCTGTTTTTCAAAAAAGACCTGCCTATTAAGAACTCCTGAGCAGAGATGAATTGTACCAATGTGTGATCTTTTATTTACAAAACTGAGAGCTGGTGCAACTATAGCTGCCACAGGGAGTAGTGTCATTACCCTCATTTTATACAAAATTGTTACCTGTCCCAGGATGTTTCTATGGAACCCTTTAATCATTGATCTCTTAGTCAAAATCATTTAAAATTATATATTCTTCTTATGCTGGTAAGGGATCTTCCTACAAAACATGGATATAAAGGTATTGAATTAAGTAACAAAGCAGGCTGATTCTGGAGATAAATTTTCCCTGCTACCAGCTAAAGGTAAAACACATCCACCCTGATGAATTATGAAGGTGGGATGTGTTGAGGTGACTAGAATGGGCTGCCAGTATACATATAAGCACAAGTGTGAATGTCATTGCCAACCTGAAATAATGCAGAATGATAATTTTTATTTTGCTGTTTAAAACAGCACAAGGATCAAGGTGCAAACTTGGGTTGTGGAGGATTCAACTGTGATAATATATACTACAGAAATAACTGCCAGTTTTGGTGCCTTTGTACCTCTTAAACACCTGCCTTTAAAAACAAAACACTATGTCCATGTTTAGCTTGAAAAGTATCCACCATCTCTGTGCATTTTTATTTTTAGACACTATGGATGTTTAGCTATGTGTTAAGAAATGTGTCTAGTGTCCAAGCTTGCTGTGGGATTTTCTTTTTGCTTGCTTGCTTGCATTTGTTGTCAAGGCTATGGTGGGGGGAAATATAATAGTGCTTGCATGACTGCTCCTCTTTGAGTGTTGTGGATATGCTGATATAACTCCATAATCATGTTGAAAGATCCTTGCATTTTCTCTTATGTTCTCTTCCTAACCCCAGTTTTTATTTTGTTGAATATTTAAGAGTTTAATAAATAAAATAATATATTTTAAAGCAAACTGTTGCATGACTGATAAAAAACACAGTGGGTGTTTTTTATGGTAATGTTTAGGTGGCTGTGTAAAAAGTAACCATATTTTCTGTCCTTTTTAATATTTGTCCAAGATCTTAAGTACTAAATGCAAACCAGACAGTAAAGGGAACAACAAGGTTCCTTAATACTCACCATTTAACTGTGTACACATCAGCCTAGCTAAGTTACCTTTCCCTACACTGGATTCACAGACTTAATGAATATTTCTGGGAGTCTCAGCAAAGCACTTAATAAACTTTTTTGGTATTCTACAAATTGAAGCACGTTGCTTGTTTTTAGTAAGCATAGTCTTGCCTTACGAATGTGACGTATCTGCTTTTTCTTTAACAGTTGCAAAATAATATTTGCATCATTGTACGGAAGCAAACATCGCTTCCCTTTCAATCTTAATGCTACCCGATGAAACCCTTAGGAGCACACATCTGATAAATTGACCAATAAATAAATAAATAAATAAATATACAAGTAGGGAAGCAGATACTAGTGATAATCATTTTCACAGGTTAGTTGACCAGCGAAAAGCTATCCTCAGAAAGGATATTCTGGAGCTCAAAAAGTTTCCAAAAAGGGCAACCAAAATTATCAAGGGGGTGGAAGAACTCCCCTATGAGGAAAGTTTGCAGCCTTCGGGACTTTTTAGTTTAGAGAAAAATGAGGAAGAGGTGACATTATAGAAATTTATGCATGGCATGGAGAATGTGGATACAGAAAGGTTTTTCTTCCTCTTTCATACTGTACTATTGTGTACAGCCAATGAAACTGAATGTCGAGAGATTCAGGACAGCTGAAAGAAAATACTCCATGCAGTGCATACTTAAACTATAGAGCTATGATGGCTTACATATACAATTAGACCGCCATGAATCTGTCTAGCAATGTCTACTAGTGGTGGTGGAGGCAGTATGCTTCTGAACACCAGTTAATGGAAATCACAGCTTTCCCACAAGCAGCTGGATGTTGGGCTAGATGGGCCACAGGCCTGACCCAATACTAGGCTCTTCTTATTTTCTTATCCTAACCTGAAAACACACAAGGTAGTCTTGACACATGTATTGGAGAATAATTGAAATGGATTGGGATTCAATTCCCTAGCCTGCATGTTTTGCAATACAGTGGTACCTCGGGTTACAGACGCTTCAGGTTACAGACTCCGCTAACCCAGAAATAGTACCTCGGGTTAAGAACTTTGCTTCAAGATGAAAACAGAAATCGTGCTCCGGCGGCAGCGGGAGGCCCCATTAGCTAAAGTGGTGCTTCAGGTTAAGAACGGTTTCAGGTTAAGAACGGACCTCCGGAACAAATTAAGTACTTAACCTGAGGTACCACTGTATAGCCAAGTAATGCACCCATCTTCAAATGGTCATTATTGAAATACATTAGAGAGGGGCTGCAATTCTGCACATTGACCTGAAAGCCTCTCATCCCTTGGTTCTGTCTTGCAAGCAATTGCAAACTCTCTTGGAGTGTTCTCTTCCATAGCAGGTGAGAACAAACAATAGGTATCACATAAGCAGGGGTGTGTGTGGGTGTGTGGGTGTTGGAGGGGTGGGCAAGAGTGAGGGCTCAAAATGGCCATGTGTGCTAGTTTACTAAAGACAGTCCTCTGCTTTAAGAGCTGTCCGGTTTAAAGATAAAAGAGCTTTAAGGAAGGAGGGCAGGGGCCAACAACTTTCAGCACCCGAACAACAGACCGACCAAGCAACACAGGTCATCGTCTCCCCACGGTGGTGAGATATATTGTATTTCTCTTTTTAACACAGCAACTATTCCTGAATTTGTACCTATACAGTACATAGTATTTAGCATGTGCCAATGTCTGCCCTTTTGTGGGTGTTGGTGGGTGTGATCCATTTCCTCTTTTTTGCAATATGTAATTAGCTGCATTATGTAGGAGGGAGACTCCTTTTTATTTATTTGTTGCTTATGTATTGCTTGCCAGTAAACATAAAACATAAACGGGTACGAGTTCCCAAGAGAGCTGAAGCGACAGCACAAGAAATAGTGACAAAATGACCAACAGAATAATACAGTACATCTTAGGAACGTGCTGCTACTCAGCACGAAAGTGGGGAGGGGGGAGAATGAGATTTCTGGGATTTAGGTCTAACCCTTCAAGTCACACTACACCACATCCAGTACCCTCTGCTGTTTCCAAAACTCTTCCAAAGCAAAAAACAACAACAACAACACGTTGCCAAGAGAGATTTTCCCTGCTCCTGCCGCTGCCGACGTTGGCGGACTCCCCTCCACCATCGAGAATGGAAGATTCCACCGCTGAATGAGCCTTTTCCCTGCAGCTCAAGGAGACTCTAGGCGGGCCTGTGACGTCATCACGTCGGACGCAACGCGGCTTTCCCTTGCTCTCCCCCGCCTCCTGCTTTTGCCAGCGAAGTCGCTTTGGGCGCCTGCGCAGACGGAAAGGGCTCGCGTTGCTAAGAAGGGAGAAGGCCCTTAGTTACCGCGCGTTGCTGCTGCTCCGCGGTTGGAGGGGACGGGGAAACGATGGTGGCGACCCCGCAGGTAAGTCAACTTTTGTGGTGGCGGTGTAGAGATGCTTCCCCCTCCCTCGGGACCATTTATGGAGGCGGAGGGTTACTTTGTAGGCACGACCCTGGCTCCCCTCACCTTGGGACCTTGTAGAAGTCCGAGCTGGTAAATTTTAGTTGCCTCCCGCCTTTCCGTAGCCAGAAAAACCATGCTGAAAGGCGGCTTACAAACGGGGGACGGGGCGGGAATTGCATTATTACAAACACAGCAAAAGCAGGCAGGAGCAGTAAATAAAACACATCCAAAAGCATGCAACCATATTGGAAAATTCCCACATAAATCATAATAAGATCCAAAACAAATGTACAAAAAAAATTCAGTAGCAGCAACAAAAGCCCCCTCAAACAAACATTACCCCAGTCCAAGAGTCCTCTTGAATTTGATTTTTTAAAAAATAGGATACATGGAAACCACCATCAAATCACAGATCGTATCTGCGCCTAACAGACTGAATTATACAGAATCAGAGAATTGTAGAGTTGTAAGCAACCCTGAGGATCATCTAGTCCAATCTCCTGCAGTGCAGGAATAGATCCCACACTTGTGGTGCAGCAAACTTGCAATATTTTTATACTGATCCCCCCCCCCCCAAAAAAACCCCTACTATTAAAAACATGACATCTGTAACATGTCAGCCAACACCAGAAACATTGTGGCACGGTCTGAGGATACTGTACAGATGTAATGTGATTTGATGGTGGTTTGAGGGAGAGGCTCCTGTTCAAGAATCTGTAAGGATCTGTGCCCCCTAGGCCTAGATCCAATGGTTAATGCTGTTAATGTGAGTTTTGAGGTGCTGGTTACACTGAGTTTTGAGGTGCCTGTGACAACAGACGTTATAGTGGTTTTGGTGGCTTTCTGTATAAAACCTATGTGAAAAATCTGCCCAATGCCTCAGATCCATGTTTTCGTGCCATGGTTGTGTCAGAAAACACCAGCTACATCATGATTCTTCATGCTTCAGCCTCTGGAGAGGGAGATTCTATAATGGGATTAAGATAAACTTTTGTAAAAATGCAATTTCAGGCAGATTGTTTTTTTAATTACTAGATGCAACTCCTACTTGCTTCCAAATCTACTTACTGTATTTCTGTTCCTCAGTGCCAAATCATAGACTTACTGATAGAATTACCCTCATTTTTCGAACTACAAATGCTTAGGAAATCTCAGCACTGCAAGCTTGTAATGATTTTATGCCAGCTTATTCACTGCTATAGCTCTCCCAAAAGAGTCCTGGGAACTAGCCCTTGGAGAGAGTGTGTAGTAATATAGCTCAAGAACAAGAGATTCTGGCCTACTATTTTATTGTCCCAATTGCTGGAACAGGGTGGCTTTGCTTTCTAGAACTCTTAGATCCACCAGCTGTAGCCTGATACAAAAGTCATAGCTAAGAACCAAACAAAGCTGACATACCACTCCAAAATACACTTGTCGCCCCAAGCTTTCTTCATTTTCACTAGCATTCTTTTTGGCAGGTTCGGGCATTTGGAAAGTTGGAAGTCAAAAATCCTTGCAGAGAACCCAGATTTTCTTTCTTTCCACCGTGCTAGATCAATCAATAAAACATAATGTTATTTGGTTAATTGTGGGTATTCATTAATTCTACATTAATCTGGGAAGGGTTCTTAGAATTTCTGAATAATGATAGCACTTTTTCATTTTGCTTTGTTTTTTGTTTATTTGCCTGTGCTCTTTCATTTTTGAGGTAACTATGGAGGGAGAACTTCGTAATATAATCGTCTTCAATGCTTCTAAAAAGGAAATTTTTACTATGAACAATGGTTATAGGATTCTACAAAAAAAGCTTCGAAGCAACTGGAAGATACAGAGGTGAGTGGAGTATGTATTGTTTTCTTTTTTCTGATCTGTGTTAGCTTCCTGCTTTTTACTACTGTTCTGAGAGGAGAAGGCGAGCCATCTTTTGTTTCTAGACCAGCATTGAAGTTTGATGAAGGCATAAAATTGCTTTAAAGTACCCAGGACAATGGCTGCCCCATAACAGTTAAATTTTTGCTCTCCTCGTATCTTGTACAATATCTGTATATCTGATTGCAGATTTTAAACAAGCTTATTTTGTTAGTATAGGATATTGGCAGAGTGTGGGTTTCATAGTCTTTCATTCAAGCCTTACCTCAACCACAGCTTTTCAAGATGGGTCTAAGCCCCTGTTCTTTAAAGCATCAGCCCTTCAACCTCATTGTGGGGATAATTGTGCAAGTGACATGAGGCTTTTAGCTTAATATACCTATATGCATTTGGCATTAGGTCTTCGTGGTTTGTAATATATCTCCCTTGAACATTTTGATAATAGAATGAGATTTGGTAATCTTGTTCAGGACATCAGTCTTTATTTTAGGGTTGAATACCTTCTTATTTTTGTAGTCATTTTCAAAGTAGAGAAGAAAATTAAAAATACATTATAATGCAACATCTGCCTAGACAATTGAGGTATTGACCCAGCATGCATGCCACAGTAAGCCATAGTTCACCCTCAACACCGCTAAAATGGCTCTTTTCCTTCTCCCTGCTGAGAAAAAACAAAACACGATCACTGTCTTTGTGTTATGTCCAATCCTGGAATTGTGGTTTGCCAATGATATGCGTTATTGGGTAACATGTCTTCTATTAATTTGTCCATAGTTTAAAAGATGAAATAACTTCAGAGAAGCTGACCGGAGTAAAACTCTGGATTACATCAGGACCTAGGGAAAAGTTCACAGCTGCTGAAGTATGTAAATGTCTTAAATACCTCAATAACTGTTTAAAGATCTATTTACCTTGCTGATCTTGTCTAGTATTTTGATCCTGTGAACTTCTTCAGGATTCAGTGGTTCTCTTACATCACATCTTATAGGCTTTTTGGATTCATAGAAGCAGAGCAGGATGATGCACACTCTGGCCGTCCTGTTTTGTATGATCTGGGGCAGGATTGGTGCCTTGCAAATGTGTCTGAGCCACAGTGCTGTACCCTGTATGTATGTTAGGTGGGCTGTTCACTGTTTACTAATGGATTACCTAATGCCTTCTTGTTGGGATTTTTGCAAAGAGTGCTAGACATAGGGCAGAATTCAGTGCAGCGTTAAGGTTCACGTTCTGTCAGTGCAAGGATTTTTCCTTATGCAATGGAACATTCTCCCCCTCTCCTCCCCTGTGCACCCCATAAATCTGTTCTACACATTCCTCCAGTCCTCTGCAGCAAATCTGGAGACAGTGTGCAGAGGGACAATCACTAAATTATTTAGCTGAATACCGCCCTAACTGTGCAATTCTAACCATGTCTACTCAGAAGTCTGTCCTGTTGGATTCAGTGGGGCTTACTGTCAGGTAAGTAGTTTTAGGACTACAGCCTAAATGTAATCCACTAAAGCACTAAACATGAATGCCTATTCAGAATTGCTTAGAGCAGATTAATTATGCCGTAACTTGTAAAGAGACCTTGAGTATGCACTTATACTTGATAAATTTAAAACACATTGGTGGACTCACAGATGAAAAACAGAAAAGAAAAGAAAGTGGACTATGAAAGACTAAAGTTAGCCCTGTTCTGCCGTATGCCAAACAGCAGGTAGTTTGTTAGCTTAAATGCCTATTTGCACTGCTTAAACTTTAACCATCTTTAGGGTTAATTTCCCCTTTGTCTTGTAAGAATAATAAGATGGGGTTTCTTTACCAAAGGAGACTTAGTATTTGTAAGGATGTGCAAGCTGTGTTGTGTTGCTATTCTAATTTTCAAGGGTTAAATTGTGTAAAAGCAGGAAAACCTTTCATCCTGGCACTCAAGACTTTGTTGCTTTTTTCCTTTACAGTTTGAGGTTCTGAAGAAGTATCTAGAAAGTGGTGGGGATATCCTGGTGATGCTGGGAGAAGGTGGTGAATCTCGATATGACACCAACATCAACTTTTTATTGGAAGAATATGGGATCATGGTCAATAATGGTAATAACTGACCTGAGGACAAGCTTTCTTCTTTGGTCAGTCTTGAGAATGTTTGCATATCATATAGTCAGAAACCACAAACAAGTGACCCAATTTACAGCAATTTGAGTGTGCTTTATTAATTTGATATTGCTAGGTCCCAAAAGAGCTAGTGACAGAGTATGATTGTAGCTGTACCATCTTCCCTTTTCCATGTTTGCTGATTTTGAAAATACTAAGCAAGTGAACAGTACTACGATAAAGTACATCCAAGTCTGAGGGATATTTGGTATGGTGGCAGGCCTGAACTCTGTGTGAGCAGAGAGCAAGGTCCACAGAGTTTCTCTCTGTTAGGCTCTAAGTGAACATCTCTTGCTGTATTGCTTGCTGCGTACCGTTGTGCTGTGATTTTCATTTTTCTTTAAACCATTGTGTGCACTGCACATTCGAACATTCAGCAGCCCCTCCTCTCTGTGGCCTCAGTGCATGGACTGCATTCAGTGGATGCAAGAGCAGAGCAGTGCAAGGGCTTGGGGAAGGTGGATTCATGTGTGATGTAGAACTGCCTTGGCCTAAAGTGAATAGCTTGATGAATTGCTTCTGATACAGCAAAAGAGCCACTGCACCTCTTATCTTTCTTTGTGACTGTTCCATTTGTACTTTTGCTATGATTGTACATCTGCATCTTCTTATGGGCTGCCACAAGGAAAATATGAGAGATTTGCCAGCTTTTTAAGGACCATGGGCACATTTGCAAACAGAAACTGTTGTGGGCATCACATGCCAGGCACACACTGAAGCCAATCAATTGGCTACTATTCTTCTTTCAAGCCAAATTTTAGTAGGGTGGGGGCGGGCGGGTCATATGAAGTCAGAAGGTGCTTTGTTGGCAACATCAGCCTTCATACAATTAGAGAGAACCAGGATCTAGAATCCATAGCCCATACTTTGCAGCGCTGCATCTTACTGGGAAAAATATTATTTTTCGTTTCTCTTAAGACTCTGTGGTGAGAAATGTGTATTATAAATACTTCCATCCTAAAGAAGCTTTGGTCTCCAATGGAGTTTTAAATCGGTAAGTATTTGATAGTGGATGGTATGTGGGTGCATTCACATTTTATCTTGTGTAACTTAGCTATATTTTGCAACTACAAATCAGTTATTTTTGGGTTTCCATCTATAAGGGAAATCAGTAGAGCTGCTGGAAAAACAGTATCTGGGATAATAGATGAAGACAACAGTGGAAATGATTCACAGTAAGTACCTTCTTTCCAGCCATGTTACAAATGCCATCAATGTTCATTCTGAAAAGTTATAATAAAGCATTGTGTGGGAAGTGCTCTTGAAATATGTAGAATATTCTAATTAATGCCTAAGATTTTGTATTTTGCCTCTTGAAATGCTGCTTAAGTGGAGTAATGCTACAAAATCCAAGGAAGGGAACAGTTTTGCACAGTGTTCTGGATTTTTTTTTTTTTACTGCTTATGGACATAAACAGGATTTTAATACATCGTAAAGTATAGTCCTTTTAATTACTGATTTGTATCCACTATTGGAAGGCCTCTTCCACTCACAATGCAATGGAAGAGCACTGTTTTTAAAAAGAGACACCCAAATCCCAAGAAGTTATTGCATTGTCACAAGCTCTTTTTGAAGCACAGGTTCCTTCTCAAGACTTTCTTGTGGCCTGGAGTCTATAAACTTCAGCCTTTTTCCTTCCTTATTCAGTCTGTTGCCTATACAGTATTGTAACCTCTGCTAAATTGTGGTACTGCCCCGGGAGAAATAGAAGACTTCTGTGAATGCTTGCTGAGCAGTACAAATGAACTTTTCGTCCACTTTTGGTTCTTTGGATCTAAGCCATCACAATTAATTTTAGAGTGTTACAAATACATGGTATCTTTTTTCTTTTTTTAAAGAAAAAAAGCTCCTACCAGCAGAAGAGCATGAAGGGGTGTGGACAGAGAGAATGGTTGATTGTGTTTGACGGCATTGCAATTCTGTGAAATATAGAAAATGCTTATGACAGTCTTTGTACTATTTTGTAGGGCTCTCACTTTTGTGTATCCATTTGGTGCTACACTTAATGTGATGAAACCAGCAGTGGCTGTTCTGTCCACGGGATCTGTCTGCTTTCCTCTTAATAGACCCATCTTGGCTTTTTATCACTTTAAGGTACATAACTGCATGAGCCATCAAATACTTGTAAAACATGATATTTTGTAACTTCGTTCATAATTTCTGTTATTTGCACATCTTGTGCAACTTTAGCAGGAAAGCATTCAGATAAAAGCTCCTTTATGTTGGAACCTTTGAAAAGAGTTGACCTATAACAGGGGTAGGGAAGCACATTGAACTGTTATTGCAGTTCTTCCCCAGTTTTATCAGTCATTAGTAATAATAATTATACCATTTCTAAAACACTTCTAAGACAAAATGCTGAAAAGTGAATAAAACTAAAGATAGGCCCTGTTGTAAATTTACATTATCATACTTTTACTTCATTTTTAGTGTAATTTACTAACTTTAAATAATGTATGGTAAATATGTTCATTTGAATTTTCTTACTTATTTTCTTAGCTTATCCCAAAATATTTGGAAAAGGGAACAGCATGTTAAGCATCCATACAAATTCAACTGAGATGGATAAAAACAAGATAACTTGACATTTGTACACATAGTTTATCCCAGTTATTAAAGGCATTCCAGACAAGTATGCCTTGTAATCTTTTCTTTATTCTGCCCCAGTAGTGTCTGTGCATTCATAATCTGTATGAGCTTTTAATGCCTTCTTAGAAACATGTAATATGAGTGTATGGTGTCCTCAAAACTGAGACTTTTATTGGACAAATTAATTTTTAGTGTCCCAGCCAATTCTAGGCTGCATCAACAGAAATATATTGTCTAGATACAGGGAAGTATGAGTTTGCTCTGTTCTGCCTTGGTCAGACCCGATCAGGAGTACTGTGTCCAGTTCTGGGGACTGTGGTATAATAGGGATATTGGCAGTTTGGAACATGTGCAAGAGGATTCTGAAGAAAATAGTAGAATGTCTGTTAGGGCAGAGAAAATGATCAGAAGGAAAATCTAAAATCTGTTCAAGACACATGAGGTGGAATTCAAAGAGCTACTGTAGTACTGTGCCTCCAATACCTATCCCACACAGCCAATCTAGGAAAATACCACGGTCACCTGTCACATCTGGCTTGTGAGGTGTAGTGGACAGAGGGATCTGGCCTGTTGGTCAGACCAGATTCCCCAATCCTGCAATAAAGTAATGCAGAATGTTAAAGAGTGTAATATGAAAAGTACACCTGGTAAGACAAAGCATTGATGTACAGTATAAGTTATTGAATGTGTTCTACTGATTTTTTCTTTGATAGAATCAAGGTGGCAAGTTAGCTGTACTAGGATCTTGTCATATGTTCAGTGACCAATATTTGGAAAAAGAAGAAAACAGCAAGATTATGGTGAGCCTCTGTTGTCAACTTCACTGCTAATACTTTAATAATGTATGCCCTCTAACGATCAGTTGAGCAGGTTTATTTGAAGCTTAGGAGTTATTCAGCAGAGTGAGCTGTCTTTTCAACCATATTAAGTTGAAGTTTTTGCTACTTGATTCTTTTGGACGCTATGGTATGTAGTCTTTTTTGCAATACAGTCGTACCTTGGTTTTCAAACAGCCTAGTTCTCAAATGTTTTGGCTCCTGAACACCGCAACCCCGGAAGTGACTGTTCCGGTTTGCGAACTATTTTTGGAAGCCAAACATACGACGGAGTTTCCGTGGCTTCCGATTGGCTGCAGGAGCTGGTCAAGCTAGAGAAATGGAACAGAGCACTCTGCTTCATCAGCCAGATGAGATTCCATACTGGCCATGGAGGAGGTGACAAACCTCTGCAGCCAGTAGTGAAGATGATTGGGCTGGCAAAACAGAGCACTCTCTTGCTTTCACTCGCCTGGAAGCAGTTCCACTTTAGAATTCCTGGTTGCCAGTGGTGGCTAGGAAAGGGATGCAAGACAGGACTGGTTTAGTGTGACATCAGAATGCAGCCACCACCTCTCTTGTAATCATTTACTCTAAATAATGTTTTCTGCTTCCAGCCAATTTAATAATAATAATAATTATAATAATAATAATAATATCTTTATTGTCATTGCCCCCTTCGGGGACAACGAAATTACTTGACTGCTCCATAAAAACTCTAATTAATCAATACAGTATAATACAGCAAGGGAGATTAGATGACTTTCAAAGTCCGGGCTTCCCATTCAGGGCCGAGATCGCTCTGGAGAAGAAGCTGTTCTTACCTATATGTGTCGTCTCCTAAGTGTGATTGTTTGAATATGCCAAGGAACTTCTGTTGTTGTTGTTGTTGTTGTTGTTGTTGTTGTTGTTTTGCACTGTTAATCTTGATAATTCAAAGAATTCCACAATTATAACTGGGCTCTTTGGTTTCTTAGGATGTACTGTTTCAGTGGCTTACAACAAGCGACATCCATTTAAACCAGATTGATGCAGAAGATCCCGAGGTAAGGGGAACTAATTCAACATTATTTAGTAACATTAGCTTTGTATATCATAAAGTATAGCTGCCAACTTTGCTGAATTTCTATTTTTGCATCTTTTACTTTTGTCCCTGCCAAGAAGAAAGCCTTGATAAGCTGAAAGCAGGGGTAGCTGGTGCTGTGCCCTTTAGATGCAGGCTCCAACTGCCATTATCCTTGACCATTGGCCATGGGAACCGGGACTGATGTGGGTTGGGAGTTCGATAACATCTAGAGTGGACCCCATTGACTACTCTTAACTTAAAGGCAAAAAGTTGAGTTGTTAATTTTTACACTTGCTCTGTAAAGTTTATTCGGTTCTATCACTGTTTCAACTTTCCAATTATCTGAAACTTTAAAATTACTTAGCAGTTTGTAGTAATGTCATGTTGTGAAGAATACACTGAGATGAAAAATTAAAGTTAATTTTCTTTCCTATGATGTCTGCCATCAACAAATAGGTTTTATCATGAAAAATAAAGAGGTATCATAATATATGTGAATTTAGAAGTACGTACAGAAGATGAATTTATTTCGACCAAACTTATTAACTGCTGAAGAAGCTTTTGAAATCCGTTTCCTATATCAAGAGATGTATATAAGTGCTCATAACTATGACGGTTAGAAAATTGGCCAAACTAAATTAAAATCCGCACTCTTAAGTGTATTGTTTCTTGGATATATGATTCAAGATGCAATTCTTTTATCATGTAGTTGTTTAGCTCACTGGAAAGGTTCCATTTTTAGTGTGAGCTGTCTCTTTGTTCACAGCAATTTCCGTGTGCTTTTCCTCCAGATAGCTGATTATACGATGCTTCCAGATATAGCAACCCTGTCAGAGCGACTGCGAGTTTGCCTGCAGGAGGGAGATGAAAATCCACGAGACTTCACAACACTTTTTGACATGTCTATTTACCAGCTGGATACCACTGCACTTCCAAAAATCATCAAGTTGGTGACCTCATTTATGTTTCCCAAAACAATGGGTTGAATCCAGATTTTGCTGCCAGCAGCAGGAGTGAGGAGGCAACTTTTACCAGTTTTCCCCATCACTTTGCACCCTGTGAAACTCTGCTCCAGAGGATTGGGGGCTGGGAGAATCAGCAGAAGTCACATTACACACACACACACACACACACACCTGATCAAAGGTTTCCTGTGTACAAAAGGAGATCTTCCATTTGCAGACAGCAAAGTCTGGATCCAACTCAGTGTCTTTTTCTTCTTCATTTTAGTTTAATAGATTTTAGGGCCTATTCATTGCATTATTTTCGTTGTTTATAGGCTCTTTGAGGACAGAGTCCTCTCAAGCTGGAGGACAAGATGGAGAACAATAACACAAACATTAAATTACAATAAAAATATATTTTGTTAAATACTTCTTAAAATTTTAAAATATACAATAGTAGGCAGCAGTATAAAATAGGCCATAGAATCAGCAGCAAAGTGCATCAAGTAAAAGCCACTTGAAACAGGTAGGATTTTTAAAGTCTTTTTGAATACCAAGACTGAAAGGGCCACTGTGTATCCTTTGGGAGTTACAAAGAACAGGGGCCACTACTGCAAAGACCCTATCCTTGGTGAGCACCAATCTTAACAATCTTAAAGGTGGCACAGAAGCAGAGCTTCTGATGCTGTTGTCTTCAAGGTTCATATGGGCAGATGCAGTCCTTCATATAACGTGGCCTCAGGCTGTTCAGCATTTTTAAGGTTCAGTATCAGCACTTTGACTTGAATTTCAATATGTTATGCACCATCAGCAGAAAGGTGGTTAAATTTGGGGTTTTGCCCATGTACACTTCTAATCCTAGTTATAATTTTGGCATAGTTAAATTTATATCTATCCTGGACTCGTGGTGATAGTAAAAGTTGTTAACGCATGCCAAAACTCCAAAGCAAAAAACCTATAGCCAATGCTGCAAACTTTACACATTGTTATACGTTGCAGGTCTTATGAGCAGCTGAATGTGAAATACGAACCGCTCCAACTAATTCAGCCTCAGTTTGAAACTCCGTTGCCTGCACTTCAGCCAGCTGTAAGTAACTGTCCTGGGAGAGGAAGGAAATAAGGTTACAAGCATTTATGAGTAGGGTGAATAGATGGGTGATTTCAGAAACAGAAGAGGCAACACAATATATAGTGCAGGGAAAGTTCAAGGCTTATTGGGTAGGAAGAGAGGATCAGGCAGGTCAAGTCATCTTGGCGGAATGACTGAAAGTTACAATGTGTGTTGAAGCAGGTCTATGACTCGTAGGTCAGTGTTTCTCAACCTTTTTCCTACCGTGGCCTCCTTCTGACCTTGTTTCCTTCCTGTGGCCCCCCTGTCCTACTGGCAGAAAGGGTAGCTATTCAGATGTTTTGTTTGTAAATAGAACATGTTATATATATTTATAATTTCTACAAAATACAAAAAAATTATACTTTAAGTATTTCTCAATCAATGTGACCCTTGTGCTTGGTGACCAGAAACAAGCTTTTTTATATCTGGTTCTTTTGCTGCGAGGGATAACTGAAGATCACCTCTGTCCATTACGTTGAGCCCATTCTGTGTGAGGCTGAGTAACAATTGCATGCAGCAACATGCCTCCTTTCACAGTAATACTTGCACGAAGAAACAGCACCCCACACACTAACACTGCTGCAGCCACGCGTATTGCCCATGACAAACAACATGTGGACAGCTTGGTGCATGCAGTGGTGGAGGGCGGAAGTGGGAGGGAGAAGGAACTGGAAGTGACGTCGCTGCAAAGTGCATGTGGCACTCCATCCATTGGGAATCACGGTCACTTCTCTGTTCCCTTTACTTCTCTCTTTTCTATTTTCTTCACTTCTTTGTTTCCTTTTTTCTTTTCTTGGTCATTTTTCTATTTTCTTCACTTTTCACTTCCCCTCTGTTGCTCCCTAGTCTCATGCCATGGTGTCCCATTTATGTGTTTTTCACCTGTGGACCCCTTGGAATATCCTGGGGTGTCAGAGATCAGACTGAGGATTACAGCTCTGATGAGGAATGGTGGGAACCTCTCCCTCTTCCTGCTCCTGACCAGGATCCTGAAGCTGCCCAGGAACAGTAGAGCAGTATAGATCTAGAGAATTGGTTTGCAGAGGGACATAATTCAGAAGACAAAAGCTGGGCAGAGCTGAGTGGGGAACGGAGAAACAGAACAGGAAGAGAGAGAGAGATAACTGGCTCCCCTTCGCTGGAAATTGTCCAGCCTCTCTCACCAAGGGCAAAGAGAGCTGCTAAGGTTACTACGCAGAAGGCTCAGTGGTTGCAAGATCAGGTTGCCAGAAGGGGAAGTGACAAGGATGGCTCAGGGAGAAGTAGGAGGAAGACTTAATTGGGAGCACCTTAACTTTGAGAATGGCTGTTTTGTTCTTTGTCTGTGATCACTAAACACTCTTAAACTGGCAAGGGACTCTAATTGCTTTGTTCTTCTGATGCACAGCCAATTGGGGGGGGGGGGAAGCCATTTCCCCGACGCCTGAAATGGGAGGGCCCGGGGGCATATGGCCCCCGGTTGGGAAACGCTGTTGTAGGTGACAAAAGTTTGTTTTTCAAAGGAAGGCAGTAAAAATGAGGAAAAGTTTAACTCAGACATTATGTTCTGCCCATCATTCCTCAAAGTTAGAAATTTCCTACATGGACAGCCTAACTTATTTTATGTGTCCAGTCCTTGCAGCTACTCACATTTCTCTCAATTCAGGCTATGCCCTGAACACACTCTAACCCTTCCAAGACCTGACATCCTGTGGTTAGGAAACAAGTAATCTGGTGCCTGCTTTCGTCTCACCAAAATGCTTAAGCTGAATGTCACTGATTTTCCCAAAGTAGAAATTGGAAATGTCAAACCTGTATATGTTTTTGAAGGGGCTATAAACAGAATAGTTTACTTTCTGAAGCTTACATTGTATAAACAAGATTACAGCATGCGAGTAGTTTAATTAGAGCCTGCACCAATGCTTTTTTTCTCTGAACAAGTATGGGCAGACTCAGCTTGTTAAGTTTTGCCTAATCTCTTACTAGGTTTTTCCACCGGCCTTCAGAGAGCTGCCTCCTCCTAGCCTGGACCTGTTTGATTTGGATGAAACTTTCTCTTCTGAGAAAGCTCGCCTTGCTCAAATAACAAACAAATGTAAGTAGTGCAAACATTTGAACTTGGGATTGTTAAACCATTTGTGGGATGGGCAGGGGAACTTTCTAGATGAAGAGCTTCTCAAACTTTTATCTCCAGGGCACACTTTAGAAAGCTGAAAATTACTGAAGTCCTCCGTATTATGCATACCTTAAAATTTTTCCAAAATGCTTTGCATTTTGTTAAGAAAACCAGATCTTTTAAATCTGTTTCCTCCATGCTAATGGAGGTACTCTAGATCAGGATAGATAATATGTAGCCCTCTGGATGTTATTGGACACCAGTTACCACCAGCCCAGCCCCAGCGGTCAGGGATGAAGGATCCTGTGATCTAGTAATGTGTGGCTGCATATAGGCTCTGCATCCCTTCTCTGCTTGTGGAAACCCATATAATATCTTTAAATGATTTGGCAAATTTTGTGTGTATTATGCTACTTTTATGTCCTTATTAGGCACTGAAGATGATCTGGAATTCTATGTCAGAAAATGTGGGGACATCCTAGGGGTAACTAACAAACTACCAAAGGAGCAGCAAGATGCCAAACATATCCTGGAGCACATTTTCTTTCAAGTGGTGGAGTTCAAGAAGTTAAATCAGGTAAACTAATAGGCATTTTTCTTGAAGCCCTGTCCAATGGTCATTGGGAAAGATATGAAAGCCAGGTTTCTGGGAAAACAGACTCCCTGATCTCAGTGATCTATAGAGGAGGCACCGCATTAAAATTAATAATAAAATAGGACTTGAGCTTTATCTAATTTGCTTTTCAAGTTAATTGAGTATTCTGTTCCAACACCTCTTTGAGAAGAAAAAAAAAGATGGGTGGAGAGAATTCTTTCTAGCTTTTTTGTGATTCTGTGTGCTCCTTATAGAAAGCAATATTAAATACCTAGTTGACAGTTGAGCATATTAGACTTTATGCTTCCTCCTTTCTTGACTGCCAGATTCCCTCCTTCATTTTAGTGGCAACCCTCGGGCAGTGTTATATGTGCACCAATGTTAATGCTAACCAGGGCTGTCTAAACCCAGAGTTTGCAATCCCATTTCTAGCTGTGACTACAAACTGGTTAGTGGTAACATTTTTACGGACATTGATAGTCAGCTGTGCAAATAGGAAGAGGAATTTACATGAGAAGAGTGGGGAAGAAGAGTGTGTGAGCCTTCAGGGTGCTCCTAATCTGTTAAACATGGGCAAGAGTTTATGGCCCAGGGCCGATACATTGTTCCCAAAGTCTAGGAGCTGAAAACCTTCAAGACCATTTAAATTTTATTTTGGACCCTGAAAATGCAAAGGAGCCTAGAGTCATTTGTATGTATTGACAAATATCCTTTTTCTTTTCTTTAAAGGAGCATGATATTGATACAAGTGAAGCTGGATTCCAGGGTGGCTTTTGAATATTTGAAAGGAAATTTGATGTCACAGGGAAGGATAATAGAACAGCTTCTCTTATTTTGTTTTGGCTTTTTTTTCTTCAATAAACTGGCTTGCTTTGCTTCTTCCTGCCATTTTCTGTACCCTATGTTACCTTACAAATATGTAGATAGTCTAAAATGCCGAAGCCAAATGAGGGATTGCCTTATAGGCAGCAATAATTTTGATAATTTCTTATGTATGAAGCATTCCATATTTAATATTTCTATTTATAAACAAATAAATATCACATTTTGTACAACCTAAAATTCTTGTTTCTAGCTGTCAGACCCTTAAATGCGTCTGTGTGTGTGGATTAATACAGTATGCATATACAGTGGGGAAGAGGCAGATAATCTTCTAGAAGGTAAAAGCATGGCTATACAACAAATAGCATATACCTATAAGTAGGGTGGGTGTTGTCACAAGCTTGCTTACTCCTTTTTACTCAAGATTTTGTACATTCTGACTAATGGCCTTGTTTGGTCTTTACTGTAGCTCCCCTGCTGCAACCATGTCCTGTAAATCCTCTTGCAAGTTAGGGATTGCCTTGGAGTGGATGTTTAGGAGAGTATATTCCAGGCATCCCCAACCTGCAGCCTTCCAGATGTTTTGGCCTACAATTCCCATGATCCCTAGCTAACAGGACCAGTGGTCAGGGATGATGGGAGTTGTAGTCCAAAACAGCTGAAGGTTGGGGATGCCTGGTATATTCTAAAGGCAAGTGTATGTCTCCCACCCACTGTGTGTGGTTTTTCCAACCTCATCTGGGCACTTGCTCCTTTTCAGATCATTAATGTCACTTATCTGCCTTGACAGATGCATGGCATGACAGAGCTGGCAAAACTTATAAGAGTTTAGAATACTTAAAAGTAACAGTCAAAAGCCATGAGAAATGCATACAATTTTAAGAAATCAAAAGATGCGCATTCCAACTGCTGCATTTTAGCAACATAATGATATAAGTTTGCAGGGCAAATACCAAGACTTGGAATGCTACAAAGTTGTAAACTGCATCTATAAACTCTCACTTTTAGATTTGACTCATACATGGCATCTCACCATTATGGGTGATTTCTGATCCTCTTAAAAAAGAAAAAAAAAAGCTTCTTTCAAAAGGATGCTTTGAATGTGGAATTTTGCTTTGGCAATTTTGGTCAGTCAGGCCTCAGTCCCTCCTCACTTGGAGGGATAATTGAAAATATAAGGGTAGTGAATCCTAAAACATAAAAGATGAAAAGAATTGTGTTCTGTTACTAAGGGTATGATCTTGAGAGTATGGCCAATTTGAAGAACACTTCACAGACTCATTCTAGAGGTTATGATCTTCTTGTCATTATTACAATCCCCTGAGAATTAGTAAATAGATGTGAAGGGTGAACCGAGACTGAAGTAGGCTGGGGGAGCAAGTATGTTGCAACCCACATTTTAGATGAGCACAATTTATTGACATCACACTCCAAAATATGCAATTGGAATAATGGGCTTTAGAATAACAGCTGCAATATGTTTCTTAACTTCTCTTTCTAGTGGGAACAGGCCTCTGTTTGCAGTAACAACTGCAGCATGTGTAAACTTAACTTTGTATTTAAGATGGCAGTCACCCAAAGCAGAACTGCAAAAGTGTAAAATCATTTTACCCTGTACTAAGGTGATTATTGTATGGGGAAGCCATGACAAATAACTATGTGAAAAAGTGCTCACTGGAAAAAAGCTTTCAATCATGCGGGTATCACTACACGTGATCAAAAACCATGTGGCACTGTACCAACTAGACCAGAGTAGACTAGACATGATAATTAGGAAATCAATGATGTTCTATTTACAGTAGACGGTATGAATGTTGTCCAGAGAAATGGTACTGCCTGTTTACATAAAATACCTAATCTTGCAACAAGCTAAACTGCATACGCAAGTCTCACTTCCAAGTCATTAGCAGAGCAACAATCATTTACCACCAGCTGGAGTGGGAAGCGGCAGTTGCCTCTTGGCTGTTGGGGCTTGTTAAACATCCCCCTAAAGCTTGTTCAGCTCTGAAGTATGGCTGTTCAGCTACCAGTTAGGGTTGACCACACAGGCCTCTGAGTTACCTTAAGCAAGAAAAGGACAGAGTTGTTCAGGTGCTTCCTTGTTGGATGGTTTCATGCCTTTGTCCATGTAGCACGAGTGCCTTATGTGACCAGTTCTTTATTTGCATTTATGCTTCACTTGTTAGCTAGAAAAGAGAATGCAAGAAACATAGCAAGACGGCTGGATGGTGCAAACCACCTGGGGCTTTTGCCCAACCAGTGAAACATTAGATCAAAGTGCAGGAGTCTAGTGTCTTGTAATAGTAACAGACACAGCACTACCACCACCCAGAGGCATGGCAAGGTTTGACATCTCCAGAGATGGTGTATCAAGCTTCACAGAGCCCAGGGACCCAAATTCTTCTAAGCTTGCTTCTGGAGAAAGTACATTGCCCAGAGTGGCTTGTATTCCAGAGATCTCCAATATTGGTGGTGGCGGTGGCGGCTTCTTGAAGACTGCAACATCATTTATTTCAGAGCTCTTCGACATATTCTCAGTTGTCGGTTTAGAGGGATTATCTTCCCTGCATGGAGTAGAAGATTTGGTATTGTGGAACACACCCTCTGTGTAATTGGTTTTGCTGTCATTTGCAGAGCTTGAGCTTGACAAGTCAAAGGCACATGGCTGGATGGGAGTCTTGCAGAAAGATGCAAGAGCATCCGATGAGGCCTGCAGGTTCTCCTTTGTGCTGCTGATGGAGGAGTCTGTTGCCTTTAGAGCCAGAGAGCTTCCCTTTGTCACATTCTGCATCTTGCTTGCACTGTCACATGCATCAGGCTGGGGGATGCTGCTCATTTCTAGGAAACAGCTGCTACCCGGAGAGATGCTGTAACCAGAAGCACCAATCAGAAATCCATTTTCAAATATGTCTTTCAGTGACAGAGAACTAGAACAGTTTTGAGAAGACATTTTTTGGTTCCCAAGGAAAAGAGGTCAGTCTTCAGAATCCTAGGGGCACCTGGAGATGGAATTCAAAGGAGTTTTGTTTATTCAGTGAACCATCACCCCAAGTTACAAACTAGATTTAGACACTTGCTTTTTCTCTACTAATGCCAGATAATTTTATTTCATCATGCAGCGTGATCCAAAGCTTATTTATTCAGAATATGCTTTGTGCATGTATAGGATTATAGCGAAGGTATTATGTATCTAGCACTTAAAAGTCCAAGAGGGCAGGTTTTTGCCATCAAGAGCCTCCAGTCTAAAATTTAACACTAGGGAACAATGTACATTCACTAAAATGGACTTAGGCCAGGGGTGTCCACTTAAATATTGGGTTAGGGAGATGTAAAAGACAATATGGCACCCACCCAAAACAGACACACACACATTTCTATGGGCAGGGAACTACTGGACTGGGAGCAGAATCTTGCTTTAACACTGGCAATGGGGAGTCAGAGCTCAGAGGTGGAGCAAACGGAAGATTCCTAATTCAACCCCCTGTCTGCACCAGGAGTGCCAACTTGGCCCCACGACCATGGGTGCCAGGGTCTGTGGGTGCCATACAGCATGTATGCTCCTTGGCATCAAAATTTGTGGGTGCCCGGACCCTTCATGGAGAATTTTGTGGGTGCTTGGGCACCCAGGGTCCCAGGGAGTTGGCACCTATGGCCTCCATGTAAGGCTGGGAAAAGTCTATTGTCCGAAACCCCGGAGAGCCGCTGCCAACTAATATAGAAAATATTATACTAAACTAGTTTAACAGGAGCATGACAAGCTGTGTGTCGCCCACAGAGCCCTAGCCTTACGACACCTTGCCACTGCCACTGCCTATCGGCAGTTGCCTCACTCCATTGAATGCTAGGGGGTTGGCCCTGCAACACAGCAAAGCCAAAAGCCAAGTCTTCACACTGCCCCCCACTGGCCTGAAATCTGCATACTCCTCTACGAAGGCAAGTTTCTCTGCAAAGCCTAGAGTAGAGGAAGCTGACAAGGGAACAAAGACATTTTTTAAAAAAGAAGAAGTCAAGAACTTAACAGGGTATATTTCAATCTCCCCAGAATAAGAAAAGCAGTTATTTATTTGGCCCAAGATCATAACCTAAAATAGACACAGTTCAGAAAGAGCTAATATAGTTTCACAGCTGAACTCATGAGTCAAAGGAAGAGATCTGGCTAATAACTAGAAAACTGAAGTTCTGCTGGCTTAGGTCTGAAGTGATAGCTTCCTAATTTAATATCAATACTTTACTACTAAGCTATACTTATTCCACCACCACCCCGCCCAAAAAAACCCTTTAAACAGAAACTAATAAAGGCAATCACTTATTTTTAACACTGTAGGTTTCTTTACTTATCAAAACCCACTTCTAAGAGTTTTACTTACTTTCCCCCCTCATAAACAGCAGTCTTCTTAAGTAGCACCACTACAGCTGATTCTTATAAATCCTCATGACAGATTGTGGCACACTTTCTTAATTTTCTAATTAAGCTAGTTTGCAAGGGTGTTTGGAAGACACCACCTGAAACTGTTTTAGTTATCAACCCTGCAACAATTTTGTTCCCCTTAAGTATACAACCTGGATCTTTGAACCAGGAGAGCTTAAAAGTATTAATTGCAACTATTTCCTGAGGACGGAAGCAACTGAATTGCAATTGATCAAGAAGTTCAGCTCTATTCATTTGGGTCTGAATAGAAGCCATATTTCTTTCCCCCACTATATATGTTAATTAATTTGGCCATTACTAAGTTGATTGTTTTATCACCTCTCACCTCTGCTGTCAAGAATCACTGTGCATGCATTTTAGCTGTAACTGAACTGTCATTATATTATTACAGTACTTACATTTTATTCCCTCTGGTCTCACTGCTTACAACTGCTCAACCTTTATCACCATGTGCAATCTAGTCCACAAATGTTTATGCTGTAATAATATTGATGAGTGATTAAGGTGCCCTTGTATGAATTGGCTACCACTGGGCAATACTTTTATTAGGACAAACTGAAATGTCATAAAATAGTGCAGCCCAAAATAGTGTTAAGCTGGATGTTGTAGACTGGAAAAGCCTCCTTTAGATGCTACGGACATCAGATTACATACCAAAGATTTTGGGATGAAGAAGCCATGGTTGCTCCCTATTTTAAAGTCTGGCTGTTACCCAGATCTGTCCTGCACCTGGAGTAAAACTCACAGGTTTCTGGTTAGGCAGAAAGCAGAAGTAGAGAGAAACATGTTTGCCTTTGTATTAGCATAGCTGGAGATCAATTTGGGTGAAAAGAGACAATTGAAGACAAATTCTGTAGGTTTAAGGGGATGTAATCCTCAAAACATGGCAGAAAAGAAATGAAAACTTCCTCTGTATGTAGATCCCTCCGGGAATGGCTAGGTTTGTTAAATTCTCCAGGGCACAAAAATCAAAGGGAAATGAGTTGGTCCATAAGCAAAAAACCTGGATATTAATCTATTTTAAAAGCAATACTTTTATTAGGACCAAGCAAGATGTCACAAAACGGTGACAAGCTTTCAGCTATCATTTTCTCCAGTATTATTCGTTGTGCAGCTAGTGGAGGCACAATTGAATCCCTTGGTCCAATTAGCGCTGTTACTCCTGCTTCTTTACCAGCTGCAGTGGGCGCAGTTCCTCTTGGCATGGAGAGGTTGCTACACCTGTTGTATGCTATGAAGCTGTTAAACAACCTAGGTGAGCCCTCCTCAACCTGACGCCCTCTGTGCTGGCTGGGGCTTGATGGGAGTTCCATCCAAAAGATATGGCGGGCAGCTGGCTGATGAAAGATGGCCTTGAAACTCAGGCTGGGGAGAAATAAGCGTTTCTATCCAAAATTCGCAAAACAAGAGATCCTACTTTGAGTAGAAATGTTTCTGTGACTTTATAGAACCGCGTTCTGTTTTCTCTAGACAATTCCTTGCTGTATTGCTGGTTGAGGGGGGAGTGAGTGTTAAAAGAATACTTGCCAGAAGGCACATGTGAAAGCTAGCACCTTTCTTTATCTGGTTGCCTAGGCGACGGGGGAGGTGGTGGCTCTCTCCATCTTCTGAGCTATTTTGCATTTCAGTATGAGAGGAATGCAGTGCAGAGAAACATAATGGGCTTCAGTGATACAGAAGAATCATGTTTGCTTGCGAGTAAGACCCATTGGACTCAATGGGATTTATGTCTGAGTAAACAGCAGTCATGGTGCATACCCTGGCCATTAGAACAATGTGCATTTTTAAAAAATAAGTGAATGTGAAATGTGTTTTCAAAGTGTTCGCTGAACCAACACACAGAGATAGGCACTTTCTCACACACTGAAGCAAAGGGACAGATTAATAAATTAATAAATCCTGCATTCCAGGGGGTTGGATATATAACCCTCGGGGTCCCTTCCAACTCCATGATTCTGAGATTCCATGTCCAACAGCTTGACTTAACCCCCAAAGGCACACTCCTCCATTGTCTCCTGAGAAAGACGGGCGCCATAAACAACATGATTCTATATAAATTCTATATAAATGCTCAAAAGGAAAAAAATGCTTCCAGTAGCACCTTAGAGACCAACTAAGTTTGTTATTGATATGAGCTTTTGTGTGTGGAAGGATTTTTTGTTTGTTTGTTTCAACTACGGCAGACCAACACGGCTACCTACCTGTGCTCCAAAGGAGTGAGCTACTGACAGGTTTCTCCAGTGTCTGGTTATGATGTTTCTGGCTGCTGAGAGTAGGTGGGTTATGAGTTCTTTGTGGTGTAAGTGGGCATTGTTGTCTTGGAAGAGGTTTAGTAGGGCCAATTCTGGGGTGATTTCTAATACTTGCTTGGTTATTTTACATATTTCTCATATGGCTGTTGTCCAGAATAGTTGGATTCTGGGACACTCCCACCACATGCGGAGGTATGTGCCTGTGGAGGTGCACCCTCTCCAGCATTTTGGTGAGGTTCCTGGGCGTATTAGCACTAGTTTTCTTGGTGTTAGGTACCACCTGTAGGTGATTTTCAGAGTGAGTTCTTTTCTTTCTGTTGATATGGATTTAAAGGGGGGTTTAGACCACATTCTGGTTCATTGAGTGGGGTTAATCTCATAGCCGATGTCATCCTCCCATTGTTTTTTGATTGTGCCCAACCTCTCTCACCACCGAAGGAACACAAGTGAACAGCAGAGAACCTGCACAAGCAATGCTGATACAAAACCCCACATATATTAAGTAAAATAGAAACATGGCCACCCGACCCCACCCCCACTCATCTTTCCCCCCCGCCACCTCTTTCCCCCTTTTCTTCCTAATATCTCAACAGATGAAACCGTTTTGTAAAAAAATGTTACATGTAAAAAATAATAATAAGACATTGCACATACCTTTGTAAATCAAGAAAATCTTTACTAAAAATAATTTTTTTAAAAAAAGCTACCTTTTTTTTTTTTAAAAAGGAGTGAGCTACATAATCATGGAACCTGTCCGTCACCTTGATAAAGGTGGATCATTCTGGTTGATGTGTTGAAACACAGTGCTACAAAGCCCTAGCCGATGCATTTTTGGTCAAAAGTACCGTAAGTCCCACAAAAGTTCAGTGCCTTAGGCTGCTATTCCATGCAGTTTGAGATGCAGTACACTCCAACACGTTTGTTAAGGCCTGCTGAATTCACAGGGCTTACTCCCTAGGAAGGACTGCAGCCTAAATTCCCATTAAACTCTAAGGGACTTACCGTACTTTCAACTTAAACATGCTTTCTTACCCCGACTCCTAGGAAGGCACAAACCACACGGACTGCCCATACTGCAGTTGCATTTGTAGTGGCACCTAGAATGCATATGATAGCTGAGTGTTGCCTTTCAAATCACCAGAGCCACCAGGGTGCTTGAAGATTTAAACCAGGGTGCTTGAAGATTTTCTTGATTTACAAAGGTATGTGCAATGTCTCTCTTGTATTTTTTTTTTTTTTATGTAACATTTTTTTACAAATCGGTTTCATTTGTTAAGTTTATAAGAAACATCAGCGCCATCTACCGGCAGTGACAACAAATGTCTAATCTTGACAAAACGGTTAACAGTGCAAAGTCCATTGAGGTCAATGGGACTTAATTCCAGATATAAGACTTCTGGAAATCCCTTACTGTGCTGATTAGTGCCTGCCTTCATTTTGCAGGTACGGAATCTTTCAATTGGGGCACCCTAGTTGCTGAAATACATCAGACCTATACCCAAACATAGTTTGTACCCTTAAGAAGAACTTCAGTGGCACCTTAAAGACTAACAACATATTGTGATAGAAGCTTTCATGGGCTGGAGTCCACCTCATCAGATGCATAAAGTGGTCTTCCCAACATTAGAGAGTATTTTTTTAAAAAACAACAACAACAAAGGGATCAAAGGGCCAATAGTCTCCACTGGGTGCGTCGCATTATCATGCATGGCGCAAATGAGTCTGAGATTCAGTGGGAGTGGGTGTAACCAACACCAGACTGGTGGCTGGTTGTAAATCAGATAAAAGCTATTCTTCCTGTTATGACCATGGTACATGCTGTTCCAATAACATCTGTTAGGATGAGCGGAATTTCCATGTCAAGGGCGCCCTCCTAGGCTGGGTGACTTTGGCATGACAAGAAGGAGCCATCTCAGCAAAAGGACCCACAAGATCCCACCTACTGGACATCACCACAGTTTTCATAACAGTCCTTGGGGAAAAATGACTTGTTCAAGGCTAAGCAGGTACAAGTACATCATGTCTGAGTTTTGCTTTCTTTTGAGAAACCACCTGATGTCAACGAAAGCTTTGCTATTGTTTTTAACAACTGCAGGAGCAAGTAACTGACCTGTACATTTAGTACAGTGAAGAAGTCGTGCTTTGAGGGGGGGAAATGACTTGATTTATTATTCAACTATTATTCTTTATTATTACTGGTCATTTATTAAGTTTCTACACTGCCCTTCACCCGAGGATCAGAGGGCAGTTTGCAATATAAAAACACAAAAATGCACAACTTAGTAACAATCAAAACGAAATAAAAAAATTCCTTCCAGTTGCACTTTAGAGACCAACTAAGTTTGTTATTGATATCTGAAGAAGTCTGCATGCACATGAAAGCTTATACCAATAACAAACTTAGTTGGTCTCTAAGGTGCTACTGGAAGGAATTTTTTTATTTTGTTTCGACTACGGCAAACCAACACGGCTACCTACTTGTAATTAGTAACAATCAATTACACACACACTTTTAAAAGGTCGTAGCTTGTTTAATTAGCCAAAGGCCTGGGAGTAAAGGAATGTTTTTTGCCTGGCGCCTAAAGATATGCAACTTAGCCACCAGGCAAACCTCTTTGGGGAGAGCATTTCACAAATGAGGAGCCACCGCAGAAAAGGCCTCTTCTTGTGTTGCCACACTCTGGACCTCTCACAGAAGAGGCACATGAAGAAGGGCCTCAGATTATGACTGCTGGGTCCATCCAGGTCAGTTCATATGCGGAGAGGTAGTTCTTGATGCCTCCCAAGCTGCTTATCTTCCTACCACCTACTGGAAGCAGGGGGGAGAAAAAGGGATACGTATCTACATTTAATGGAGCAACTGTGTCATGTGATAATGAAACAAAGGGAAACCTGATATTGTAATACAATCAGCATTCTTTATTTGCAAAGAAATAACAGGAACAGGCAACTAAGCTGCCCGGAAGACAGGCCTGGGTTTAGGTTTGATGAGGTCCTCAGCTACTGAAGGTAATGGGTCCCTTGATATGTCTAGGTGTCCTTCGTCAACAACAAATTGTTGAATATATGCTATATGGTAATTTAGGGACCTAATAGGTATCTGAAGCCATTTGCACATGCAGAATGTAGGCACCCTATATATAGAAATGAGCAAACCAGTGATATTTTAGGGAGCAGGCTAGCAGGCAGGGCCCATGACTTACATCATAGGAGCCTACACAACACAAAACACTGTTGCTGTATGTAGGTTTTATTTTATTTGTTTTTTATCTTGTATTTTGGAAATGTACATCCAATTTTTTTTCCCTTTAAATTTTTTGTGGGCCGGCCCCCAAGAGAGTGGAGCCCTAAGCTATGTTGTTGTTGTTGTTTAGTCGTTTAGTCGTGTCCGACTCTTCGTGACCCCATGGACCAGAGCACACTAGGCACTCCTGTCTTCCACTGCCTCCCGCCCTAAGCTATAGCTATATGTAAATCCGGCACTGCCTGCAGATGTTGTTGGACTGGACTCCAACTCCACTGGCTATAGCGGCTGCACTCGATAGGAGTTCAACTTCTGGAGGACCATAGGTTCTCTTTCCCTGTACTACCTCTTGATCTCATTGGTAGCTTGCTACCCTCTCACTGACTTTGTGTTCCTCTGCCTGTTAAGGCACAGTAGTGCTTCGGGCACTTTCTATCTCTTGCAGGGGCTTGCTCAGCTTTTAACATTTCAATGGCAGGCAGAAATCCAAAGAGTGAAGCTTTCCCAGCACTGAATAAGTGGAGGATGGAAAAGGCACCGCCTTTTGAATTTTTGCCTGTTGCGCAGCAATAATGAAAGACGCAGATGCTCGACACTCTGAACTCCTCTACTCTTAACCTCTTGGAGGAAGGGCAGGATAAAAGTACTAAACCGGAAAGCGTGAAGCGTCGTCCACTAACCCTAAGAAACCACCCCCGCGTCGGAATTCATTAATGGGGAAAGTTACATTTTAGCAGGGCTAATAAGCGAACTCTAAAAGCAAAAGGAAAAAGGGACGCTGCTCATTCAATCTCAACACCTATTTTCCTTAATAGGAGAAAAAAAACCCCAAATAAAGAGGCGGGTTATATAAATACCTGCAATCCACAAATACAGTCAGTTTAAGAAATGTAGCACATAATAATAATAATAATAATAATAATAATGATTTCGCCTATTGAAATAATGAGAAACCGATTGCACCCATCTTATTTCCCACGTAAGCATTTTGGCTTTTGTTTCTTCATTGCTTGCTGCAGTGTCGCCACACCATATTTCACTTTCTTAAATTTGGAGCGGCTTTCTCCTTTAAAAAGGAAAATAAAAACTTTATCTGGGTGCTAATAGGTAGAGAGATAAGTATACAAAGTATACAAAGCTGCAACTTGCCCGCGCGCGCCACTTTTTTTTTTTGTCCTCCCCACCTCTTCTTCTTCCTCCGCCTCCTCTTTTTCCCTCCCAAGAATACTCTGTGTGTCGTCAGCCTCGCGCGCGCAGCGTCACTCCGCCGGAAAAGGTGGCTGGCTGGGGAGGAGTTGGCGCGAGATAGGAAAGTGCTTTTCGGAGTCCTGGGCGGGCGCGAGCCACGGAGCTGCAGTTGCAGCAGTAGCGGCAGCCTGGCTTGCGCGCGCGCGCTATTCAGAGGGGGTCCTTTAGCGGCATCCGTCTCCCCACCCCACCTCCAAGTTCTGATAGCCTTTTCTGTTCTTTTGAAATTTTCATTATTATTTTTTTAATTTGGGCCATCGCATGATTTGAACGCAGAGGGGGAAAAGGCAGGATGTCTCGCAGGGCTCGCTGGTAAGTTGCATTTGAGGCGGGGGGCGGGAAAAGAGAATATTGCAGCTGTTTTTGGAGGCATCGTTTAGCGTGGGTTGGAAAGGTGGTGGGAAATCCGTTCCCCGCCTGTTTTTTGTTCCTTTCTCTCCTCTCCCCCCACCCTTCCGCCCCAAACTGATTGACCTACCGTCCACGGTAGTGGAGCATGCACAGGGATAGATCTGTAAAATTATATCGCGGATGATTTATTTGCCGCGATCTGAAAGGGAGAAAGCTGCTTAAAGCTGCTTTAAAGGTGCTTAAAATGGCCCGCGTGAATTTGCAAGGGCGGGGAGAGGAACTTAGCTCTTTTTTGCGCCAAGCGGTGCGGGAGGGAGAAAGGAAGAGCGTCACTCTGCTTTCCCTAGTGATCTGTTTTGTCCTTTTTTCATCATCATTGTTAGTATTAAGCTGATCCTTTTGCAAGGAAGAGCAGTTCGGTTATGAAAGTGATCGTGGGCCACAGTCTGGAGCGGGACCCCCCCCCCCCCCCAGATCTTGTTTAGAGGCCTTCTGATGCTAAAGCAAGGAGAGGAACTGATAACGAGCTGGCAAAGACTGGGTGGTGGACCTAATGGTTGTTATATGAGGACTGTCAGGTCCAACTACCAGGTGGGGGTAGTTGGGAAAGCTGTGAAAAATCATGGCTTATGGCTGCATCCTAAACTCACTTTACTGGGCGGTAGGCCCCACTGAATTCAATAGCGCTTACTTCTGAGTAGACACACTGTATCTGTGAGGAGACTACTGGGAATGTTCTGGCCATTTAGGGTGCTGTGAGTTTGACCAAGCTGCGGGAGGCAGTGGAAGACAGGAGTGCCTGGCGTGCTCTGGTCCATGGAGTCACGAAGAGTCCAATAAACAACAACAAGAATGATGATGTGTGAAAGACAGAATGGCATTACTTATACTATTTGGTGTTGCGTTTATAGCTCACGTTTTCCCCAAGGTGTTTAAAATGGTGTGCATGGATCTCCCCTTTCCCTGTTGAGCCGCACAGCAAGTTACCTGTGAGGTGCATTAGGTTGGGAGACCAACCATCATGGTTGAGGGGGAATTTGGACCCTGGTCTAGTCTAACACTCTAAATAAGCACTGCACATGTAAGTGGCCTAGATGCCTGCTTTGGGGCCAAACTAGGGATGTGGAAGGACGCGGATGGTGCTATGGGTTAAACCACAGAGCCTAGGACTTGCCGATCAGAAGGTTGGCAGTTCGAATCCCGGTGATGGGGTGAGCTCCTGTTGCTCGGTCCCTGCTCCTGCCCACCTAGCAGTTCGAAAGCACGTCACAGTGCAAGTAGATAAATAGGGGAAGGTGGGAAGGTGAACGGCGTTTCCGTGCGCTGCTCTGGTTCGCCAGAAGCGGCTTAGTCATGCTGGCCACATGACTGTAGTCATGCTGTATGCCGGCTCCCTCGGCCAATAAAGCGAGATGAGCACCGCAACCACAGAGTAGGTCACGACTGGACCTAATGGTCAGGGGTCCCTTTACCTTAGGGATGTGGAACCTGTGGCCCAAGGACGTGGGTTGGCTTCCAGTTCCCATTAACCCCAGCTAGCGAGGCCAATGGTCAGGAGTGAGGGAGTTGTAGTCCAACAACATCTGAGGTTCTTGGACTTACCAGCCCTGGCCTAAGCTGCTTTGCCCACTAGAAATATTTGTTCAGGGGTCTTTTTGAATCCTTCAGTAAAAATATTCATGAATATTCTAACTGGCTGAGAGATTGGATGATGTTTTTACCTAGCCCTAGCGGCGGTGGTTTAATTTAGTTTATTTGGTTGGGTGTATATCCCACTTGATCTTGAGGACTTGGGCGAGTCATATAGTGACTTGGTGAGTCATACGGTGACTGTTCCATCAAAACTCTGGCTACCAAAAATATGTTGGAATAACAATGTCGTGTACTTTGGTAAGTCTCCAGAGGGAGACAATTCCAAAGATCAGGACAGCAGCCGGATTTGCAAACGGAATCAGTGGTTTTGAATTAACATATAAAATTACCATATTTTTTGTTCTATAACATGCACCCGACCATAACACGCACGTAGTTTTTAGAGGAGGAAAACAAGAAAAAATATATTCTAAATTAAACAGTGGATGTATGAGTTTTGTGGTTCATGCTGTGGCCACAGACATGTGATCTGACAGTGAATTTGGAGTAGCCCAATGCAAAAATCCTGAGGATCCATGTGGATCCGTGCTTTGTAACCACGTTTTAAGTGGGGAGGGAAGGAAAAGCACTCAAGGGACAAGGAGCACGCGTGGGGTGTGTGGAGAAGGATGCTGCTAATAATGCAGGCGAGGGGTTTAAGGGGAGAAGGAACACGCGTGGGGTGGGTGGAGAAGGATGCTGCTAATAATGCAGGCGAGGGGTTTAAGGGGAGAAAAAGCACGCGTGGGGTGGGTGGAGAAGGATGCTGCTAATAATGCAGAAGAGGGGTATAAGGGGAGAAGGCTCCTCTCCCACTTTGCTCCTTTAAAGCAAGCAGGCTCTGCTTTTCTCCCTCCTCCCCGCTCATCCCTGGCTTAGCGAGCTGAAAAACTTTGCTGCTATGTAGCGAGCTGAGTGGGGAGGAGAGAGGGACAGAGAGCCTGCTTGCTTTAAAGGAACCAACCAGACAGGAGCCGCTTACACTCGTGTAAGTGGCTCCTCTCCTCTCCTGCTTTGCTCCTTTAAAGAAGCAGGCTCTCTGTCCCTCTCTCCTCCCCACTCAGTGGCTCTTCTCCCGCTTTGCTGTTTCAAAGCAAGCCACGGAGGAGGGAAGGAAGGGGAACCATGGATCCTCTGCTCACGACTGCAGCAGATCCCCCCCCCCCCGCCACCCGTAGGCATTCCCTCCATAACACGCACAGACATTTCCCCTTACTTTCTAGGAGGAAAAAAGTGAGTGTTATGGTGCAAAAAATACGGTATATATGGAGCCTTCTCCCCCACTGCTTCTTGTTCTCTGTTTCTTAACCTTTTACTTCTGTCTAAAGCTGCAATTCTGAACTCTCCTTACTTTCTAGTAAGTCCCACTAAATGTCTTATGAGGGCACATGCTTACGGCCACTTATTTTTATTTTATTTATTGAAGTGTTTGTAATCCGTCCTTTCCATAAAGGTACAAAAGTTACAGTAAAAACAGTCAAAAACATTAGTACTGATTGGGTAAAAGGGGAAATTCATGTTGCAGCGGCCTGTCCAAACAATAGTACAGTTTTCAGAAGTTACCTAAAAGCAGGCCTGGGTGGTTACTGCTGAAGGATCGATAGCTCAGACACTTAATCTCAGGGTACTGGATTTGAGCCCCATGTTGGGCAAAAAGATTCCTGCATTGTAGGGGTTGGACCAACTGTACAATTCTATAGTTCTGTGATTCTGCTGGTAGCAAATTCTATAGGGCAGGGCCTGCCACACTAAAGCCTCAGCCCCAGTGAAGTTCAGCTGAACCTCATGGGTGCAGAAGATTTTGGAGATCGAGGTAGAGCATAAGGAGTCCGGTCCTTAAACTACTTTGTCCTCAAGTTGTTTAGGACTTTGTGAATTACCACAAGTGCATTGAACCTGGCCCTGTAGCAAACCAGCAGATGCATGCTCATGTTCACAATGAAGGAAGTTTAAGTATTTGTTTTTATCTACTTACCTATCTTTCTCCTTTGTATTGTTTCAATGGGTTCTGAGGTATGGGCTGGAGATTCTAGTCAGTGGTAGAATATGGGTGGGGGGGGTAATTAAAAATCTGTAAAGCAAGATAGTTACATGCTCTTTTTTCCCATTTGCTTTTAAATTTTGTTTGCAATAGTGAAGAGCAAGATCAATTGCATTACCAAGATTCAGATGCATCTGAACGGCGGGATAACAGATGCAAAGTCAAGTGGTCACGTGAAGAGGTATGTCATGTGTAGATTGTGTTGAGGAAAGTAGGGATTGTGGCCTTGGGGAGCTTAGCTGAATGGAAAACACTTTGTTGACGTGCGGTATGTGCTACTTTGAAAATCCTTACATGGGAATGGACTGCATTATTTGCCTATTCCAGCCATGTTCCTCTCTTCTCTCCTGCTGCTTTCCCTACTTTCATGAGGACTAGAAACGTGCTTTTAAATGCAAACAAGCCCAGACATTCTCCGGAGGCCAGAGTTCTGTGCTTAAAGTATTGCATGTCAAATTGTTGGAATACACATAGCATTACTTGTCCCAAATTGGCCAAACTGAGTGGGAAAAAATATGAACCAATGGATTTGTGTGTGTGTGTGTGTGTGTGTGTGTGTGTATGTATGTATGTATCTTGTTAAAGACTGGGCCTTTATCACCATCTTAGCTATTGTGCCATGACGAGAGGCTCCTGGAGCAACTGTGAAATAGGCATTCTGTCCCTGACAAATAAGATGGAGCTTATTTGTCCTGCTTTCCGCTATAGCACCCTGCTACTTCAGAGTGCAAGGGATGCGGGTGGTGCTGTGGGTTAAACCACAGAGCCTAGGACTTGCAGATCAGATGGTCAGCGGTTCGAATCCCCGTGACGGGGTGAGCTCCCGTTGCTCAGTCCCTGCTCCTGCCAACCTAGCAGTTCGAAAGCACGAAGTGCAAGTAGATAAATAGGTACCGCTCTGGCGGGAAGGTAAACGGCATTTCCGTGCGCTGCTCTGGTTCGCCAGAAGTGGCTTAGTCATGCTGGCCACATGACCCGGAAGCTGTACGCCGGCTCCCTCGGCCAACAAGGCGAGATGAGCGCCGCAACCCCAGAGTCGGTCACGACTGGACCTAATGGTCAGGGGTCCCTTTACCTTACTTCAGAGTGCAACATAAGACCTAGTTTCTAGCTAGCAGCTCTGTTTTCTGGGTGGCACATCGAAGTATTTGGAATGCTGTGTTGAAGGTCAAACCTCTGTTCCTTTCCTTACCATGCTATATCTCATGATGTCATGGTGTCACGACTTCTGTTTTGGTAAATTATGTTATTTTGTTCCTGAAATACATAACTTAGGTAATGAAACAACATACTGTATATGTTACTTGTGTGCCAAAGCTGATGGCTTTGCTTTTTTGCAGGATGAGCTCTTGAATTCACTGGTGACACAGTTTGGACATGACTGGAAGTTCCTAGCAAGCCAGTTTCCTGTAAGTGGAGTTTTTCAACAGAGTGGAAGGTTTTGCTGATGGGGTGTTTTGGAGCAGAGAGGGGTATGGCAGAGTTGCAAAAGATCAAGCTGCTAGTTAAAAACAAACATCTCTGCCTAATACTTTTGGTTTCTCTTTATGCCTGCCTTATCAATCTTCACTTTAGCATGTACTTATTTACATTTGCTCATAGAACCGCACTGAGCAGCAGTGTCAATATCGCTGGCTTCGGGTGCTAAACCCTGTCCTGGTTAAAGGCCCTTGGACTAAACAAGAAGATCAGAAGGTAACTATTTCTCAACATGTGTCTCTTATAGTTGAAGAAATTAGAATTCCATCTTGCAGGTAGAATCTCTCTAGAATCCCAGTATTTGAAAGATCCTGCAGTATTGGCTGCCGCTCTTCATCTATCAAATACAGGGTCTATTTTGTCCGTGGTACAGATTCCTAACCCTAGCAGCTTTCTGGTAAGACTCTGATTTGATTCTTAAATATCCTCCTTAAAAACGCGCAGAGCACCATGCTGTCTTAACTCTCCACCATCAGCTGCTATCCTAAGCTTGCAGTCCTGTGTGCTTTTACGAGGGAGTAAGTTTCTGCGAAATAGGCTTGCACCTTTAGTAACTTGGTAATGTTTGTTTGTACACTCCATGCAGCCATTGCACTGTCCTTAGGATAAGGTAATTCTGGTTGCTCGGTAGAAATCGAACACGAATTACCTTACGCTAATGGATGTTAAGTTGGGCAATTGTGAAACAGCAATGTATTAATAGGGTAGCAAGCAAAGAAACTCATATTATTGTCTCAGTGTAACTGTTGAGCGGCGCTGCGGTGTGGGATGGTGAGATCTACACCCCCCCTCCCGCAATTCAATGACTGCGTGGAGCCTGCACACACACAACTACACACACTGGATATTCTCAACCCAGTTGGGAGCTCTGCTTTTGCAAGCTACCCAGGTTTATTGAGAGAGCCATTTGCATGTAATTGTACATGCACAGGCTCCCTGCAGCTATTCAGTTGAATCCTACACTCTTGCACTGAACTCAGAAGAATTTTTCTTCTGGGTAGAATCATAGAATGATAGAGTTGAACATATGCACAGTGAAGAGGGATGCAGGTGGTGCTGTGTTCTTAACCACTGAGCCTTTTGGGCTTGCTGATCAGAAGATTGGCGGTTCGAATCCCCACAATGGGGTGGGCTCCCGTTGCTCTGTCCCAGCTCCTGCCAACCTAGCAGTTCAAAAGCACGCCAGTGCAAGTAGATAAATAGGTACCGCTGCGGCGGAAAGGTAAATGGAGTTTCTGTGTGCACTGGCTTCCGTCACAGTGTTTCGCTGTGCCAGAAGCGGTTTAGTCATGCTGGCCACATGACCTGGAAAACTGTCTATGGACAAACGCTGGCTCCCTCAGCCTGAAAGCAAGATGAGCGCCGCAACCCCATAGTCGCCTTTGACTGGACTTAACAGTCCAGGGGTCCTTTCCCTTTTCCCTTTAATGCACAGTGAGGATGGAGTCTGCCACCGTGATCACACAGTGATTAACAATTCGTCCTTTCCCCCCTTATGAGGTCACTGAATTAGTGAAGAAGTATGGCACAAAGCAATGGACGCTCATAGCCAAGCACTTGAAAGGCCGGCTGGGCAAGCAGTGTAGAGAACGCTGGCACAACCACCTGAACCCGGAGGTGAAAAAGTCATCGTGGACAGAGGAAGAAGACCGTATCATTTGTGAGGCTCACAAGGTTCTGGGGAACCGCTGGGCTGAAATTGCAAAGTTGCTTCCTGGGAGGTAGGTTCCTTACGGACCTTTGCATTCTTCTGTCCCATACTGGGATGGATCTATCAAACAAGAAAATGGAGGAGGTTGGTGGGTGGCCATCTGCTTTGCATGCAGAAGATCCCAGGTTCAACCCCTGGTGCCGGGAGAAAGCCCTGTCTAGCACTCTGGAGAGTCACTGGCAATCAGTGTAGACATCATTAACCTAGATGGACCAATCAATGGTCTGACTTGGCCCAAGGCAGCTTCGTCTGTTCCTAGGATGCTTCTCCTCTTGTGAGTCACTTTTCAATGATGTGTGTGCGCTTTCTACTTTACAGGACAGACAATGCTGTGAAAAACCACTGGAATTCCACAATCAAAAGGAAGGTGGAGACAGGAGGCTTTCTTAGTGAAGCAAAAGACTCTAAGCCCCTCTATCTCCTGGTGGAGGTGGAAGGAAAGGAAAGCCAAACTGCACAAGAAGTCGAAAGCCAGGTATTGCAAAGCATTTTTATGTCTCTGAAAACTTTATTAAACAGAGAATATATTTAGGCAAACTTCCAGGTGATAGTGCCACAATATTCTATACAGCCTTAAATTAATTTGCTTTTTTTTGGTACGTTGGAATAAGGTTGCAAACTTCGGTTTTACATTTGTAAAGCATCTTGCAAAATCCACTCATTTTTTTAATCAGGGATCCAAACGGCAGATGAAAGCAGGAGCTTTCTTTGTAGTCAAGATGCTGGTTTTGGAATCAATGAAGGCAGAACTGTTTGCATCATAACTGCTCAACTTCTTCTCATTTGCATTTTGTAATCCAACAGGAGTTGGCACCGAAGCGTCAAAATAAATCTTTAACAACATAATCCTCATATATCAAGAACTGGTCCGTGGGGTTAGGATTGCGGCCTCATTTAGATGCTTCGGAAATGTTTCATGACTTTGTGCTTTTACTGTGAAGGGTGTGATTTAGCACTGCTGAATACTGTTTTGGACATTGGCTCATGATTTTATTCCCTGATTTTGCAGCCTTGATGCTCTTTGAGTGCAGCTGTGTACTTGATTTGCTTTTATTGTTGTTGTGTAGTAGTCACACAAATCCTCATTTGCTTTCCACAGCAAACCTTGTTGACAGACTGGCCTGTTCAGGCCTTGGAAATAAAGCAGGAGGTAGCCATGGATGAAGAATCTGTTGGCCTGCCAAAGCTGCCTCCTGAGCAACTCCCAGAAAGCCTGGCGGACGACAGTATCGCGGGAGCATCAGAAAACACAGTGCCTGACAGTGACCTGAAGGAAGTCTCATCTCAGTACACATGGGTGGTTGAAGCAGGCAGTTATTTATGCACCTCTACGGCCCCAGCTATTACAGAAGCTCTGGACATGATTGAATCTGTAAGAAGTGGATTGATGTCTATTTTTGTAGTACGTTCAGGGATGAGGAGTTTGCATGTAGGCTTTGCTCATCATAGGGTCTTTTGTGCTATGATCATAATCACGTCAAGTTTACTTGTACAGTGGTACCTCTGGTTATGAACTTAATTCGTTCTGGCGGTCCATTCTTAACCTGAAACTGTTCTTAACCTGAGGTACCACTTTAGCTAATGTGGCCTTCCGCTGCCTCCGCCACGTGATTACTGTTCTCATCCTGAGGTAAAATTCTTAACCTGAGGTACTACTTCCGGGTTAGCAGAGTCTGTAACCCAAGGTGTTTGTAACCTGAGGTACCACTGTATGCCACTTCTCCTTGGTAGAGCCATGCTCAAAGCAGCTCACAGCAACATGCAGAATAAAATATAACAACGTTTCAAGATAATGCTCTTAACAGTGGTTCCCTATTATCAAAGTGCTGTTTTTTTTTTGCAAAAGCTAAGCCTTGGACGCCCTACTTTTGAAAATTTTGATATCTCTATGGTAGTTTTTGTTACGTGAATGGTGCCGTGAAACCCCTTGGTGGGTTACGCAGACCCCCAATTGGGAACCACTACTCTAACAGCTACAACACAATTTAAACACCAATATCAATAGGGCCAACAAACATCTCAAGTTAATCACCCGCCCTGTGGAACGCCCTCCCACCAGATGTCAAAGAGAAAAACAATTACCAGTCTTTTAGAAGACATCTGAAGGCAGCCCTGTTTAGGGAAGCTTTTAATGTTTAATGTACCGTATTTTAATATTCTGTTGGAAGCCACCCAGAGTGGCTGGGGAAACCCAGTCAGATGAGTAGGGTATAAATAATAAATAAATAAATTATAATTATAATTATTATAATAATTATTATATCATCACTGTAACAGTGACTAACTATAAAATACAAAGCATCCAAACAGCAGCACAAACAATCCCCTCCCCACCTTATCGGCAGGGAATTGGCACAGTGAGGGCGGTCGTAGTTGAGGTGTGAAAAAACTGCTTGGTGCAGCAAAAGAGAATTTTCTTCCCTTTTCATGAATGTGGGGCCATCCATTGATGCTGAATGGGGTGGCAGGTTCAGGGCAGACAAAAGTGAGGCCTTCTTCACACAGCACATAGTTAAACTATGGAGTTTTTCTTCCATGGCATGGGGCGATAGCCACTATAGAGGCGGGTTAGGCAAATTCATGGAGGATAAAGGCTATCAATGTCTACTAGTCATGGTGGCTGGATGCTACTTCCAATCTCAGAAGCTGCTGGGGAACACGAGCAGGAGGTTGGTGTTGCATTCATGTCCTGCGTGCAGGCCTTCCTTAAGCCTTCCGTTGGCCACTGTGGGGAACAGAATGGTTATTAGATATCCATTTGGTCTGATCCAGCAGGGATCCTTTAATGTTCTTGGAAGCACTTTCCCTCCCTCTAGTTTACTGCTGGTTTTTAGTATTTATGACTGAGACAATTTAAAACTGGCCTTCCATTATATGTAAAACGAAACCCAGCTATGCTGCATTTTTTTCCAGTGTCGGGTATTGATTTTTGAAGCAAAGTTTGTAAATGATTGGGGCACAGGTTTTTTGCACTTAAGTTCCCATTCAAATCAAGAGGACTTACCGTATTTTTCGCTCTATAGGACGCACTTTTTCCCCTCCAAAAATGAAGGGGAAATGTGTGTGTGTCCTATGGAGCGAATGCAGGCTGTCGCTGAAGCCTGGAGAGCGAGAGGGGTCGGTGCACAGCGCGCCCCGGGCTTCGGGCAGGGATCCGCAAGCCTTGGGATCTGCAAGCAGCGCTCCCCCCCCCGCCAGCCCCAAAGAGCAGGTCGAAAGGAACCCAAAGCCTCCAGTCTTCGGGTGAACGCACCTTGAACGCACAGAACGCACCTTGTTTTAGAGGGGGAGAACAAGAATTTTTTTTCCCTGTTCTCCCCCTCCTATGGTCCGGTGCGTCCAATAGAGTGAAAAATACGGTAAGTTAGATGTTAAGTTAGCTTTTCTACATGAATTTGAATGGGATCTCTGTGAAAATAACTTGCTCCATATCCAAGGCCTAAGGTTCCAGTACATAGCTCGTGCACTTGGTTTGCATTGAAATTGCTCAAATCTACTTGTGCCAAGTTATTCTGCCACCCATTCTGCTCTGCCACATTCTTTGTCTGCAGTTTTATCCTCCCAAACGTTTTGACCTTTCCTATTCTGGCAGGACCCAGATGGTTGGTGTGATCTGTTTCAATTTGACCTCCCTGACTACCTGTCTACAAGTAACAGCAGCAGCCCAGATAGGCAAACATCCCTCAAGCCCTGCTCCACCTCGCAGAACGTGACAGAGTACCGTTTGGATGGCCACACCATTTCGGACCTGAGCAAAGGCAGCAAAGGCGAACTCATCCCCATCTCCCCTTGCACGGACATGAGCTTTGGTACACCGCCTTCTGTGCTTAAGCGGCAGAAGAAGAGGAAAGTCGCACTCTCGCCTGTTCCAGAAGGGTGGACCAGTGGCAACCTCTCTTTCCAGGACTCCTGCAACAGCATGACGCCTAAGAGCACCCCTGTCAAGACGCTGCCATTCTCCCCCTCCCAGGTATGGAGGTGCAAAGAGTGGGCAGCAAGAGTGAGTCAGTGACCGCCTTCATGCATGAAATGTTATCTTCTGCAAATCACCCTTTTATTCTTGAGTGATGTCCTCCCATTTATTAATGGTTCACTGGAGCTCACATGGCTTTTATATGGAGATTGCTCACTTGAGTTGGTAAAATCAATGGGAAGCAGACAGAAACACAAAATTTGCTTTAGAGCCTGCTTTCTTATAGTATTTTTTTTTTTAAGTCATGTTAGATACTCTTCCTACACTTCCATATTTAAGTATACAGCTTGGAAGACCTTTATCCAAGAAAGATCAGGGTGTCCTGGTCGCATGACTTTTGTCAGAGATAACACAGACTGCTTTAGACCCTCACTCTCCAGACATATTTTACAGGTCTTGGACCTACTTGACCACAGATTCAGCCACTTGTGGTGGAGGAAGGCACAGCCTCCCATGCTTCCTTATGGCCAGGTGTTTACAACATGGAAAACTGTCCTTGGTCATATTATACTGAAAATGTAAAATCCAGGGCTCAGGAATCGCCACTCAAAGCTGAAATAGATTTGAAAACCAATCCGTTACTTAATCCAATTCAGCTGATGTGTGTCAACTCTTCTAATTTCCTTTCTTTGGCAGTTCCTGAATTTTTGGACCAAGCAAGACACTCTTGACCTTGAGAACCCATCTTTAACTTCCACTCCTGTGTGCAGCCAGAAAGTGATAGTGACTACCCCGCTACATAGAGACAAGACACCGTTGCTTCAGAAAAACTCGGTGTAAGTATTTTCTTCCCCTCATTCTCACTCCAGCGTGTATCCTGTAGGCTTCACGGATATGTCTGGGCCTAGTGTTCAGTGTTGGGAGCACCTAATCCTACAGTGACACCAGTGAAGCTACAGTGTTGTGGTCTTGGGCATGAGGGACCACTGTGCGTTCCATGCAAATCCCACTGACCTTCCTTTAAGGAAGAGCATGTGAGCTGGTATTTTTTAATTGTTTGGATATCTGTTTATATTGCTTGTATGCTTCCCAGTAACAGTGTTGTCTGGGTAGCTTACAATCAAGGAGGAATTAGAATACAACAGTTAATCGACAAGTTACGAAATCTATAAGACCTAAAAATTCCCGCAGCAAACCTCTCCTCTTCTGTGCTTTCAGATTTGTGACACCTGATCAGAAGTACATCACGGACAATACACCTCATACACCCACACCTTTCAAGAATGCTCTGGAGAAGTACGGACCAATTAGGCCTTTGGTATGTCTCTCTCTCTCTCTCTCTCTCTCTCTCTCTCTCTCTCTCTCTCTCTCTCTCTGTGTGTGTGTGTGTGTGTGTGTGTGTGTATAGCTGTATAGCTGTTTCGTGGGTCCTACCTGTATTGCATTCCATTGTGCTACTGCTGGGACCGCAGTGCTATACGTAATTCTGGACCAAGTCCCCCATCTTAAGCAAAAACACCAAGCCAGCATTCAGCAGAAAAATCCTTACATTAGTATAGAATGAAATGATGCTTTGCATGAAAATTAAAAGATTAGCAGATTTCTAGACTGTAGGCTAGATTCAACCTGTCAGGTTTTTTGGCCTGTGAGATGGTGTTCTGCTTATCTGAACAATGTTGGTTTTTTAATAGTTTAACAAAGTAGGTACAAAACAGCAGCTTTCAGTTTCATTACGGCTCTCAGCAAGCCCAAGCACTTTAAGGCTGGCATTTTATTGTATTTTTCTCTATTAAGGAATCATGCGATTTCCTTATTTTTAGATGTTGTCTTTTCCCTAAATGGCTATGGATGCCATATCAGTCAAGCTGTGTAATAAGGTTATGGGGACTTGATCTTGCCACCTTTTTTGGTTCTTCGTAAGGAGGATAAATATCCGGAGGCTATTGTGCTCCAATAGTTCTAAGGCTCCTGCAGTTTTTCAGACGCACAGCTCTTCCCTCAAAGCTGCATGCTGGGCTTTGCCGCTGTCTTTGAGCATGTAGGTGTTCTTGGGGAAACATTAGTCCTAAGAGAAGTGTGCCATGTGAGTCCTTCCAGGTCAGGTTAGCTAAGAGCCAGTTTAGAGACACAGACTTTTGTGCGCTACCAGAAAGAGCCTTTATCTATGATGGAGATCTGCACAGTGGCTACAAAACAATTTTATGTTCTTGGCCTGTGCTACACATGTACTGGTCACATATATTGTTCATGATGGAAAGTCTGGAAGTGCAACTTTTTCTCTTCCTCCTGCATCCCTAACGCCAGCCTCAAACGCCTAACCTGGAAGAAGATTTGAAAGAAGTACTACGGAGCGAGGCTGGTATTGAGCTGATCATAGAAGATGATGTAAAGCCAGAGAGACAGAAGAGGAAACAGGGTGTAAGTATATTGTACAAGTATGATCTGCAAGAAAACAGTGCAGTGTGGAGTGCTTCCCTTTAGGGTTTATCCCCTGCTCATCAAACCTTCAGTCAGCATTCAGTGCCCATTGAGCAGGCTAACTCCTCATTGAGGTGTTTTTACCAGGAGTAGGTGGGTTCCTCTCAAGGGCGATATAGTTTCTAAATACTTTTGGTACTTCTGCAAACTGCAGAGTTGCTGCAAGCCTTCTGACAGCTCCCTCTTGCGTGTGCATAGAGCCATTCTGGCTACATGAGGACCAGTACTGGATAAGTGAGATAACTGCTCAAGTATGTAAGAGCAGGCTAGGTCATTGGGACCATTAGGGTTCTGCAGGAATTTGATGCATCCAGAATGCTGAGCATTTGCTAACAGTGTTGGCTGCACCCCCCCCCAAAAAAGTGTGCTGCAGCATCTTTAAAAACTGGTAATAAGATATTCATTGTGGACCACAGCAGATTCTCTTTCCCAAGCTCTAAAAGGATGCAGTTCTTCCTCAGTTTATATTTGTCTACAAGCATGATATTTTGTCTATAGGCATTGCAGCTAGCAAATTCAGGGTATGGTTTGAAGCCAGCTCTGTACTTCCCTGGTGCTGCAGTCATAACAGCCAATGCATGTATGTGGTCTGCCAGTTTGTACATCATTATGGTGAAAGGCTGTAGCTCAGTGGTAGAGCACCACTGATTTTCACGCAGAAGGGCCCACGTTTAATCACTCACATATCTACGTAAGACATGAAGAGACTCCTGTCTGAAACTCTGGAGAGCCACCGCCACTCAGTCTGGGCTGGGGAACCTGTGGCCCTCCGGATGTTGCCAGATTACTACTCCCATCATTCTCAGTGAGCGTGGTCAACGGTCAGGGATGGTGGGAGTTGTGGTCCAGCAGCATCTGGAGGGCGGAAGGTTCCTCACCCCTGGTGTAGACAGTCCTACATTAGATGAACCAGTTGTCTGACTTTGTAGAAGGCAGATTCCTTTGTTCCTATGTACCGTAACTGCAGATATAGTAGTATGGAGTCTTCCTGACAGCTGTCAATTGTGCTCAAATGAATTCGTTCTCCATAACTTACTGGTGCCCCATGAAGCTTTCCCAGTAGCTCCCTTTGTTCTAAAATTAGTATACAATGCTACTTCATCCCCAAATTGTTGCCTACTGTTTTTTTGTTGGGACTTAAATATTCTTCTCTTGTCTTTCCAGATGCACAGGAGTCCCATTAAGAAGGTCAGGAAATCTCTAGCCCTTGACATTGTGGATGAAGACTTGAAGCTGACAGTTTCCACCACGGCCAAACCTGTTTGCTTCAAAAGATCTCAGGTGAGTCGTAATCAGATGGGTAGTGGTGATAGTGGGGAGTAGTTTTAGTAACTAGAAACTCTTTAAGATCATTTTTAAAAACCACAAGTATCTGGTCCTCATTGTTCTGAATAAAAAAGCTTGGAACAGGCCAAACTATATGAGACTTGGGGCAAATATCTCACAGGCGTTTGTGTTACCTTTGCCAGAATGCAACCACAGTGGACTGCAGACTTCATCAGAGAAGTGGATGCTTCCTTCCCACAAAATATGAGAAACCCGTTTTGATTGGAAAGAGGGTTAAGTCCCCCATTCTGCACTCAGCGCTACCTGAATCAATTCTGCCCCCCACCTTCAGGTGTATTTCAGTGAGGAACAAACTAGACAAGGCACTTTTGCTGTGTCTTGTCTAGTTTGGCTTTTGGATGCCTCCATATTTTTTTTGTGGCAATGGATATGCACTGAGGCAGGTCATAGCTCAGTGGTAGTGCATTAGAATACAAAATGTCTTAAGTTGACTTCCTTGCAGTCGGTCAGAGAAAAAACATCTGCTGGAGATTTTCAAGAGCTGCTTCAAGTCAAAGTAGGCCGTACTGGGCTTTGATTGCCCAGATGTGTGGACCAGTGGGCAGAGTTTGAATTTTGAGACAGTAGTGAGGGTGCCAACCAAAAAATGGCTGCCTTGGGGACATGACATAACACAGAATTAAGAGAGTACAGTCATTATTGCTTCTCCTTTTCTGGATTGTGGAATGTACAACTGTGAATGAATGAATGAATGAATGAACTTTATTACGGTCACAGACCAGCATAAGGAGTACAATTGTGAAAGGCACAAGAACCCTGTTTTCTCCAATGCCAATCCTAAACCAAAGTGAATTCTTAAAGAGGGCTTGGTCTTTAGCTTCTGCACAGTCTATTGCAGAGTTTTCACAACACACTTATTCACAGAAAACAAGTTCTAGGGAGTACCTGGTATCAGATGAACCTACCACAGGAACACTGCATTCTGGTTGCTAGGGAAAAAGAAAGGGCAAACACTGGAGATTCCAAGGATTACTAAAAAAAATCAGCCAGAAGCAAGGAAAGTGCAGTAAAGGGGAGGTGGAAACAGCAGCTCATTAGGACCTCAGGGATTTCTACCGCCAAGCAACTTGCTTATCTATCGCAGCTTTGACTTCGCTGACAGGTGGGAGCAACCAGGCTGACTCATTTCAGAGACATTTGCTTAGTGCATTGCAAGTGCCTTCAGTACTAGAATTTGGGAATTCAAATAAACGGTTTCCTTGTGAGGCAACCCGTGGTGGCACTCATTTCTGCAAGTGGCATGTTAGTGACTTGCCTGTCCACGCTAATGAATTACCTTGGAACTCTAGGTTTGTTTTTAATCGAGACGAATCCCATATGGCTTTTAAAAACAATTGCTGAATGTTTGACCCTCATTAATTCTGATACAATAATCAATGTTTTGCTTGCTAACGGGGTGCACTTGTGCAGCAGTACAAACCGGCAGGCTACGGCTTTTCTCATGCATGCTGTAAAACGGTTAGTCTCTGTAGAGTTGCAGCAAGGCTGCATTTGGCCCATGCTTTTAGCAACCATACCGTGGCAGTCCGTCGATGAGAGGCTCAGGTTGTTGCAGGTAAAAAGGGTGGTAAAAATCTGCTGGGCGATTGGCTCATAAGAAATGGGGAAAATGGGGGGAAATGCAAGAGAGAGAGAGAGAGAGAGAAAATAAGATGAAGCAAGTCTAGGAATGGTGCTGAAAAAAAGAACACTTTGGAAGTTGGTAAAGCCAACCCGTTTCCTTGTGACATGTTTACAGTGGAACCTTGGTTCTTTGAACTTAATCCATTCCGGGTGTCCGTTCGACTCCCGAAACCATTTGAAAACCAAGGCGTGGCTTCCGATTGGTTGCAGGAGCTTCCTGAACTCAAGCGGAAGCCGTGTCAGATGTTCGGCTTCCAAAAAATGTTCACAAACTGGGATACACACTTCTGGGTTTGCAGTGTCTGAGAGCCGGTTTGTTCCACAACTAAGCAGTTCAGGAACCAAGGTATCACTGTATTACGTTAACATCTATAGTAAGGGGCAGCTAATATGATGCCACCAAAGAATTGATGCTTTTGAATTACGGTGCTGGAGGAGACTCTTGAGAGTCCCATGGACTGCAAGAAGATCAAACCTAACCATTCTGAAGGAAATCAGCCCTGAGTGCTCACTGGAAGGTCAGATCGTGAAGCTGAGGCTCCAATACTTTGGCCATCTCATGAGAAGAGAAGACTCCCTGGAAAAGACCCTGATGTTGGGAAAGATGGAGGGCACAAGGAGAAGGGGACGACAGAGGACGAGATGGTTGGACGGTGTTCTCGAAGCTACCAGCGTGAGTGACCAAACTGCGGGAGGCAATGGAAGACAGGAGTGCCTGGCGTGCTCTGGTCCATGGGGTCACAAAGAGTCGGACACGGCTAAACAACAACAACAAATATGATGCCTTCCAGGTCTTTTGAACTACAATTCATATTATTCCTGATCATTGGCCATTTTGGCTGGGGCTGATAGGAATCTGGAGTCCAGCAACATCTGCAGCGTGTCGTGTTGGCTACCTCTGATGAATCCATATGCATTGTTGCCCAACTGCGCCCTTAGGTGGAACTTGTTTTGTGTGCTTCTGATTTGTGTATATATGCGTGTTTTCTCATAAATACATATCCCATTGAGTTCAGTCATATTTAATCCTGGTTGTGTGCTTAAGCATTATAGTCTAAACATCTTCAGAAGCATACTGCACATTTCATAGAAGCAGGGATTGGAATTTTGGATTTGTACCACTTAAGACCAAGTAGGACATTTTATATTGAATGCTCCCTGAAAACACTTGCATATAACTTCTAGGTTAGTGAGTCAGAATTTTTTTAAAAATATTGCTCTCCCCACTCCCAAATAAGATGAATTTTGAAGTGTTACAGTGCAATACACCCTCTCATTTGTGTAACATTTACACAAATGTTGACTTTCACATTTATGATTCTTGGAGGATGGGAGACCTGGCTGCTCCAGCTTGTTCATGAATTCACTGGGTAGACTTGGGCAGCAGGCCTGTTAACAGAATCCTGAGATACTTAAAAAAAACAACCCCCCAGCTTATTAGGGTCAGCTGTCAGTCATAGGATAGTGAGCTGGCAAAGGCAGGTGTAGTGGTTAGCATGTTGGAGTTGCGTGACTTTAGCCTTGTGCAGAATTACCTGGGAATATGCTCCATCGAACGCAGTACTCCTGATTGTACAAAAGCACTTTAGCCTGCTGAATTGCAACCTTTGGCTTTTAATTAAAATGGAAGCAACCTTGCAAATAAGTGTTGGCATTTAAATTGCAAGCACGTTTCAGGAACCCCACCCAAGGACAGTATTCTGCTCAATTATTTTCCTCCCGATTTCTACTGTAAAACTTGAAAACCTTGTTTTTCACCTTGTTCGCAAGAAAGGTCTTTCCGTTATCCTGGTGCTCCGGCAGATGATGTTGCTCCTCCTCTGAAAGCATCCTGGAGCTGCAGTTTCCTGTGGCCACCATTTCTCTTCTACCCACACCAGTGTTCACACGACACACTACATGGTGTGGGAGGAGTCTGTGAGGGTTCACACTGCCTCTCCTGGGCTTACCAAGGGGCTGTATAAGAGCCAGGCTTAAGTCCAATCAACACAGACAGCACAATTTGCTAAGATACCCATATTCTAACCTGCCAAAAATGTTCAAGTATTTCTCCACATGCATTGTGACGAGAAAGTTGAAACCATTGGGAGTCCGTAGAAGCTACTGTTTTCTGCGACCAGCAGGCAACCCTATCTCTTACCCTTCCATCATGATATAAATGGTTGTGGATTTTTTTTGGGGAAAACTGCCCTTGTTCTATGACTCATTTGTGCAGCGATTGGAACAATACGCACGATACTGTTATCCATCAGCCGTGTTGCCTAACCTCCTTGCCGGCAGGTGTCCATGACAATTAACTATGGAGTAACACCAAAGGTTGAGTTTTTCCATTATTCCACAGTAATAGTTACAGAGTTTCTTAGTCACAGAGAGCCACTGCCGAATATGATGCTAGACTGCACAGCATTAGGCTATCGGGCTTATTGTTCTGATCGCTGCCCCAGTGATTGATTACAAAGTCCGCTTTTTCTCTAGGAAACTTGCACCGTGACAGAAAGATAAGAGAAACTTGATTACATTAAACATTTGCTTCTTTGCCTGCTGCCGCCGCCTCCTTTTTCTAAAAAGAGGATTTGGGAGGGAAATGAAGCAAGTTAATCTCAGCAATGCCATTGGTTGTAACTTTCGTTTTTCCCTTTGGTTGGTTGCAGTCTGTGAACTTCCTTCCGCAGTCCCTAAACCTCTCTTTGTCAAGCAGCAGGAATGACAGCAGCTTGCTCAACAGGGGGTTTGTGCATGTGAAGGCAGAGAAGGCCCCGTCTTCCAAGAGAATCCAAAGCAAATTCAGACCTCCTCCTCTGGTAAGCACAGTCCGTTGGGGAAACTTTGCAGGTGCCACAGTTATGGAGATTTGAGAGACTTGCAGTACCAGAACCTGCCATCTCCATGAGCTTTGTGAATGTTGTGCCTTGCTCAAGTGCCAGGCAACAAGGTTGTATGCCTGTTAATGATTTTGCATTTCTTAAATGAATTAAGGTCCATTGTGGAGTTTATGAAGAATTGTGATGGTTAATTTTTCCATCATTTGACTAGAGTCTGCTTAGTCACTATTTCCCATATTGTTGTGTACAAGCTTAAAACAAAATCACCTATGTGAGCCAGTGTGGTGTAGTGGTTAAGAGCGGTAGATCCATAATCTAGGGAACCGGGTTTGCGTCTCCGCTCCTCCACATGCAGCTGCTGGGTGACCTTGGGCTAGTCACACTTCTCTGAAGTCTCTCAGCCCCACTCACCTCACAGAGTATTTATTGTGGGGGAGGAAGGGAAAGGAGAATGTTAGCCACTTTGAGACTTCTTCGGGTAGTGATAAAGCGGGATATCAAATCCAAACTCCTCCTCCTCTTCTTCTTCTTCTTCTTCTTCGGAGGTGGTGTTCAGTGAACCTTTACTCAGAGTAGACTCACCGAAATTTGAGCCCAGAATCTAGGTTATAAATAAGTGGGCGGAGTTTTTAAAACAAAATTTTGTTGATAAAGAATCAAGTGGGGTTGGGGAGAGAGAGAGATTATCCTCCAGTCCCAGGTTCCATCAATATTATTTACCATGGTATTTTGTGTGAGCCTTCTAACCTTGCTGAAAAGTTGTTTTCTTAAATTGATGGGCATAGAAGCTGCTTAAAAGTTTGTGGTGAGGCACCTGAAATTTCACAGCAAATGAATAACTTGTAGCCCCAATTGTGACACTGACTCCAGCAGTATGAGTCTTCGGGTTCCCTGCTTTTTGGAGTGGTGCCACTGGGGTTAACCACAGATGACCACCGCCAGATGTAATTGTGGTTGTCATTCTGCGAATGTGGTTTTGCCCAGTCACCTGACTGGCTTATTTTTAATGGTCTTGAGATTTTCAGTCATTAATCTTTCCTGGCATTGCTACAGCAGTTAATGCATAATATTCAGGGAATGGGTCTTAGGAATGTAGGAAGTTGCCTTATACATGGTCAATCCATTTATTCCTTTTATCTTAGGGTCCTTTTTAGCTGGAGATGTTTGGGGTTGAATTTGGGACCTCAGCCTGTTAAGAGTATGCACTTGAACACTGCTTGCCCCCTCCTGCTTCCCTATCCCAACTCTCACCCTGTGCAACACTTGAGTAAGCTGTACAACTTCTTGCCTGGCAGGTTATGCCTCTGAAAATATGATCCAAAATGAGTGAACGTCCTTCTTTGAAGAAATTGTGCAGTTTGTTCGGAATTCAGGATTGCTTTTCAAATTCAGTTTGTGTGTGTGTGTGTGTGTGTGTGTGTGTGTTTGTGTGCGTGTTTGTGTGCGTAAAGTATGCAGCCTTATAACAGCAAAGAGCCTGCTTTGGAGACAGCGAAGGAAGAGATACAGCACTGGTGTCTAAAATCACGCCTTTAGTGGGGTGGGGATGGGGTGGGCAAGTGAATGTGGCTGGGCCTATTGGGACTTGGGCTCCCAGGAAACACATAATTAGGGCTATCAATACAGGGCAATGTATCCAACAAAGCAGTTCCATTAATGTAAGAATTTCAGTTTGCACAGCAGAACTTATGCATCCCTAGTGCCCTACACTGATCTGTTCTGCAAGGTTGCTGGAACTCCCAGAACAGTTAAAACTATGGAATTGCTTCCCACTGGAGGCAGCGATACCTGTGGAATTGTATGGCTTTACAAGAGGATTAGAGAAATTCATAGAGGTCAAGTCTATTGATGGCTATGTTCGGCCTCCGCTGCCAGAGGCACTATGCCTCTGAATACCAGCTGCTGCGAATTGCAGGTGAGCAGAGTGTTCTTGCTCACAGGCTTCCCACAGGCATCTGGTTGGCCACTGTGGGAACAGGATGCTGGACTAGATGGGCCCCTGGCCTGATCCAGCAGGCTCTTATGTTCTTAAAGGATTTAGGGGGCATGCGAGGAAAGGAGATGGAGGGGAAGCTCTATTGTGCAGTGAAAAGCCCTTGCAGCGTTTCCCAAACTTGGGCCTCCAGCTGCTTTTGGACTACAGTTCCCATCATCCTTGACCACTGGTCCTGCTAGTTGGGAATGATAGGAGTTGTAGTCCAACAACAGCTGGAGACCCAACTTTGGGAAACCCTGCTCTAACAAAGCTACCTTATGTTGGATACAGCCCTGGGACAGTAGACATTACATGGCTTAAACCCACTGAAGCCTTTCAAGTAAACCCACCCCACCCCCCAAAATTACTAGTCCTCTATGCATTTAAGTTCTTTGTAGCACATCAGTGGTCAATGAGAAGTTCGGGGACTCATTCTCAACTTTTTACAAAAGCTTCCCTATGGGTTCACCTGAGCCAATTCTGACTCCTGAGTGAGAGGCTAATTCACAAAACTGCATCAAGAAGCTTTCCCCAAAAGTGTGCTTGCTTGCTTATTTTCTCTTCTCTTCTCTTCCTTAGATGTCCAGTGCTTGGAAAACAGTGGCTTGTGGTGGTTCCAAAGACCAGCTGATCATGCAAGACAAAGCTCGACAGGTCTTGGGCGTGTTGAAACAGAACCACACATCACGGACATTAATCTTATCTTGAAGAACTCTTGTAAACTCTTGTAGCCATGGGTGGAGGGAGGGAGAGGAAGAGAACCGAACCTGGAATGGCATTCTTATACCAGCTCCTTCTTTGTGACTCCTGAGCTTTACCATAGATGTCCTTGTTTTGATTTATTGCTCTAAATTCTGGGTTCTAAGCATGATATAGAGAACAATGTTCAGAAGAGATTTTTTTTTTTTTTTTAAGTTTGGCAACAGCCCTGCATTAATTGAGCTGAGACATTCTCACTTCCCTTGAGAAACCTTCTCTACCTCCCTTTTCATTTTGATAAAAAAGAATCAGTTGGTTTGCAAAGAGGGACATAAGAGAAGTGAATCAATTCACGGGGAAGAGAAAGCCCTGGACTTTTGGATTTGGTTTTGCCTTCTTTGAGTTTCTTCAAGTGTAATTATGCTTAAAGTCCCTGCCCATTCCATCTGGCTCTTTTGGAACTTTTGTCTGATGGTAACGGGCAAAGGGATTGAAATGGAAGGAAGAAGAACTGCTAGCAGTTGGAAATGTCTGCAATACGCTCTTTAGATTAGACAAACTCTGTGAACTGGGATGTGGTCTGTTGCACTATGTAAAGGTAGGCATCAAAACATCTTCTCCAGAGTATTGCAGTCTTAAGAATATCAAAATCACTGCCTCCAAAGAGGTACACCATTGCCTCTTACCCTGATCTGCTATTGCTTGCATATGATGTTGTGGTTTGCTTCTGAGTATTTTATATTTCCAAGTCCACCAGATGGTGCTGATGCCAATCTTTTCACTCCAGCTCTGATATAAGGAAAGGTGCAGGCTGCTTGAAGCGAGCTGGTCTGCTCAGTGCTGGGAGAGTTAATCGGCTTTATCCCTTCACAACTGCTATGGTAAAAGGAGCTTTTGCAGAGATCTGTGTAAATCACATGTGAGTGAAAGTCTGGCTCATACCCCTTGAAAGAAAGCGTGTCCTAGATAAGATACGTCTCTGTCTTGCAGTACTTGTCTTCAGTCATGTTATAGATAGGTTCTTCAAAGCACTCTTACACTTTGCTTCAGATTAGTTTGATGTAATCCCCGGGAAAGCAATTCAAACAGATCTTCCCCAGTGTATCAACCTTTTCCTTTTAATGGCCTCCACTAACCAGGCCTGAGCTGAAACAACAGAGGCCAGAGATTAATGTGGTTCTGTGTTGTATACTTCACAGCACTTCATTGTCTAGGGCTTTGTATTCTTCCTGGGTATATCATGAGTTGTGTTGTCAGATGAATCTTGCAGAAGGAGACATTGTGAAAACTGCATTGTTAACTGAATCAGTTCTAGATGCCTAAAATGAATTGCAAATTGGTGACCGATACCACAGATTTCCATGCTTCCCAACCATCTGATGTATGCTAACAGCCACTTCACACATTTTCGTTTTTACAGCTATATAGATGAATGACAAATAAGTTAGCAAATGCCTGCATCAAACAGGTACACTAGGCAGGAAGTGGTGATTGGCTGTGGTCCCCATTGACTAACCAATGCTTGCCTTTGCATAATATGTGAAATAATCCTTGCAACCAGTGTAGTGCATTGATTTAGAGGACAATCTGGGTGTAGGAAGTCTAGTTGTATAAGAGCAGCTCTGCTGGATCAAACCAAAGGCCGGTCTGGTCCAATATCCTGTATCCCATAATGGCCAATCAGATGCCTCTGGGGAGTCCACAAGTAATATAGTTGTTTCTGAGCAACTGGGACACAGGCATGGTTTCTCTGATTTTGTAGGTACCATAGCCATCATGATAAGTAGCCATTGATACCTCCCATGAATTGATCTAAAACCCCTTTAAAGTTGTCTAAATTGGTGGCCATCTTCGCATCTTGTGGAAGTGAATCCCATAGTTTAGCTATGGGATTTGTAGCTCAGTCAGAAGTGCTTGGACATTTTAAGTGTGCATCTACATCCTGCACCAGATGGTGGGTGCTTTAATGCACATGTTTGGACAAAGAAAATGGATTTGACCAATGCCTCTGCAACATGTGCTTATGGAGGGCGGCATGTTTCTCTTATCTCTCCATCGTTCAGTCTTTGAAATAGCACTTTAAGTCAACCTGTGCTGAAGAGCTTATTGGATCGCTCTGGGCAAGCAAGACCCCGTTTCTCAGCCTAACCTGCCTCATGGGATGGATGAAAGACAAACAGCGTGGCTTTGAATTTTTTTGGGGGAAGGAACTGTTATGAAAGTAAGACTACTTCGTGGGAAGATGTCACAGTTCGTTCCGATGTAAATGCCTGTTTAGAAAAAACAGGTGAGGTTTTCTTGGTGAATAATTAGTATTATTTTTGCTTTAAGAATTTATCTTTCTTAGAACCACTCATGGCTAAAACCCTAAATAAATTATCATTCATTGTAAAAAGTGAGGCCGATTTGATTTGGAGTCTGCTCTAAATTAAAAGATTATGATGAAGGTATTAAAAGCCATTTCTAATCCCATAAATCTGATTCTACCAGCGTGCCCTGCTATGTGTTTATTGCTTATTAAGGAAGATCTAGTGCTGAGCAAATTTCAGGGGAAATGAACAGAGGGAGCCTGTTAATGACAAAGACAATTAACTTTTAATTGGAAAGCTCAGACATTTCCTGTCTGAAACACATGCCTGGCCATGTTATCCCCGAGTCCTAACACCTGTAGAATAGGTTATATCATTGTGAGTCTAGGCTCTTAGCTTGTTGCACAGGAATAGTTGAGAGAAGAAGGCTGGTATATACGGTACCTTGTGGTATTCTGGGCATGAGTTAAAATAAAAAATGGTGTGGATGTACGATAAAATTCCTGTTCTGTAAGGTCTCAAAGATCACAGGCTTACCAAGTGTGTTCAGGCTAATGAAACTGGGACTTGAACATTAAATAGCATCCTGGAATCTGCCCGAGTGACCTGTAAAGGTGGCTCATGGTGCGAGAGGAACAGTGTGCCTATGAAAAGAGAAAACTGATAGGCAGCACAGCCTGCTGAGGAGGAAGATGGCCTGAAAGGAATCTATTCTTAGCAATGCAGATTGTCTGTCTTGGAAGAATAAGAAGTTCCTTCATCCACATACATTCGTTGTGAAGATTCTTGCGTGTATTCTAAAGCGGGGTCAGCAAACTTTTTCAGCAGGGGGCTGGTCCACTGTCCCTCAGACCTTGTGGGGGGCAGAACTATATTTTTTTTGGGGGGGAATGAACGAATTCCTATGCCCCACAAATAACCCAGAGATGCATTTTAAATAAAAGCACACATTCTACTCATGTAAAAACACACAGATTCCCAGACCCTCTGCGGGCCAGATTTAGAAGGCTATTGGGTCGGCCCTGGTCCCTGGGCCTTAGTTTGCCTATCCATGATCTAGGCTCATTCAGCTGCTACATTTGGCCTACAAAAAGGGGGGGGGGGGCGTATAGATGTCTTCCTCAATCCTCTCTCCCAATAAACACATATTTCTTTCTCAAAGTCCCACTTTCTAAGCTTGCACGTTATGCTAACGTTGCAGCGATGTTTCCCCAGCATCGTTTGTGCACTGTATCTTGTTCCTGGGGGAAGATAATGCCCCCCCACCTGGCATAGTTATTATTTGTTAAAATGCTTGCTTTGTAGAAAGTGGTGAGGGGTGTGGCACTTGCGCCTTTCAGCATCACAGGCAAAATATCCCAGGTGATCATTGACATAATCTCTTCTGCCTGCTGGAGCCATTTTGTGATCTTTAAAAGTAGCCGCTCCGTCAATGTTGCCTGTGTCTTCCCTGTGACTATCCTGCCTCAGATTCTTATCCAGTCCCCGTTAAGAAAAGAAAAAGCAACGAGAAGACACTGCACTACTTACATTTTTAAAGGATTGTCACTGGCTGGCTGTATGCTCCCTCCTCAGCTTAGTACAACAACCATGTTTGTTTGCCTCTCGTATTTTCTTTTAGGTTCAAGATACAATTCTTCCTAGCCAGAAACCAGTAGAGAGATGATGCTTGAAAATAGGTATCTGGGCTACTATTCTAGAATGCAGAAAACAGGATCATAGAAAATTCCCAAGGCACATATTGGTTTATCTAGCTCTGACTCTCCAGGATTTTTCAGACAGCCCTACCAGGAGATGGAAACTGGGACCTTCTGCATGCAAACCAAATGCTCTAATATGGAGTTACAGAACATCCTGATGAATGCAGATCACCTTTCTGTTTTGGAGAGAATTGAGCAGCAGTAATGCTGCGCTTGGGAGCAGGGATAATTGAGGAATTCAATCTTTGTGAATTCTTATACGAACTCACCTTATCTGGGCCTCCAGTACTGAGCAGATTCGCCATGACTCATACCCGCCTTTGCATTTCCTAAATGTTGGGATGAGCTTTTGGCTTCAAAAACATACCAAAATTTATGTTGTGAGAGAATGCATTTAGCAATACATATTGAAACATAGGATTGTATTCAACATAGTAATAAGTAAGTTCCATCTGCTTGCAATGGAACTTCCTCTCCTTGCATGTTCTCTAAATCTGTTCTAGGGAGCATATTTGGGGGTGGGATGGAGTGCTTTTGCACTAGTGGTAAGCCTTGTGTTGATCAAACAGGATAGAAGAATAACTGCCCGCAAATGCAAGTTTTCATGCAGAATTTTAAACATCCCAACTGAATGCTGAACTGAACTGAACTGAACAGAACAGAACACATGCAAAAGTGACACAGACTGGGAGTAGACTGATCTCCCATCCTTTTTGGGGAGAAGAATGTGCACCTTTTCATCCATATTCTTGTAGATAGGAGAGGAAGATTGATACGGTGTCATGGACTGGAAGTAATGCTAAATCCATAGCTGAGTGTGAGTAAGCAGGCATATTTGTATTCATAGCAAAAATTGTGGCACTTCACTCCTTTCCCCGATCCTCCAGCTACCCAGAGCTAAGCCATGACTTAGTATTGCATGTCAACCTGAACTTTTGGTTTGTCTTGCTTCAGACAAACCATGGTCTGTAGCCAAGGTCTGTTCCTGGATTACTGCTTGTAGTTTGGGGGGAACAACCCATAAGCCAGTTCTGATTTAACACTAAGCTAAACCATGGCTTACCTTCAGGTAGTGGAGGAGGAGGAATGCACCCAAGAGTTTTGCTCAAAGGACCCACATGCATATTCGTTCAAACTATACCAGGGATGGGGAACAGCCAGATCCTGAGCTCCCCTACCCTTGACAGGCCACTTTGACAAGTGGTTGCGGCTGCTCACCTGCCAATCACATGGCATCACAATGACCAGGTGGCACATTTTTCTTGTGCATAGTGGCTTGAGTTCCTATTGCTGCAAAGGGAAGAGTCCAGCTGATCATAGTGGGACTTGATGTCACCGCTGAGAAGTGCTATTGATCGGTGCTATCGGATGTGATTGATGCTGCTTTAAGCAGGGATCGTCTCTACTACACCATGCCAGTGGGGCTTGTGAAAGTTGCCACATACAGATTTGTAAAGAACAACCAGGAGCTTCCAATTGTTCCTTTGTAGCCGTGACTTTACCTGTCCTGTACCTGACATTAGATATGACATCAGTTGTAGGACAGGTGGATAAGGCTTGGGGAACACAAACCCCATGGCCCTTATTTGACCCATGGACTGTAGGTTCTCCACTAAGAACAGGTTGACTGTACCCATGATCAAACTCCCTTGGGTAGTAGCATTGGTGCAAAGCTCACCAGCATCTCTGCTGAAGGCAGACAATATAATAAGTGCTACATACAGAATTATAACCTAGTAATAGCTTGTAAACATTACATGTGCAGTGAGGGGTGGAGGGCGAGAGCTTTGCTCATAGTAGATTCAGTTCAATGAACTGAAAAAGGAAGAATTCTGTTGCCAAAGCCAAAAGCTGGCACTCCAATGCTGGCACACTTATGCCTGTTTCAGTTCATTTCCCCTCTTCCACCCACCTCGGATGCATGCTGAACATCTTGTTACACATTTAAAATGCCTTTGATACCAAAAATATCAGAGAACGGCTCTCAAGTATTACAAAGCCTTTTTCTTTAGCTAAATTGTGAAGTGATTCTTAAATGTTATTAACGAGGTATTTCTGGTAGGAGTGGCTCTGAAAGGCCACAGTGACCTCAGCTTCCAGCTTGCATCCCTTCCATTTTATTTAGTCGGGGCTTAAAATAAATCACATTGGCAGAATTAAAGCTGGTCTCTTGGAGTTGGCTGTTCTGTGGGTAGAGTTAGAACAACATGGTGGTGGATTCATAGGAGCATTTGAGGTGTGTGCGATAGATGTCCTTGAGCAAATTTTGGGAGAAGAGAGCGCTGAGGTTTGCTTGTGCAACGTCGTGAGGCAGAATTCAATTCCATGGCATCTAAGTGCCAGTATGTGGCCTTTCTTTTATTCATTCAGAACCAAAGAATTGTAGAACAGTAGAGCTGCAAGGTACCATGAGGGTCTTCTAGTCCAGGGGTGGCCAATTCCCAAGAGACTGCGATCTATTAGAGTTAAAAACTGGCAGTGATCTTCCCCCTTTCTGGGGGGTTCGGGTCAAAGTTGTTGAGTTTTTTCAGGGGAGCCACAGTTGTTCAGCTTCTTTGGGGGGAGCCAATGATCTACCAGTGATCTACCGCAGGTGTCCAGTGATCTACCGGTAGATCACGACCTACCTGTTGGACATGCCTGTTCTAGTCCAACCCCCTGCAATGCAGGAAACTTGCCCAATGCGAGGCTTGAACCCATGACGCTGAGATTAAGAGTTTCATGCTCTTATCGACTGAGTTATCCTCTAATAATAAGTAGAAGACGCATTCAGAGTAGACAAATATGAGTTACATGGTACCTGCTTGACAGCTTACAGTTTGGCACATGTACCATGCAAGGCTAGTGGTTCTCCGTAATCTCGATCTAACCACACCTTTAGGCCTGGCATTGCTCCCTCTGTGATAAATCCAAGGACAGGAAGGGTGGGTGAGGGTGGGCTGAGCTTAATGCACATGCTTTGAGGATACCAGTGACTGTTCTCCTGTGTGCTACAGTAATTTCCTAATTTCCCCTTTCAAAATTATTTAAATGAAGTCAAGTCACACCAACCCTTGGTATTTTGAAGCAGCGGGGCTATCTGCTGTCACTACCCTGTATCCCACAAGCACCCTCTGAGGTTGCACTGCTCAACTTTTTTTTTTTAAATGATATTTATTAAAAGTTTAAAAATTACAGAAAAAGAAAAACAACAACAATAAAAAAGAAAAAAACATAGAAAAGCAATACAACAATACAGCAAAAAGAAACAAAAAAAACCTAAAACACACATCCAATATTCCATATCTTTACCTTTCCTTTACTTGTTTCATCGACCTCCTCACACCTCCCTTTTTTTGTATTCTAGTTCAATTCACTATTTCAGCAAATTATTTCTATCTTTCTCAATTTTTGTTCTATAATTTATCTTAACGGTCTAACCTAAATTTTTTTCATTTTGGCCCGTTATCAATCAGCTTTTACTTAATTCTTTGTTA